ACTTCTTTCCTTTGCCTGTTTGTGAGATGTGTTATCAGGAACCATCTCCCCACAGGGATTAACTCTTGGGTGTCTCCTTCTTGCTGCTTGTCCCCAACACTGGTGGCAGTCCCATGACACCAAAAATAGCATGCCTTGATGCCCTAGAGCTTAAAATAAAGCTCTGAATCACACCTTAAGCTCTATTTCTGAGCAGTAGGTGCTTTCCTTCTGCCACTGGCTTTGGGGACACCTCCCTCTGAGCTGGTGACAACACATCCTCTAAGTGTGGTGGGCTTTGTGCCAGTGTCCTGCTTGCCTGCTGCACCAGCAGGCTTTGGGAGCTCCTTCCCGCAGAGAAGGAACCCCCCAAACACCATCTCTCTCTTTGCAACTCCATCAGGACAGCGTGGGGCTCTCCCCAGGACCAGCTGCTTCACAGTGGGGATAACGTCTGGTTTCTGCCTTTTGGGGGTGAAAATCTCTCCGCAGCCCTCACCTTCTGGGGTGCTGGAGCTGATGGGACCTTCCCCTGGTGAAGTTTCCCTCTGCGGTGGGTTGGAGGAGATGCTGGTCCTCTGCTGGACCTGTGGATGGAGGGAATCTTGAGCCAAGAGTGCTGGACATGTAAACCATGGCTCTGCCCCTGTGCCGTGAGTGCTCCCAGATCAGTATGAACCCTTCTTCCTCCTCCCATCCCTCACCTCCCTCTTCCCTCTGGAAAGCAGACAGTGTCTGGGCAGATCGATTGCCCTGGGTTCATTAGAGGTACAAGGTACCTGTTAATCAGAGACATGAAAGCGGATAAGGACGGAGTTTGTCCCCGGGTTGAGAAGGGAACAACGGAGATGCAGAGATAACCACTCCCCGCACGCAAAGCTCCAGGCTCCTGGAATAGGCTCAGGTTTGGCTGTCGCCCACCCCAGCATGGGTACGGGCATGATTTCACGTGGGGCCAAGAACAAGCAGCCACAAAGACGTGTCCCCATGGAGCCAGGGCCACCAGGTCCCAAAGCACTGGCAGTGTGAGCCAAAAGCCTTTGGGATTTCAGATGCTCCTCAAACCCGGCCTTGGAAGCGGGATGGGGACTGGACAGCCAGGGTGTATTATGGGCTGGCAGTCACCTGCATGGCCCCGAAGCTGGCATCGGGTGGCAGAAAAGAAGCTCTGAGGGGGATGACACAAGGGGATGTGTTCTCATCTCTCCCCATAGACCCCCCACTAACTGTCCCCACAATAAGGGGTCCCAGCTGAGCATTCCACTGCTCTCATGACCCTAAAATCAGCTCGCTGTGCCCCATCAGGGTGGGTAAAGCAGGGGATGCCGGGGGGGGGGCAGGCAGTGCAGGGGGTCTCCAGCTCCCATGCAGGAGGGGGGAAGCCACCCCCAAGAGGCACCATCCCCAAGCCTGCTCCTCTTCTGCTTTCATTAAAACCAGCCTGGAAACGAGGATCCCGCGCCTTGGAATGAGCTCTCCCCATCCGAGAAGGCTTTGGATGGGAGAAGCCTCCCCGAGAGCCAAGGCTGGATCCGCATTCACGGACGCGGTTTCTCCCTTCCCGCTGGCTCTGGGACGTGGACGCCCTCCCGTGGCACCGGTCACAGCAGCTCCGCAGTGCTGCGGAGCCAGAGGAGCGAGGGGCATCCCTGAACGGCGGGTTTGGGGATGCGCGTTTGGGAAGGGGGGTCTAGAGGGAACTGATCGCCCCTTCAGAGCATCCCATGTCCCCGCTACCCCCGTAGCTCTGGGAGCCGCGGAACCAGCCGAACCTGGCTCCCTTCGGGGCGTTTGGAGCTGGAAAGGGGATTCTCCAGGGTGGAATGAGCCGGGAGCTTCCAGGCCAGCCTCCCTCTTATGTTCCCAGCACCGCCTGTGGATTCTCTGCTGCCTAGTATATCCAATGCAGCAACCCTTCCCTTTCCCCTTTCCCTTTTCCCTCCCTCAACTCCAGTCGGGAGTTTACTCCCAGCTCCTCTGTTGCTTTCCCCCCCCCTTTCTATGGTTTTCTCTATTCCTGGTGATTGCCGGCAGCTGAAGGGCCCCCTCTCCTGGTGCACGGCAAGGAGATGGCTATCCTTGTCTCCTGGTGCTGCCAAATCCATCCTTCCCTTCCAGTCAGATCACCCACTCTCAAGCAAAGACCCTTCCCAGGTTATCAGGGATGCTGATGGTCTTGGGGCTGCAGGAATGGACCTTCAGAGGGGAGAAAGGCCCTGACAGCAGCTCTGAGCACTCGTAGCTGTGCATTCGTTGGGGTGTTTCCCTGTTCCTAGGTCTGATGGACTGGGAAAACCTGGGATGGGGCAGGACTCCCCAGCAAGCTGGGTTGATGCCTGCTGTTTTCATCTGAGAGCTGGGACCCTCCTAGCCCTGTGCTGCTTCACAGACCCAGGGAAGGTGGAATCGCAGACCCAGTGTTGATCTGAGGGGGGATATTTGACTTTGGCCAAGGGCCTGTAGGGCCAGGCCAAGGGGAATGGCTTGAACGTGCCAGAGGGGAGACTGAGATGAGCTCTTAGGCAGAAGCTCTTCCCTGGGAGGGTGCTGAGGCGCTGGCACAGGGTGCCCAGAGAAGCTGTGGCTGCCCCATCCCTGGCAGTGTTCAAGGGCAGGTTGGACACAGGGGCTTGGAGCAAGCTGCTCTAGTGGAAGGTGTCCCTGCCTGTGGCAGGGGGTGGAGCTGGAGGAGCTTTAAGGTCCCTTCAACCCAAACCAGGCTGGGATCCTGTGATTTCAGTTCCTATCACACAGAAATCCCCACCCTCTGATGGAAACACCTGGATGGAAAAACCTGCCTCTGCCCCTCTTCCTTGTCTCTGGCCTCCTGTGGCACCCCACTTCAACCCCCTGTGAGCGTGCAAGTGCGGGTGAGTGCACTGGGGTGTGTGGGCAGGCTGGGGCTTTCTTCCGTGGCTGCGTTTCTGGTGCACACAGATGCATGAGCTGGTTTCATTTCCTCCCAGGTCGGCTCTGCTCAGGGACCGTGTGAGGATGAGCCCCTTCCCCCCCACCCCGGTGCCCCATGAACCCACCAGGTCCCAGGGGCAGCTTGGGGCAGCAAAGGCTCTGGGCTGCCCAGCTCCACCAGCAGGTCCTTGGCTCTTTCTTTTCTACAGGAACAAGGATGTGTTCCCTAAAGAGAGGCTGGGCTTTGCAACCCACCCCACTGGCCTCTGCAGTCCCTTTGTTCCCATCACAGACATCTCCATCACCTCTTCGTGGTCCCCTCATCCCAGGGAGAGCATCCTCCCCTCATAGCCACACAGGGCTGGTACTCTGGAGTGTCTTTGTGAGCTTTCATCCCTTATCCAGCAGGAGAGGAGCAGAGACGGTGGGAAGAGTTCCTGCCCGTTCCCTCCCCAACCTCCTTGAAGGTACCACACTCAATGTGTGATCTCTTCCCATGCAATGATGCTCTCCAGAGCCTCCCTGGCCAGCGGAGCTGCTGGCATTGTCCTCCTCCCCAACTGGATGGGTTTGGGGCACCTATGGTTCAGCAGCGGGATGCTAAAGCATGGGGTGAAGTGAGGGGTAGCCAAAAAGTGGAGGGAGGCCGGTGCCTGGGCTTCCTGCTCTGCCCTAAGGGGGCGAGGAAGTGACAACCAGCAGCCACCTCGGTGTGGGTGCTGAGGCACCTTTGTACCTTGGTGTTCCAGCGAGGCCTCCCAGTGAGAAGGGGGGGCTCCGAGTCCTGCCCAGCACCCATGGGCCTGTGCCTTTCCCCAGGGATGGAGCAAACCCCGACCATCCCAAGGGACCCACGCGGTGGTGGATAAGGAAACACTGCAGGATGCCCAAGCACTGTTTCCTCTCTCCCATCCCTCCTTCCACGCTGCTCCCTTGCTGGAACAACCCCGACACCTCAGGCAGGTTCTCAGGCCTGGCCACACAGTGCCTGCAGTGCAAGGTACCCACAGCTTCCCACCCCACTGCAGCTGTGCCCTGACACCCTCACCCCATCAGCAGCATCGCTGTCATTATCATCACGATTGCTGTTACTGTTGCTGTGGATGTTATACCATAGAAACATAGAACTGTAGATTGGTTTGGGTTGGAAGGGACCTTAAAGATCATTTCACATTATATCACATCATAGCATAGCACGGATCATACATTATGAGTAAATTATATTGTATAATTGCATGTAACATTATATTATTTATATGTTATATAAATTACTATGTCATACCATATCTTAATTAAATTATGCTACATTATATCAGGTTATACATAAGAGGATAGGAAAGGATATCCCATGGCAGAGGGGTTGGAACCAGATGATCTTAAGGTCCTTTCCAACCCTAACCATTCTATGATACAATATCACATAATTTATTATATCATATATCATTAGTATATTGTATTATATTGCATTGTTATTATATTATTATTGTTATAGGATATAGTATGTAGTATGTTGTATACGTAGCCTATATACTACATACATATATAGCATATATAGTGTATATGCTATATATAGTACATAGTATACACGATATACTACAGACTACACACAATATAGTACAGTAATAGTACAGTATTTTGATGGCGTTTCGCTACTTGCACATTTCCCTGCTATTTCTCGCTGGCTCCGCAGCAGCAGCCGCTCTTCACGTGTATTTCAACGCTCTTTCGGTACCGCCTCAGCGCAGTTCCGCGCCCACCGAGCAGGCACCCGCGGGGGGGGGAGGCAGGAGCACAGCGGAGGGGCTCGATGCGGGTCCCGGTGCCGGTCCCGGTGCGGGTGCGCCGGCCCCCGGCAGGTGGCGGCCCCGCTCCGCCCCGCTCCGCTCCGTTCCGCGCCGCTCCGCTCCGAGCCGTGCCGGCGCAGGCGCGCTCCCATTCCGGGCGCCGCTTCCTCCCAGCAGGCCCCGCCGCCCCGGGCGGACCCCGCTCCCCCCTCCCGGCCCAGCCCGGCCCGACCCGGGCTGCGGACGCTCCGCTGCCCGCCCCCCCCCTTCCCCAGCTCCCAGCACCCGCCCCCCCCACCCCTTCCCCGCTCCCCTCCCGCCGCAACGGGCTCGGCCCCGCCGGGCGGCGGCGGCTCCGGCTCCGGCTTCCTCCGCCCCTTCCGCCCCCCCCCGCGCCCCCCCCGCCGGCCCAGCCGAGCCCGGAGGCCCCCGGCAGCGCCGCATGGAGCAGCCGGCGGCGGGCTGAGCCCCCTGCCCGAGGGAGGTGAGTGCCGCGCCGGGGGGCGGGGGGGGGGACGCGCACGCACGTACCGGGGTGCCCGCACACCCCCCCCACACGCACACACACACACCGGGCCGGGGGTCGCGTCCCCACGGCGGGGGCAGCGGGGCCGGGCCCGGCCCGTCCGCCCAGCACAGACAATGGGGCCTGCGGGGGGGCACGGCCGTGCTGCCTGACCCGGCACGGGTGACCCCGGCCCCCAGGGACACCGGCACCTCCGGCCCCGGCCACGCAGGGAGCCAGGGACCCCCGCAGCATCCCCTGCCCCCGGGGGGGGGACCCGCCGCCCGGCCAGGGGCTGGCACCGCTTCTCTTCCCTCCTCCCGCCCCATCCCCGTCTCCATCCCCACGCTCGTCCTCCCGCCCCGTCCCCATCCTCATCCCATACAAAGGCCGGGCCCGTTTGGGTTGCTGCTGGCGGGGTTTTTGAGAGCGTTTGGGGCGGAAGGAGGGAGCTGGGGCCGGGCGTCGGAAGGGGCTGGCAGCAGGTTTTTAGTTTTTTTTCCCCTAATTTTATGTATTGATGTTCATGTTTCTGGTCCCCGAGGCGGGGATGGGTTATTTATAGCAGCGGCTGTTGCCCGTCGGTTGATCGAGAGTGAAAGGGGCTGTGCCGATGCGCGGGGAGAAAAGTCACACACAATAACTCCAACCTGAGGTGCAAGGGCTGGGCAGCGCGAGGAGGGGTATGGCTGCTTCCCTTCCCAGCAGAGGGGAGCTCAACCCGGCTTCCCTCTGGAAGAGCCCATCCCGATCCCTGCCAAGGCAGAGAGTGGCCGGAGAGGACCGTGGGAGCACAGCGGAGGGATGCAGGGAGCATCCCTTGGGTACCAGTTCCTCACCCTTCATCGGCGCGATGGTGGTGATGAAGCAAAGCCTCATCAAGGGGAGCAGCACTGGAACAATCCCCCTGGGAGCACGGGGAGGTTTGGGGTGCTCCTCACTCTGCTTTCTCCCCCCCTCATCTTTTCAGTTTGGGGCGGGTGTTTGCAATGGAAACCCTTTGAACCGTGTCCCAAGCGGCTTCACCATGTGCTGCTCCCCAAGGATGCCCTGACACCCCCCAGGACATGTAAGGTCTCCCTGGGAAGGGATGCTGGGGTGATGTGTGGGATAAGGAGGGCGGAAAATCACCCTGATGGGTTGGTTTGTGTAGGAAAGATGACAAGGAACAGCCCTTTGCCATGGGGAGGCCGGGCGCAGCATCTCTCCAGCCCTCCACCTGCCTCCCCTCGGCACCTTCTTAGGCCTGAAGGGCAATATCTTCCCTTGAAGAGAAGCATAAAGAAATGAAAGCAAGAAAAGGAAAGCCCCCCCCTGCCTTTCCAGCCACGCTGGGCCGGGGGAGCAGCAGCGGAGCCCTGCGAGCGCAGCCAGCTTGCTGATGAGATAAAGGAAGAACGTTTGTCTTTCGATCAGAGTAATCGTAGGTGTTACTTGTAATAACAGGAGATAAGATCTTTTGGAGAGTGTGAGGATGTTGTCTGGGTTGGGGTTGGGTTGGGTTATTTTTGGTGAAGTTTAAAGAAACTCGAGTTGTTGCGGATTGGAGATGTTGCAGTGAGGTGCATGTGGATGGTGCCTGCACCCTGAATTCCATGGGAGTGAAGCTTTGCTACCATCTACAACTCAGCTTGATTTAGCTGGGGCTGGGCAGGGGCTGCTCCCTGTTTCCCTCCAGCTAAGTGGGTTTGAGGTGGAAATGTGGCATCTTTCCTTCAACCCATCCCTTGGTGCCAGTGGGATTTGGTCCAGGGGTCCCAAATTCCGCTGGGTGCCGGTCCCAGCCTGCCCATGGGTCTGGCGCAGCATGATTTTGGCTGGTGATTGACAAGAGGAACGGTTTCCCTGGTGTTCTTCGGATTATCAGGGTACCTGTGGTATTCACCATTCCTGCCCTGCCCGCCTTCCCCAGCTCTTCCCTATGAACCGGGCTTCCCAGAGGGAAAGCTGGGAGCGGGGAGGCAGCGGGAGTGAATCTTGGCCCTTCCCGGTGCACAACGTGGGGCTGAGGTCCCTTGCCTGGCCAGAGCAGAGGTGCTCGGGCAGAGGAAGGGCACTCTGGCTGCTTCCCGATGGCAATGGGGATGGGATGTTTCCAGGGGGAGTGAAGCCGTCTCCTGGCAGAGCTGAAGAGCCAAACCTGACGCTCGGCTCTGCTGAATCTGCTGGGCGGCTCCCTGGCTATTTTCTTAATGATCATTTATTTGCTTCAAGCTGGCTTCTGCTCCTGCGCATCCTCCTTGTGGGGAGCACCTCTGCTTTGAGAAGAGGCCATGCCCGTGTTCCCGTGCTGGAAAAGCAGGGAGCGATGCTCCCTTGAGCCTCGGGATCCATCGCCGCGTCCTTGTCCCTGCGCCGGCTCCCATCCATGGGGATAAGGTGGGATGGCGGAAGCGAGTGGGGGCACGAGGCTGGGGCCGTGCTGGGTGACAGCGGGTGACGTGCTCAGCAGGAACCGCTGGCTGTCACATGAGGCCACCGCAGGCACAGCGCCTTGGGGGGCCGGGTGGCAGCGGCCTCGCTGCTCTCAGGGGTACAGGGGTTCCTCCTCCTTCGAGGCAGAAATAAGGTAGCGATTAAAGCGAGGTGATGAATAACCAGGCCGCTGCCTAAAAGTCACCTGCGGGAGGTCGGTGACAAGAGACAGGGGGACATCAGGGCAGCCCTGGTGCTGTTAACCACCTCCCCTTGTGCTCTCTTTATGCCAGTGCCACCGCGCGATGTCCGTGATCCAGGAAGGTGCAAACTGCCATGCAGCAGGTTCCTTGTGACAGGGTTTGCTGCGGCAGTTTCCTCTTTAAAGGAGAAAGAAAGTGCTCTTAACGAAGGCCTGAGAGCCCAAAGGCGGGCTGTACATTTTGGAGCCCCTCTGCATTTGTAAGCTCTGAGTGCTGGTGACATTCGTGAGCTGAAAGCCCAAACAACCATCCTTCGGGAGTGGAAAGATCCTGCTCTGGTGCAGGGTGGAAGTGGCTTTTCCAGCCTGGTGGTCCTGGGATGGGTCTTTGGGCGTCTCTTCCAGGTGATGTTCCCTGGCATCCCAACCGAGCTCGTGCGGGTTTTCCAGCTGCGGTCGGATCCAGGGTGAAGCCTCCTCCTGCTGCTTGCTCTCCTTTGGGTAGTTTAGGGTTAGAATCACGACGTCGGAGCGCCCGGGCGGTGGGAAGCACTGACTCAGCACTTTGGGGATGAGCTGGTCCTTGAGCAACACCCGGGGCTTGCTCCTGCTCGGTGCCCCACAGCGTGCTCGGTGGGGAACAGGGGCCGAAAGCCCTGGCAATGGGCAGTTCCCTCTGCAGGGATGCAGAGGCACCTCTTCTTCAACCAATTCCTTCCAGGCGCTAGCCGAGTCCCTCCATGGACTGATGGAGGGGTGTAGTTTGTTCCCAGTTTTCCTTGGGCTGCGTTTCAGGCTGGTGCTGTCCGGACCCTTTGCTCCACACCAGGTGTAAATTCTGAATTTAACCAAAAATCAGCTTGGAAACGAGTTGCAGATGGGGCAGTTTTGGGGGGCTGCGTTCCCAGCTGCTGCTCCCCAGCCCAGCATCACCCAGCGCTGTGCTCCCTCAGCTCCTGGCCACCTCCATGGCTCTGTTCCCACCTCATGGGTGCCATCAAGTAGGGTTTGGGTGCCGTCTCGAGATGCTGTTCTTCATCAACAGCCCCGTGGCTGGCTGGGAAGAAAACCCAGTGCGTGGGGCCCAGACGCTGTGGTGATGGGCTTCACTGGAAACCCCAGTGCTCACCTTCCGGTCCTCAAACTCTGCCCTTGGGGTGAGTGTCTGAGCCTTGACTTCCCTCTGCTAAAGGGCCCTGTGGCCTGGGGGACGGTGAAGGAGGTGGTGGGAGCGTGATGCCTGTTCCGGATAGTTCTGGGCATGGCTGCGGTGGAGCCGGGGCCGTGTCCGTGCCCGCTCTCTTCCTCCCTGTGGTTCTACCCCTTATCTTCTTCCTCCTCCAGCCTTGCCTCTTGTTTCAGTTCCTCTTTCCCAAGCTATTTTGAGCCGCTGTCAGCCCCAGACCCATGCGATGGATTCATTAGCACCTGGGTGGGTTTTGGGGCAGGGATGCGCTTCCTGCATCCCGCACATCCCGCTCGGTGCCCCCCGCCTGGCACGACCCCGTGCCCCAGCCCAAGAAAGCCTGGTTTGATGCTGGGGACGGTGACTTCATCCCTTCCCCGGGGTCCAAGCAGCGAGCATAAAGGCGGGTTTGTTCCCCTCCCACATGCCGGGGCAGGATGCGACCCAGCCTAGGGCCTCGGGGTGCTGCCGGGGGGGTGGTCCTGCAGGGAATGGATGTGGTTTATTTCCTTTGGATCCCGGGCCTGGGAAGCTCCCGGGGCTGGATGTTTCCACGTGGGGGGCACCAGGCGCTGCGGGAGAGCAGGGCTCTGGCTGCGTCGTCCCCAGTGCTGCAAAGGAGGGATCAGGATACGTCTGGATATGAGCGTGGGGCTTGGGGAAGCTGCGTCTTGCTGGCTGCATCCCTCACGCCTCAGTTTCCCCGTTGGTGCTGCAGGGACCATGAACCACCTCACCGGCAGCCCCTGTGTGTGTGTGTGTGTGTGTGTGCGCCTCCATCCCCATCCCAGCTGAAAAACACCGGCTGAGCTCCCAGGGCTGCCCAAAACCCTCCGAACTGCTTCGGGATGAGGAGGCTCTGCAGGATGAGGCTGGCCTGGGGGGTTTCCAAGGCAGAGGGTTTGGAGCTTCTCACTGCTGGTTCCACCACGATGCAGCAGCCGCCCTGGGCTGGGAAATGGGCTTCAGTGGCTCTTGGAGGTCGTCTCTGCTCCCATCCCATCCCCAGGCACCTCCATCCCTCTGTACCGTCCCGTTTCATCCCTTGCATCCTTGCTGCTGATGCTGCAGTGGTCACGCAGCACGTAAACCTCCGCTCTTAAGAAGCTGGATCCATGCAAATACCTTATAATCCGGGTGAGCAGTTCTGCGCTGGTCCCACTCTCAGCTGAGTGGACCCAGAGCTCTCGCTTCCGCATTGCTCTGGGGACGTGTTGGAAGCAGCACCTTGATCTGTTCCCTTCTTGGTGGTTAAGAGCTGCTGATGTGGCTCTGGCAGCATCCTTTGCAGCAGGGTTCCTTGTGCATCGTCCTTACACAGCCCACCATGCCTGGTTGTGGCTGCCCCATCCCTGGCAGTGTTCAAGGCCAGGTTGGACACAGGGGCTTGGAGCAAGCTGCTCTAGTGGAAGGGTTCCCTGCCCGTGGTAGGGGTTGGAGCTGGATAAGCTTTAGGGTCCCTTCAACCCACACCAGTCTCGGATTCTAAGTTGTCCTTCGCCCCTGCTGCAGGTCTCATGGTACCCAGTGACGTGTCCCCCCTGTGAGAGTCGTGCTCCAGCCTCCTGAGAAGATGTCAGGGATGCAGGTGAGCACCGGGCAGGGATGGAGCGGGCTCTTCACCCGTGCAGCGGTAGCCCCAGGGCTCAGGAGGGACTTGTCCCCATCCCCCTGTGCACTGCAGAAGCCCAGCACTGTGGGGACCTGTGTTTGAGCGTGTCTGTGTCCTTCCCTCCCCATCCCAGCTGAAAACCCCCTCTGGGCTGCCCCAGATCCCCCCGAGTGCTGCAGGTTTAAGTGAATCCCATTGGGTTTGCACCAGGATGTGCTTGGGGGGCGGGGGTGCTCAGCCAGGCTCTGACACCATCCTGCTGTCCCTGGCCAGGCCGTTTGGCCGTCCGGTACAGAATGTATCGCCAAGTACAACTTCCACGGTACCGCCGAGCAGGACCTGCCCTTCAGCAAAGGAGACGTCCTGACCATTGTGGCTGTCACCAAGGTAAGGCCATCACCTCCCTGTGGCAGCGCCCTGCTGCCAGCGCCACACGGGGAGCATCCCTGCATCCCGCCACACGCTGTGGCAGTGCCATCTCCTGGTCCCCATGGACGTCCCGCAGGGCCGGAATGGGGCCACGCGTTTGGTTAATTAACTCATGGCCTCCTTAGTTAAGGTTTCTCCAGATTGGAAGCCTCTGGAGTGCCTCCTGGGAAGTGGAGGAGATTGGGGAGAGGCTCACATTGGAGCGATGCTTGGTGCCGGGGTGGGAAAGGACAGCGGCCGTGGGTCAGGGGGTTCTGGGGTACCCAACAGCCTGGGAAGGGGGTCGTGGTGGCCCCCATGGGGTTTGCTGCCCCAGCACCCACCTTGAGCTCTGTGGCTGTCCCTGCACACCCCGTCCTGCCTGCGGCTTGGGGTCATGCAGAGCTCGGGCGCGATGCTGCTGTCTCCAGAGGCCGTGGGCTCCTCGTGACGTCTCTGCTGTCCCTGCAGGATCCCAACTGGTACAAGGCAAAGAACAAGGTGGGCCGGGAGGGCATCATCCCTGCTAACTACGTGCAGAAGCGGGAAGGGGTGAAAGCTGGGATCAAGCTCAGCCTCATGCCGTGAGTATCCACTGGGGATTCAGCCATGGGGAATACTGGGGGGGAGCATCCCCACTGCGTCAGACCAGAGATCCAGCTGACCCCGTGTCCAAACAGAATCCCTCACAGGGTTTAGCGAGGTGGGAAGGCAGAAGGAGCAGGGGCCTGGGCTTTCCCAAGTGGATTTGGGATCCAGTGCTGCTGGGGAAAGCTCTGAGCACCTTTGGAGCTGCCTGCAGAGCTGGGGAGGTGGTGGATGGTTGGGTTGGATGCCAAAATAGGTCCTTTCCCCACAGTTATGGTTGTGAAGGCTTCTGGGAGGAAGAAAGGGGTCGGAGTGGGGTCTGTATGGGAGGGGTGGGAGATAGGCAGATGGGTGGATGGATGGGTTTGATATCCCTGCTGCATCCCAGAGCCACCAGTGACCCAGTCGGGAGGAGCCAAGGCTGCTGTGGGGAGGGGAGCAGGACGCCATGGAAGGAGCTGTGTGATGGGGTGCATGGGGGTAGCAAGGAGGAGCATGAGCAAGCTGGCTCCATGCAGGCAAGGGCTGAAGGCTGCTCCACGTCCCCATCCCAAACACGTCCCAATGCTCACCCTGCCCTGTGTGCCCCTTGCAGGTGGTTTCATGGGAAGATCACTCGGGAGCAGGCGGAGAGGCTGCTGTACCCCCCCGAGACGGGGCTGTTCCTGGTGCGGGAGAGCACCAACTACCCCGGGGACTACACGCTGTGTGTCAGCTGCGAGGGGAAGGTGGAGCACTACCGCATCATCTACTCCTCCAGCAAGCTGAGCATCGACGAGGAGGTCTACTTCGAAAACCTCATGCAACTGGTGGAGGTGAGGGCCCACTGCTCCTGTCCCCCTCGGCCAGCATGGGGACCATAGGCGTGAGACTGGGGGAGATGGGGCATATGGGTCTGAGCTCCCACCCAGAGATGGTGGGGCCTTCTCTGCCCACCCCATGGGGCAAAGTGGAGGACGGGGACAGGATAAAGGCGGTGGCTGGATGGGCAGGAGGAGGCATTGGGACCCCCCACGCTCCCTCTATGCTCCATCCATGGCCTTGTGCTGCCACCTGGTGGGATCCCAGAGCCTGGCATCGCCTTGGTGGGGATCCCCCCCACCCCACTGCGATGTCCCCGTGTCCCCTCCCCAGCATTACACCACGGACGCAGATGGGCTCTGCACCCGCCTCATCAAACCCAAGGTGATGGAGGGGACGGTGGCAGCGCAGGACGAGTTCTCCCGCAGTGAGTGGCCGTGCCCCTTCCCCGGCTCCTGGGGACCCCCCACCAGCACCCCCTCACCCTCCTCCTCCCTCTCGCAGGCGGCTGGGCCCTCAACATGAAGGACCTCAAATTGCTGCAGATCATTGGCAAAGGGGAATTCGGAGGTAAGCCCCAGCGCTGTGGTGGCCCTGACTTGTGGGGGGGAGGAGGCTCTGCAGCCCCCCCAGGGTGATGGTGGGGCCCTGGGAGGCCGGGATGCTTCCCAGTGTCTCCTGTGCCCGTCTCTCCCGGCCTGCAGACGTGATGCTGGGGGATTACCGGGGGAACAAAGTCGCCGTGAAGTGCATTAAAAATGATGCCACAGCTCAAGCCTTTCTGGCGGAGGCATCCGTCATGACGTGAGTGTTACCGGGGGGCACAGCGCAGGGGAGCGGGCTCTTCTGTCCGTATACGTAGGGGTGGGTGGTCCCCAGCGTCCTATGGGGACTGTGGGACCCCTTCTTCACCCCAGCCCCTTACCCTGAGCCCTCCCGTGCCTCGCAGGCAGCTCCGACACAGCAACCTGGTGCAGCTCCTGGGGGTGATCGTGGAGGAGAAGAGCGGCCTTTACATCGTCACTGAGTACATGGCCAAGGTGAGACCCCCACGCCCTGTCCCCTCTGTGTCCCCACCAGGGTTCACCCCACAGACCCAACTTGGGTGGCATTGCCCTTGGGCCACCCTGGTGGTTGGAGTTTGTGTGTCCCATTGCTGGCTCCGAGGGAGGGATGTCGTCCCACGCAGGAGGGGCAGTAGGTGGGATGCTGACCCTGATGGCATCGTGAGACCCCGCTTGCAGCACTGTGTGTGGTTCTGGTGTCTTCAATACAAGGGCATGGAGCTGTTGGAGCAAGGCCAGAGGAGGGTCATGATCAGGGGCTGGAGCAGCTCCCGTATGGAGCCAGGCTCAGAACACTGGGGCTGTTCAACCTGGAGAAGAGAAGCTGCGTGGAGACCTCAGAGCAGCTTTCAGTGTCTGAAGGGGGCTACAAGGATGCTGGAGAGGGACTCTTCATCAGGGACTGTAGTGATAGGACAAGGGGTGATGGGTTCAAACTGAAACAGGGGAAGTTCAGGTTAGATCTAAGGCAGAAGCTCTTCCCTGTGAGGGTGCTGAGGCGCTGGCACAGGGTGCCCAGAGAAGCTGTGGCTGCCCCATCCCTGGCAGTGTTCAAGGCCAGGTTGGACACAGGGGCTTGGAGCAAGCTGCTCTAGTGGAAGGTGTCCCTGCCTGTGGCAGGGGTTGGAACTGGATGAGCTTTAAGGTCCCTTCCAACCCAACCCCTTCCATGATTCTATGATCTCCATCCCTCCAGGGCAGCCTAGTAGACTACCTGCGGTCGCGCGGGCGGTCGGTCCTCGGTGCAGACTGCCTGCTCAAGTTCTCCTTGTAAGTACAGGCCCAAGCACCAAGGGTTGGCCGTGCCCACCACCCTGACCCGCACCCAGCAGCCTTCTGGGGCCTCCTCGCTGACCCCCTTCCCTCCCCACCCCAACCAGAGATGTCTGTGAAGCCATGGAGTACCTGGAAGCCAACAACTTTGTCCACCGGGACCTGGCGGCGAGGAACGTGCTGGTCTCGGAGGACAACATCGCGAAGGTCAGCGATTTTGGGCTGACCAAGGAAGCCTCCTCCACGCAGGACACGGGGAAGCTGCCTGTGAAGTGGACAGCACCAGAAGCACTTAGAGAAAAGGTGGGTGAGCGGGGAATGGATTGATAAAAGGCAGAAGCTCTTCCCTGTGAGGGTGCTGAGGCGCTGGCGCAGGGTGCCCAGAGAAGCTGTGGCTGCCCCATCCCTGGCAGTGTTCAAGGCCAGGTTGGACAGAGGGGCTTGGAGCAAGCTGCTCTAGTGGAAGGGGTCCCTGCCCGTGGCAGGGGTTGGAGCTGGAAGAGCTTTAAGGTCGTTTCCAATGCAAACCATCCTGGAACTCTATGATCCCCTCAGGATGAGGATGTGATGGAGGCTCATGGAGAGGGCTGCACCCTGCGCTCCCCCCAACTTTTCCATTCAGAGATGGTGCTTGAGCCCCAGTCCCTGCCGTCTGACCCCTAAGACCAGCGGCCCTGAAGATCTGTCACCCCCATCCCTACCTGACCCCTCTCACGAGGCTTCTCTCCCTCCAGAAATTCTCCACCAAGTCAGACGTGTGGAGCTTCGGGATCCTCCTCTGGGAAATCTACTCCTTCGGGCGAGTGCCTTATCCAAGAATTGTGAGTGAGGACCATCCCCATCCGCTCAGGGCTGGGTGTGCGGAGGGGGCACCCCACCCCGTCCCCATCCTGACTCCCTCCCCTGTCCCCCCAGCCCCTGAAGGACGTGGTACCCCGCGTGGAGAAGGGCTATAAGATGGATGCTCCCGACGGCTGCCCCGCTGTCGTCTACGAGGTGATGAAGAAGTGCTGGACGCTGGACCCCGGCCACCGGCCGTCCTTCCACCAGCTCCGTGAACAGCTAGTGCATATCAAAGAGAAGGAGCTCTACCTGTGAGGGGGGGCACCGGGAGCGGCCAGGAGGGAGCCCTGGGGGTGCTTCAACCCCCCCCCCCCCCCCCCCCAATTCTCCCGGTTGCTTCCAAACTTCCAAATCAATCTGTTTTTATTATTACTTTTTATTTTTTTCCCAGGTTTTGGGGTTTTTTGGGGGTCTCCCACGTTCTTTTTTTTGTTTGTTTGTTTGTTTTTTGAGGGGGGTGGGATTTTTGTTTTCAAAATGTGGGGGTTTTTTTCGTTGTTGTTGTTGGGGTTTTTTTCACTGTTTTTTATGATTTGCAGCAGGGCCCAGCCCCGCGCTGGCGTTTTCCTAAAGTACGAATCTTATTTTTTAATGTAATTAAAAGAAAACACAAAAAAAAAAAAAGAGAGAAGAAGAAGGAGGAGGAGGAGGAGGAGGATAGAAGAAGAATAATAATAAACTCAGCCAATGAACCGGACACACGGCAAGGAAACCCCAGCGACAGAAGTGATGGTTACAGGGGAGCCGCCGCCGAGCCGCGGCCCCGCGAGCCGCTTTCCTTTTGGGTTGTTTTGCTTTAAACTCGTCGCAATGTTTGCATGCTGTCTCCAGAGGCCTTTTTTTCCAGTCCTGTCCAGTGCTTTATTCTCATGTAATGCTACCGACTGTGAGATTCAACCTGTAATAAAAAACAGAACACGACAACCAAACCCCTGCCCGACGCACGCGGCGCATCCTGCTCGCTGCTCCCCGGCAGGCACTGCAGAGCTGGGGTGAGCAGCTTGGCTCCATCCTGCCCATGAGAGCAGGTGAGGATGGTGCTGCTAAAGCTTCCCTTTAAGCCAGGCTTCATCTTCCACCTTTGGCTGCCCCATCCCTGGCAGTGTTCAAGGCCAGGTTGGACACAGGGGCTTGGAGCAAGCTGCTCTAGGGGAAGGTGTCCCTGCCCGTGGCAGCGGTTGGAGCTGGAGGAGCTTAAAGGTCCCTTTGGCACAAACCAGGCTGGTTTCTCTGCTTGGACAAAGTGGTGGAAGATCTGGGGATACCTTCTGGGGCTTGTTCCCTCTCCTGCTTGTCTCAGCCAAGGAGCTGAAGCCATCTGTGCAATGGGACTCCCCAGATCCTGCACCCTGAAGGAGGTGTCCCTATGGAGTCCCTGCTGCCTTGAAGGATGGAGGTGGTGTCTGGCAGGATTCTAACAGTTCCCTTCATCCACAGAGAATTATTCAGTGTTAAACGATGCGCAGGGCATCAGCTTTACCGGCTGCACAAACTGGAGTCAGGAGCTCTGGGTCTGCTTTGGGTGAGGATGGAGACTGAGATTCCTCTTGGCAGGAATGATCGAGGGAAAAATAGGAAGCACTGGGAGAGCAGGTATGGCTGAGGTCGGGGTGGGAAGGAGGATGGAGTGACACAGCAGTGGTACCTGTGGCAGTCCAGTGCTCCTGCCCCTGAGACAGGACAGGGATGTGCTGCGGCTTGATCCACCACAGGTTTTATTTCCCCTGGACTAACCCCTGCATCCCCCATTCCTCCTAGTGCTCCAGCAGGCCCCAGCCATATAAGCAGCTTTACTTTTGGGGCTTATGAAGATTAAAGTCATTTACAGGCAAAGCCTGCAAGGAAGATGCTGTTGAAATGGTGAGCTATACTCAGCACCTTCTTGTGATGGTGGCGAAACCCTAACCCAAAACTCAGCCAGACCGTGGGTTTTCCTCTAAATGGCATCGACTGCCAGGTCTGTGCTCATCAGCCCCATGGGCAGAGGGGAGCTTTGGAGGGGTTTGGTGCCATGATGGCATCCTCAGGGGCTGCTGTAAGAAATCCTTCTCACTGCAGGAAGGAGGCTGAGCCCTGCCAAGCCTCTCCTGATGCCAGCCCCTGTACCTCGGTTCCCCCATGCAGGGCTGTTTGCTCCTGACTCCTGTCGCTGGGTCTCCCCCACTCCGGGCTGCTGCCCATTGATGCCCAGCCAAGGACAGCCTGTATCCCACAAGGTGCTTTCTCCTTAGGGACTGGGGTCTGTTCCCTTCATCTCTGAACGCATCAGCAGCCTCGGGGGGATCCAGGCTGCCGGCTCCTGCGTGACGCCCGGGGGCTGCTGTGTCCCTCGGGTGCTGGCTCACAACATGTCCCCTCTTCCTCCTCCTCCTCCTCTTCCCATCAGCGACAGGGAGATGGGCACTGGGCCCAGTTGTGTCAGCTCCCATCCTGCCTCAAGTTCTCAGTGTGAATCATAGCAGCAGGCAGGGAGTGATGGCTGCTGAGCGCCGGGGTGCCCGTGACACGGCACAAAGGGACTTGCTTTGCCTCTCCCTCTGCCTTTGCCGCACGGCTTGCCAGGAGGAACAGCTCCTGCGAACCAGCCCCTGGCTCTGGGGCAGAAGGAGCTTTGCTTTTCCTTCCCTATCCCGGCTCCTTCACCTGCTTCCTCCTGCTGCCTCTTGGAGCAGCCTGTCCCATCCCTGCTCCCAGCAGAGATGCTCTGACCTTTAGCTCTGACCCTTCCCTACATCCCAGCCCTGCCTTCCCCCCTTACCCCAGGGGTGCAGGGAGCCTTCCCCTCCCTCAACAAACTTCAAAGGGAACCGAAGCGCCCATCTGTTCCCAGCGCAATTCCAGCTGCAATTCCTCGCTGCTTCCCATTTCCCAGGGCTGCAAAGCATCCATCCCAAGAGAAGGGGGTGCACGGTGCCCCCTCCCAAGCTGCCCTAATGCCTAACCCAGTGCTGCTGGGAGCAAGCTACCCGCTCCCATGATGGCCGGACAAGGCTCCTTCTGCTCCATCCCTGATGCACGGGCTTCCAGAGCCCTGGCATCTGTGCCCTGCCCGCACGTCCGTGTCCCCCCCCCCGCACGCCTGCCTTTATCACCAGCACTATTTATAGCACAAAGCCGTTCCCAGCACGGCTCCGCGCCGTTCACCTCATCCCGCTCTGCCTTTTCCTTCGGAGCGCTCCAGGAAATGAAGGCAAGGCTGGAAAGATCCCCCGTGGGAAAGCTGTGCGTGTGTGTGTGTGTGTGTTCCGGCTGGCGTGTGCCTTTGCTCCGGGCTGGCTCCGCACCACCGGCAGCGAGGCAGCACATGGTGTCCCCATGTGCCTGTTTACATGCTCCGTGTGTCTGTCCGGCTGGATTTGTGTCACTGCTTGGGTGCAGGCTCTGCCAACCCGCACCCCAATCACCTCCCTCTTCTTCCTCCTCACCCCCCCAAACAGCATGGCTCCTCGGGCAGGGGTCACAACCCCCCTGGCCTGTGCTGTGACCTCCTCCCGTGCCTCATCACCCTCCTCTTCTGGGGATGCGCCCACAGCATCCCAAAGCCTGCATCCCTTGGGCAGAGGCTGCCTGTCCCTTCGCACAGCCCCGTCAGGGCCGTTCCCATCCTACACAAAGAAATCCTGCCCTCAAACACTGAGTCTGGGCAGCCCATGCTCAGCCCCATGATGATATAAAGGGGATCAGAGGGAATTTGGGGAGATCTCAGCAGCATCCCAGCTTCCCTTCCCAGGTCCCACAGAGGGGATGCTCTGCTAGGCCAGCCCAGGGCCATTATCAAGCTATGTCTATCATTCATTATCAAAAAAATGCTAGAAATGTAAAAAGACTGTAATAAAGTAAAAATACTGTAATAATGTAAAAGTATTTTGTATTTCTAGAGAGGAGATGGGCATGACCCTGTGAAGGACCTTGTGACTTCTCCCTCCTGAGCACAGACAGTGATGTCCACGCTGAGGGCAGCTCTGCTGCCACCCCACAGCTCGGGATGCAATTAAACACGAGGGGGTTTGAAAAGGAGTAAGTGTTCATGATGTGTGACAGAGCCTACGTGGTAAACCACTCTCCTTGAATAAAACGAAGGCTTAGCATCAAATAAGAAGAGAAATGACCCTCCCCCCTTTGGGACCTCGTCTTAGGCGATGACAACAGATTTTTGGCCCTCAGAGGCTTGGTTCTATAGGAGTTGGAATGTTTCACATGGAAATGGCTTCCCTAGGTCATGACAAGGCAGCTCTGATTTCATTTCCACACCATGCTGTGTTGCATTGCACCTTCCGCAGCCAAGGCAAACTCCAGATGCATTTCACTTCATTGAATTACATCTGAGTACAACGAAAGGAAGTCATTCATTTGATCATTTACACCACCCTCTCCCTACCCTGCTCTATTCCCTGTATTGGTGACACAGCAGCACTTTTACCCCTGCGAGTGCTGGGCAGAAGGGAACCCGCTGCCCTTTGAAGGGATGTTACGTCAAGAGCTCAGATCGGGTTGGACACAGGGGCTTGGAGCAAGCTGCTCTAGTGGAAGGGGTCCCTGCCATGGCAGGGGTTGGGGCTAGATGAGCTTTGAGGTCCTTGCAATACAAACCATTCCATGCTTCTATTATGTTCTAGCTATATTCTATGATATTTTCTCTTGAGCTCTTGGCAGCTGAAGCTCATGATGGTTCCAGACAGCTCCAGGACCCTCTGGCCAAGCTCTCCCTCACAAGATCCCACTGCATTTGACCTCAGCACTTCAGCACCTCAGTATCTTCTTAACAGCTTCTTCATAGCTGTCACGGAGTGATAGTTGCCTTCTTACAGCTAAAGGAGTTTACAGAGAGGAGCTGATTGAACCAATAAGGGCACACAACACACCTACACCACCTCTCTCTGTTTCAGCTCAGAGTATTAGCATTAGCATTAGTATTAGTATCAGTATCAGTATTAGTATTAAAGTGTAATCAGAGCCTGTTCTATTGCTCTTTTGCTGCTGGGGACCTCCAAGAAAGGGGTCAGGTGTTCCCCACTGTCCCCAAGGCCACTCTACCACTGGCCAGAGCTCCTGCCTGGTGGATGCTGAGCTCCCAGCTCCACCCCAGCTGCCACCATCACGGATGGATGTCACTGTGCCTTATCCCTGTGCCCGGAGCAGGCGGCTGCCCTGATGTGGCAGTGATGGGAGGAATCCTGGTCAGTTCTGGTCCCCTGCAGGGATCTCTGGAGCATCACATAAAGCCCTGCATGAGGGGAGAGCATCCAGCTGCTGCTTTGGAGCCAGTTCTCCTATTACCTGGCAAGGAGAGCTGAAATGATCCCTCTCACCGTGGCAGAGGAAACCAAACTGCTTGCATCCTATTCAAATCAGGTGTCAACGCTGAGAGAGGATCCTCTTAACTTCCACCGGCTTGTCTGAGGCTGGCTGCTACCGGGGGACGTTTCATCTCCCTCCCGTCTAATCCAGGCAGATGTGTGATATAGCATAAGCTAATATAATAGGTCATGCAAGGATTTACATCTCATTACTGCAGGTTAGAGTCCTGGCAGGGAGGATGACTCACTCTGACTTGAATATATTGAGGGGATAAGGAACAGTTCAGCTGCCCGAAGAAGAGCAGATGGGGAAATCAACTACCTTGAAGCATTCCCAACCCTCCGAAGGCCCTTTCTCCTCTATCTGCCTCCAGATGGGACACTGGCCCTCTGGAAAGAGCCTGGGCCAAGGAGCCAGAGGGATTGGAGAGCTTCCATCAGCTGCAAGAGCTCCTTTTGCCCTTTGCTGCATCCCTATAGAAGCAGCTCCATACCCCGTGCAGGTATTCACATGCTCATTTTCACCTAGCTGCCTTGGCCGAGCACTGCTGCTCATCACGAGCTGCTTCCTCTCTGTCTCTCAGACAGGGAGGCTACAGGGGAGCTGACCTATCCAACCCAGCTGGAAAAAATCGGTCCTGACTTCAAGTCTCTTGCTGTTAGTGAGTGCTTAGACAGAAATCCGGCCTGAGCAACGCTCCCAGGACCAGCCGCATCCAGAGCCTGCTCTGAACCAGCCCGGGGCTCAAGCCTGCCCTGGGCATGGGACACGAGCTGGGGTGCTTTTCCTGCCCTCTGCCCCTCTTTCCCCCAGTCCTTGGCTGATGGACAGCCAGAACTTGGACACGCTGTTTCCAATGGGACGCCAAGGAAAATAGCCAAGACAAATATGGGATTTATTCCCGATTTAGTTTCCCTTTAAGCCACGTTTCTGCCTGGTGCCACCTTGGGCGAGGGGGGAAGGGAAAAGATGGCCCCATTCCCCCTCCCTCCTTCACTTCATCGCCTCACAGCTGTTCCAGCATTTTTAATCTGCAGAGGTTCTCTTAAATTTGGGCAATGCGATGATTTCCCAGAGCCGGGATTGGGGTTTGAAGCTGCGCTGGTTTTCTCATGAGCAGAGAAGGGGAAAAGGGAGAAATGCCCGTGAAAGCCAGGCTGGCCATCTGGAAGGGAGGTGCGTTTCTGATGCCATTAATTGCTCACTCCCTAAGGCCCCTGGTATGGCTGCAGTCAAGGGAGACCGCAGGAGTGGGAAGTGGGAGTGGGGGCAGGATGGGAGCCAGGAAAGCTGGAGGGGCCGAGGGAATTACACAACGAAATCAATGCCTGCTCTGACCTCAGCCTATTGATTTAGGCGACTGATGGACGCGTGGGTCCCTGGGTTGCACATCAGCGGGTGTGAGCTTTAATGGCAATTAATACCATTAGTAGGAACGAGAGGAAGAAGGATTTGGGCACGGCAGCCCTTAGCTCTACAAGCAAACAACAGTTGCTCCCTGTGCACGGCACATATGGCTTTCACAGGGTGTTAAATCCGGCTTTTCCCCCGCCGCACCAGGCCGATGGGGACAGACGGGAGAAGCGCCTCGCTCCTTGTGCCCGCTGCCGGCCACGGGCGCAGGGGGACGCCGGGCTCGGGGCGCGGGGGTCGGGCGGAGCTCACGGCATCCCCCGGGGCTGGGGCCGGGGGGGCGGCGGCGGCGGCTCCGCCTCTGCCTGGCGGGGGGCGGCGGGGCCGGGGCCGGGGCGGTGCTGCCGCCCCGCACACACCGGAGCTGTCCGCGGCACGGTGCTGCAGAGCCCGCCCGGCCCCGGCCCCGGCCCCGGCCCCGCCATGGGGACACGCTGAGCACCGGAGCGGGGACCCGGCAGAGAGGGAGCTCGGCGCCGCTGCACCCCGGCTCCTCAATCACCCCGTGCCCCGCATCCCAGGAACTCGGCTCTGCTCCATCCCGGCTCCGCAGTAACGCCGGGAGCTCACCCCCGCAGCATCCCGGGTAACCCCGTGCTCCGGCATCCCTTGAACTCAGCTCCGCTGCGCCCCGCCTCCTCAATCACCCCGTACTCCAGCATCCCAGGAGCTCGGCGCCGCTGCACCCCGGCTCCCCGCTAATCCGGTGCTCCGGGAACTCACTTCCACAGCATCCCGGCTCCCGGGTATCCCCGTGCTCCGGCGCTCCGGGACTCGGCTCCGCTGAGCCTGGCTCCTCAATAACCCCGTACTCCTGATCCCCGGGAATCCGCACCACATCTCCCCGGCTTTCCGGTAACTCCCGCTACCCCAGCACCGAGTACACCTCGGCTCCTCCTGACTGTGCATCCCCACCCTGACCCCTGCACCCCATCTCCCCGTTGACCCCGGGTCTCCCAGCACCCCATCTCCCCGGCACCCCTGCTCCCCCCGGGACCGCGACCATGGCGTTCATGGTGAAGAGCATGGTGGGGGGGCAGCTGAAGAACCTGACGGGCGGCCTGGGCGGCGAGGAGAAGAGCGAGGGCGAGAAGTCCCCGGCCGAGGCGCAGGGAATGACCCGGGAGGAGTATGAGGAATATCAGCGGCAGCTGGTGGAGGAGAAGTAAGTGAGCCCTGCGGCGGGCACCGGGGTGTGGGGTGCCCCCTCTGCAGCCCCACGCATTGGAGCCTGGGGGGGGGGGGACGGACAGCGCTGGGGACAGCAGGGCTATGAGGGACTCTAATGAACCCCCTAATCCCTTAATCCGCTTCCTCGCCCGGGAGATGGGATTGTTTCCTCCTTTCGGGATGCACTGGGAGGGGAGGAAGTGGTGGGGAAATGGGGCTTTGCGGAGGGGATGGGGGGTACCCGGGCTGTGGGGGGGGGGATGTTCAGACCCCGGTAACTGCCCCCTGTGGTTCACAGGATGGAAAGAGATGCCCAGTTTGCCCAGCGCAAGGCGGAGAGAGCCACGGTCAGGTCCCACTTCCGAGACAAGTACAGGCTCCCCAAGGTACTGCCCTGCTGGGCATTGGGGGGGGGGCACCCCAGAGCAGCCACCGGGGGGCTCTGTGCATGGGGAAGAGGCACCACAGCTCTTGGCTGGGGGGGGCTCCGAACTACAAAGCCCAAATGCAAACCAGTTTCCCCCCAAAGCACCCTCCCATGTGAACCCTGGCCCCTTCCAGTCACCCCTGAGCACCGCAACCCGCACAGAGGGACCCCCAGCACCCCCTCAGCCGTGCTTCATCCCCATTTTCCTCTCTTTTGCTCCCTAAACCCAGCTGGATGAGGGGAAGCAGCCGTCACCCCGGGCTCTCAGCCCTGTAGCTGGGAGCGGAGCTGGAATTACACCTTCCCGGCTGGATTAGCCCTCTCCTCTGCCCGGATTATTTGGGAAACACTTCCTACCTAAAGCCCTGTTTTGGAGTTTCCATTCTGGTGATGAACGATTCACCAGGAACAATCCAATCAAGGCAGAATTCAGCTATTCTTGGACCTGCTACAAGCTCTTCTCCCCCCAAACCCCCCATTCATTCAGCAGGAGCCTCAGTGGTGAATACTCTAAATTGGAGCCAGGCTAATATTAGTTGGGAAAGGTCTGCCCAGCCAAGTGGCATTGTTCAGACTATTTGTTAGTGCTCAGCACCCCCTGCTCCAAACACCCCTTGTATTGCCATGGAATAAACAGCTGGAAAAGGAATCTTTCCCCTGCCAAAAGCGAGAAAAGGCAGAACGGGACCGAGATTCCCTTTGCTCTCTGGGGGAAAGCGGGATTAGCTCAGCTCTGGCCCCCGATCCTTATCCTTTCCATGCTGGAGATGTCCCTTCTCATCTTCTGACAAGTTTCTTTTGCTCATCACTGATGCTGCTTGGCAGCCCGGCTGCCTCTTGCCGTGCCTTCCTGTGGCTCTGTAGCCCTGCTCTCCGTGGGCACAGCCGTTGAGTGTACGTGGAACTTAACCGGGTGCTAAACATCCCCAGCACCAGTTTACACCAATGCTTGCACCCTGGGGTCCCTTGGTGTGCGCCCAGGCTCTGCTCACCCGCATCCCCTCGGGGTCAGCATCCTACCCACAGCACGAGCGCGGCTGGCACCCCGCAGGGACCATCCCACATGGACCTGAGTGCAGGGAGACAGCTCAAAGCCCACGCTCTGGAGCACTGTGAGCCCTTCACGTGCCCTCAGCGCCTGCAGAGCCCCCCCGTGCCACCCCCTGACCTCCGCCTTGCCCATTGCAGAACGAAACGGATGACAACCAGATCCAGCTGGTGGGAGGTGACGTGGAGCTGCCCAAGGAGCTGGCCAAGATGATCGAGCAGGACAACGAGGAGGAGGAGGAGAAGAACTCGGTTATCGGCCAGCTCAGCAACATCCAGAACCTGGACCTCGACTCCTTGAAGGACAAAGCCTCGGCCACGCTCGAGGACCTGAAGCAGTCGGCTGAGAAGTGCTCCATGATGTGAGGTGGCAGCAGCCCCGCTCCCCGCCGGCAGGATGGGAAGGGAGGGGGGCAGCCGAGCGGTGCCGCCTGCAGCGGGGACCCCACTGATGCTGCCCCCCTCGTCCCGCAGAGCCGGGTCCTCCTCCTGCCTCAACCCCTGCCCCAGGTGTCCCTGGTGTGTGGCTGTTGTCCTGTTCTCCGATCCGAGGTTAGAGCCGAGAGGCAGCATGTTCCCCTGTGCCCCATCCCACCCCTGTGCCCGGCAGCGGGTGTCCCTAGGGAGAGTGGGGAAGGAAAGCCCGGAGTGACCTTGGGGTGTCATTGAAGCACATCAGCATGGGAAGGCAAAGGCTTTCCCGCAGAGCGGTGCCCAGGCGCCGGGTTCCTGCCTCCTGGAATGATGGGGAGGCTCCGGTTTGCTCTGCATGGTGGGAGATGCGAGTTAACCTTCCATATGGGCAAGAGACACCAAGCACTGCCCTTGAGGGCCCCTCCGCAAGGAGTCAGCTGGGAAGGACCTGCTATATGATCCCAGTCAGCCCAGCGGGAAGGGGGTGTTGAGGACCGGAGGGATGGAGCCTGAATTGATGCCAGAGAGGAATAAACCCCGCTCCCCGGTGCCCATGGGAGCCCACACCAGCCCTTCCCCGGGGTGGGAGCCGCTCGTGTCCTTGTTCCTTCCAGGAGAACAAAGTGGAAAGGGAATCTCTCCTCCTCCTCCTCCTCCCCTGTCGTGCTGTACTTGTGCGCTGTGCTCATCGAGTGTCTCTCCACCTCCTCTGCTGTCCCCGTGCCATGGTACAGTTGTAACCGGTGGAATAAATACCAGGAGATGTCTATGCACTTCTGCCCGTCCTTGAGCAGTGCTCGCCTCGGGTGCAGAGAGATCAAGGGCATCCCCTTTGCAGAGCAGGGGGAGCGGGGCTGGCGGCTCAAAGGGGAGACCTCCAGCAGCATCATCCAGCAGGGAGCAGCTCGCTGGGCTCTGGGTGGGTGCTTTGCAATGGTTTGCACCAAAGGGATGCTACAAGAGGTTTCTTGTCAGCAGATGGGTTTAAAAGCCAACAATACCCCCAAATCCCACAGATTTGGGGCTATTTGAGTAAAAAGCCTTCAGCTCATGCACGGCCTCAGCCTCAAGGGGTGTCCATGGCACTGCTCCGAGCAAGGACACAGCTTTGCCCAATACACGTCCAAGCCGGAGCAGCTCCAGCCTGGCTGCATCCCGGCAGGGGAGGTGGGCGCCTGCAGCAGCCTCCCTGGGAAACACTTGGCACCGGCTGGGAATGTCTTGCTCCACATCCCAGAGGCGGGGATGGATTAACCGTGATTTGCTTTGGCAGGGGAGTTGGGTCAGGCAGGAGAACACAGGGAGGCTGCGGGAAGCTGGGGATGGTGGTTACTTGTTCTTACTGCAGTCAAGGATGCTGGATCAGGCCATGTGGGGCTGAGCAAAGCTCCCTGGTACAGCCAGGAGATTGCTTCCTGCCCACAGATCCCTGGTACTGCCATGCTGGGGCCTGAAACCCTCCAAAACCAGAGGTTTCCACAGAATCCCAGCCTGGTTTGGGTTGAAGGGACCTTAAAGCTCATCCAGTTCGAACCCCTGCCACGGGCAGGGACACCTTCCAGTAGAGCCGCTTGCTCCAAGCCCCTGTGTCCAGCCTGGCCTCGAACACTGCCAGGGATGGGGCAGTCACCTCTCAGAGGACATCAGGCACTGCTTTGGCTGCCAGGATGGACAGAGGCAGCCCAGGAAGGGTGCTCTACCCATGGGGACTCACATCATCACAGCCCCACAGGGGCCCACCACCGCCTTGAGGACATCTGCTCCAACCCAGCCCCACACAGAGAAAAGAAGGGGGGAATATGGGCAGCAGCAGCTTTAGCTCCAGAAAGGGATCATACCTGATGAGGATGAGCCCAAGCTCATCTAATCCCCCCCCAGGAAAGCGATAGCAGGACCAAGCCGAGCCCTCCGGCATGGCTTGGCTTTTAAACCCCAGGCTGACGGCGAGGCCCTGATCAATAAAACACCCCTCTGGAGCAGCGGGAGGGATGCGGGAGGGATGCGGGAGGGATGCGGGATGCAGCCCTTGGGTCCAGGTGAGCAGCGCAGCCCGCGGCTGGTGCATGTGCCCCCCTTCCCGCTCCCAGCCCACGTGCTGCCACGCAAAGGCCGCGTGAAGCTGCCCGGGTTTATTTTAGGAGGCTCCATGACCCCCAGGCATGTGAAAGCAAAGCAGCAGTGCAGCCCTCGCTCCTCCCCATTCCTGGCGGGAGCTCCGGGGATGCTCCGAGCCCGGTGCTGTGCCAGGGAGGACAGTTTGGGATGGGGGGGGAGCAGCGCCTCCTGCCCAGCGCGACGCGCATCCTGTCTGCTGTCATTCCCTGCAGCCGAGCATCCCGGCTGCCTGCACGCCATACGACTGCTCCGGGCATCAACACGCAGCCTGGAAAACTCAAAGCAAAGAATGAGTGTGGATTAAAGCAGGAAAGATCCAGATTTTCCTTTGCTACGCTATAAACCTCTCTAGAATTCCCTCACCTATGAGGCCAGGTTTGGTGTGATTCCTCAAGCTGGATGCTAGAGGATCACTGTGGACAGAGCTCCTGCTTTCCAGCACCAGCTGTGGAACAGGCCCTCATCCTACAGAGCAGGATCAGGCCTCTTTTCCACTGGTGAGCAAGTGCTTTCCCCAAATGAGCAGTCATTAAGCACTGAACCAAACAAACCAGCACGGCATGATGCGGGATCTCCACTGAACCCTTTCCCATCCCGCTGCAGCGTCACGGCGCTGCTGCTCCAGGTACCAGGGTTAATCGGGATCCATCCACCCAACACAAAGCCGGGGCATCCCCCCCCCCCCCCCAAGCTCCGGCACCCCCGGAGCCTCTTCCTGCTTCCAGAGCTCCGGATTCATCCGTGTCTTCGGCAGAGCGGAAAGGCAGATGCGATTATCCGCCCCGGCTGCGGTGCCGCCGTCCCCAGCGGCTCTGCGCTCGCCACAGGCCGGGGAGGGCAGGGGCTTTGGAAGCGCTTTAAAGCCTCAGGGAATAATCTGTGCTCACAATAATAACAATAATAAAGACGTGGAAATGCCTTCCCCCAGCTGCCCGGCACGGAGCAGATGGATAAGGACTAAAGGCTGGGGATGGAGGGAGGAAGAAGCCACGTTATGGGGTAGCATCTGGGGTGAAGGCAGCCTCAGGAGGAGCTTTGCTGGGATCCTGGCTCAGACCAGCCCTGGGACACCCCAAAGTGACCCCGATCCGTCCCCACACCCCCCTGTCCCTCACCCGCCACAACTACCGAGTGGAGAAAACGTGATTTTACGTAACCTTTCGTGTTGTTCTGCTCCGTGTTTGACAGAACCCAAAGGATCTGAAGTGAAAACAAGGTCAAGGCTGGCTTTGGCTGCCTCATGTCCCCAGGGAGGACGGGAGCTGGGAGGAGAGGAGGGAAGGGGATGCCCCAGCTCCGCTCTTGGCCAGAGGCACAGAGACGAGGGGTCTGGCTCCAGGCACCCCGGGCTGGGTCATGGTCTTGGAGCTCCCTTTGGGGTTAAAGCACAAACCTGAGACAGGAGGAGATGGAGAAACCCAAACCAAGTGTTTATTTGAGACAATAAATTACGTTCCCTTTGCAGTGCAGCAGACAGGGAGGAGGGCCCCTGCTCTGCAGGACAAGGCGACCTCAGCACCCAAAGTGATTCAGCAGGACTTGGGGGTGGTCTGGGGACATAAGTGGGCTGCTGGGGTTGTGAGAGCCCCAAGAGCTCTCACCCTGCCCACTGAGCACTGACCCCTCACGGCACAGATGAAAGCGCAGTCGGTACCCACCAGCCCCCAGCACAGGTTGAGGAGCAGCAGGAGGGAGGGCCGGCCGGGCCATGGAGGCCGGAGGCGCGGTGATGGGCGCAGAGAGGTAGTTGCTGGGTGAGAAAGGCACAGCGTGCCGAGCCCTGCTGCCTGCCCCACCAGTGGGGCTGTGCGGTGCTCAGGGCCACCCCAGGAGGATGCGGGAGGTGGAAGAAGAGACAGGAGCCGCATGGGCAGGATGTGGGGTTATCCTGCCGGAGGCGGTGCCAGGATAACAACACCCACCCGTGGCAGCCAGCAGAAGGAATTAGGGTGGAATAACGGCACACCAGGGCTGGAGGGGATCCCGCCTGTCGGGAAGGGAAGCAGGCACATGGCCCTGCGGACCCACCCGAGCAGGGGAGCTCCCCAAGGCGGTCACCCCAGTGCAGGCAGGATGAAAGCCTCGTCACCCCCTCCATCCTCCCTGGGTGAGCAGCATCCCGGCGGCCGGCTCCGGGCATCACTGCAAGGTACAGGCTGTGCGGGGGACAGGGGACACTCATTGGGCTGCACAAGCCATTGTCTCCCAGCGCCCATGCATGCATAAAGGTGTGCGGGGTCGGGATCACCCGTGGGCAGGAATATCCCCATGTAGGGGCATTCCCCACCACAGGACCGCAGGCTCCGATGGGATGGGGATGGACACTCACTGCTCCGCACGGGCTCTGCCAGCGCTTCCTTGCCCATGGATTGTGCCTCCCGCATCTGTCAGGGGAGAGGAGAGGCTTCCAGCCTGAACCCCCTCCAGCACGCTCCAGAGCCCCCCACAAGCAGCAATACCTTCATCTGCTCCTTCAGGTACTCGGCTCGAGACATCAGGGTCTGGATCTGGCACAGGAAGAGAGGGAAGCGTCTGCACGAGTCTCTTCACAGCCACCCCAAGGGGACACGGGGCCGTGCCCAGGCTGTTCCTCACCTCTGCATGCAGCAGCTCCCGGCGCCTCCCCGCAGGCTCCGCTGCAGAAGGAAGAGGGATGCAGCATCAGCCCAGTGCCCGGCACAGGACCGGCCCCTGCAGCACCCACCATGGCCACAACTCACCAGCCAGCAGCAGCAGCAGCTCCCCCAGGCTCTGCTGGTACAGCTCCAGGGTGTCAGCATCGTCCTTGCCCTCCTCCTCCTGCCAGACAGCCCTTGCCAGGCACCAGGGGATGCAGCAGCTTCCACCCCACACAGGGCTGCTCCTGCCCCTTCCACTCGAGGGCACCCCAAGCCCACCCCTCACCTTAGCGATGGCAGCAGAAGCCATCTCCAGCGCAGTGCAGAGCCGGGGCTTGTCCTTGGCCATCTCTGCAAGGGGGAGCACCCTTCAGCCCCAAACCCCACTGGGTGCCCCCCTCCTGCTCCCACACCCTCAAACCCCCGGTACCTCTAAGGAGCTCTCTGGCCGGGTTCTCTCTCTGCAGGAGGGTCTTGCTGCTGGAGGTGACCAATGCCTTCAGCTCCTCTGCTCGGGAGATGTACTGCCCCACCTGCCCACAGCATGTGAGGGGAGCCCGGCATGGGGACAGCCTCTGGGTGGGATGCTGTCCCCACATCACAAGGGATTCTTATCTCACCTTGGCCCGGATGGCTTCCTTCCGGCGAGCATCACTTTCATCTGGTGGGGAAGAGCGACTGAACGTCAGGGTGGTTGGGGTGCAAACCAGCAACCCCTGGGGTGCTGTGCCCCCCCCAAACACACCCAGGACCCCCTCAGGGGGGACTCACAGTGCAGAGCAGGCACAAAGTACTCCAGGGCTTTACAGTAGAGGGACAGGGCAGCAGAGGCATCTCCCTCCTGATCCTTCTTCACTGCTTCCACCACCAGGTCGGTCTGGGGGAGATGAGGGGGGATTCAGGGCTTGGTCCCCCACATCCCCAGGGACCAGCACCCCCGCAGCACCCCGCTCACCGCCTTGCAGAGGCTCTCGGGGCCGGGGACATGGTCCATATCCACAAAGGGGTGCGCAAAGAAGCGCTCGAAGGAGATGCGCTTCAAAGGGTCCCTTTCCAAGAGCTGTCCCAAGAGATCCCGGCATTCCGGGGAGAGCAGGGGCCGGCTGGGCAGCTGGGGAGGGAATGGGGCTGAGAGCACAGGCCCTGCGATGGGTGAGACGCCCCAGCTCCGTCCCACCCCATGTTACCTCCACAGCCCGATCGCTGCGGATCTTCTCCTCCAGCTCAGCGAAGGAGCGGGAGGCGAAGGGCGGCCTCCCAAAGAGTGCTTCTATGGGGGGAAAAGGGAGAGATGTGGGGATGGAGAGGGGGAAACCAGCCCCACACCGAGCCCTGGGAGGGTGGGGGGGGAATAAGAGCAAACACCCACCGTAAAGGATGACCCCCACCGACCACAGGTCTACCCGGGCGTCGTACTGCTGCCGGCACACCATCTCGGGGGCCATGTAGAGCGGGGAGCCGCGCAGGACGTGCTTCTCATCCCATGGGGACATGTACTGGGCAAACCCAAAGTCTGCAGCGGGAGAGGGTCAGGAGAGCTTTGGGGAGGGGGGGGGAGCAGGGAGAAAGAATCCCCCCACCACCACCACCTCTGGACCCCTCCATGGGGCTGCCCTGACCTGCCAGCTTCAGCTGCGGGTGCTCCGGGGCGCTCAGGAGGATGTTCTGCGGCTTCAGGTCCAGGTGGGAGATGTTGTGGTCGTGCAGGAACTTGAGGGCGCAGGCTGGGGGGGGCAGAGGGGGGGTGTGACAGTGGGGATGGGGGGGGGGCACCACCGCATCCCTGACCCCCCCATTCCCCAACCCCAGCCCCCGGGCAGGGAGCCCTTACCCAGCTGCTGCAGGAACACGCGCGCCACCTTCTCCGGGAGGATCCTGCGCATCCGGATGAAGCGGGAGAGGTCCCCCCCCGCGCAGAACTCCATGATCAGGTAGATGTGGTCGCTGTCCCACTGCGAGGCAAGGGGAAAACCGGCTCACACCGGCGTGCCCTGCCTGCGGCACCCCAGAGCCATGGGTACCCCCGGCCCCACCTGGAAGTCCTTGAGCTCCACGATGTGCGGGTGCCGGATGGTCTTGAGGATCTCGATCTCGGTCAGCAGGTTCTCCACCGAGGCCCGGTTGAGGCTCCTCTTGCTCACGCACTTGATGGCCACCACCTCACGCGTGTCCCTCTGCCAACGGGAGCACCCCCCCGCTCACGGCCACCCTTGCGGGCCGGGGTCTACACTCCAAGGGGGTGGTAACGGGGGGGGACACGGGACAGGCCCCCATAGAGGGGCTATGGGGCTGACACCCACGTGGAGGGCTGCGAAACGGGGCTCGCAGGGCACAGCGGGCCCGGCCCGGCCCTACCTTCCTGTAGGCCTTGTAGACGGTGGCGTACGTGCCGGTGCCGAGCCGCTCGGTGAGGATGAACCCGTCCAGGCGCGGCGGGGCCCAACCGGACCCCGCCATGCCCCAACCGGACCCGGTGCCCGGCCCCCGGTGCCGCTTCCGCCTTCCGGTGCTGGCCACGCCCCCTTGCCCATAGCCACGCCCCCGAGGCTGCCCGCACTCAGGGCTGGCGCTGGCCACGCCCCTTTGGTGGTAGCCCCGCCCCTTTGGTGGTGACCACGCCCCTTTGGTGGTGGCCACGCCCCCCCCCCCGCAGGCCGCAGCAGGGATTGCAGGTGCGCACATGGGCATTTTATTATTAACCTTTATTCTGGACATGAAAAGATGAGGAACAAAACCCGACAATAACGATACGGGAGGAGGGAGGGAAGTGCCGGTGCCCGGGTGAGGAGGGCACCGGGCACACGCTTAGGGAAGGGGGGGGGGGGGGGAGAAAATGCAACTTTCCCCCCTAAACAGGAAGGGACAGACACGGCACAAAGTCAAACCTGTGTTAAAACCCTCGCTCCGGGGATGGAGAGCCACAACGGGCGCCTTATCCCCACCCAAAGGGATGTCCCGTTCGGGACACGGCCTTGGGAGCTCAGGGCACATCAAACCCGCTCGTTCCCAGCTGGAAAATAACCCCCAAATAATACTAAACCACGTCAAAGCCGTTCGTTCCCAGCTGAAAACTCACACGTGGGAGGAGGAAGCAGGGAGGGGCTGTCCCGGGAGAAAATTCCATGCACTCTTCCGCCTGGCAGGCTCTCAGGGTTGGGGGGAGACCGGCGGCGCAGGCACCGGGGGTGTCCGAGCTCCCAGACAACAGAGCTGGCCCGGCAAGAAGTCCCTGTTGCCCTCCCTCCCCTCGTTTAAGGCCGCAGTGAAGACGCAGCCCCAGCCCTGCTGCTCCCTTCTCTCCCCCTGCGTTGCCCGGGGTGCAGGAGCGCCTGCAGGATCCTGGTGGAAGTACAGAGGGGATCTGCCACAGCGGGGAAAGCAGGAGGATGCTTCCCCTCCTGTCTAACCCCTCCCTGCTCCCAGGTTTTCCTTTGTGCCGTGGTTCCCTGCCTGTCAGGCAGCCGAGTAGGGAAGAGGCCGAAATACAGCATCGTTTAAGTGTAGTAAACCAAAAGGACAGTTTCTGCTCTCCAAATTAACGACATAAACTACATGCACGTTACACCACCACCCCCTAAACAGCAGATAACCAAGTTCTCCATAGCAAAGACCAAGAGAAGAGAGAATAACACAAAAGTCCTGCTTCCCCTCACCTCCCTGCTACACACAGGGCCAGGGGAGGAAGAGACACAAGCACATGGTAGGTCCTGGGTAGAGAAATATATTTGCTTCAGAGAATGTCTCCCCTATCTCCCCGCACCCTAAAACAAGACAGGGAAAACCGATCACCCTCAAACGCAGGCTGGTTGCAGCTAAAACCCAGGCCTCCTCCCCCCTGGAGTCGGCGTCACAACGTGGTACCCCCAAAAAGTGCATGTTTCCCAAACAGAAGTGGAGGTTGGGGTGAGGAGGGCAGCGGGAGCCAAGGGAAGGGCTAGTTTCCTTGGAACGCGCTGTGTGCTGCTGAGGAGGCTGCCCCAGCAGCGGCCGTCTGGAAGCTCCTGTTGGTGAGGATGCCCTGGGAGAACTCTTCCTGCGCCCTTTGGAAGCTGGCTCCCGTGCGTCGGTACAGGGAGTGCACCTGGGAACAGGGGCAGAGGGGGAAAACAACCACAGATGAGCATGAATCGTGGGTTTGCGGTGCACATCGTGCGCTCATGCAGCTGGAGAGGATGGGCTGGAGCCACTGCATGCATCCCACCCGGGAGGGGAGGCTGCACATTGCAGGAGACCCTCGTTTTCTTGTAAAATAGGGAGTTTTGAGCAAAATAGTGGGTGTCAGAGCAAAACTTCCTGCACTCCGCTGGCAAGGACACTGAACCCACGCTTACAGACACTTGCAGAGCAGGGTGCATCAGGTGTTTCCTTCAAGACAGGGAGAAAAGGAGCAGGAAGCAATGGCAACAGGACCAGTTCAGCCTGTCCTCGCCTCCCCCAGAGCCACGTTGCTGCTGTTAACTGGGGAAACACAACCCTCACGTGGTTGATCACAAGGAGGGCTTGTGCTTAGGAACCCCCAGGAAGGCACTTGTGTGGTTGCCACCAGGCTTTGGGAAGCCCCAGAACACTGTGGCAGCAGTGACTGTAACCCCTGGATATGTGAACAAAGCAATGGCCTCTGCTCAGCCAGCTCTGGCCACACTCAAGCTAAAGGGAGGCACAAGAAATCTAAGGTCCATGTGAGATGAGGATGACATCTGAGACCTTGCACAGTTAATGGTGTGCCTTGCTGAAGCATCTGTGCTCTCATCCCTTCCCCAAAGGCTGCTGTCCCGCCTGCAAGTGTTCAAGACATTTGGCATCAAAGCAGGAAGCACAAGCACAAATACATTGATTAAAGCTCTTGGCCTGACCACCCCGATTACACCTACAGCCTGGAGAAGGTTCTGAGCAGCTCCAGTGCCTAAAGGGGCTGCAGGAAACCCGGAGAGGGGCTTGGGACAAGGGCCTGTAGGGCCAGGCCAAGGGGAATGGCTTGAACCTGCCAGAGGGGAGACTGAGATGAGCTCTTAGGCAGAAGCTCTTCCCTGTGAGGGTGCTAAGGCGCTGGCACAGGGTGCCCAGAGAAGCTGTGGCTGCCCCATCCCTGGCAGCCTGAGCTGTGCACCTGCAATTGAGATGAGAACTCGCCCTGCCCCTGAGCCACTCACCTGCTTGAGGAGGAAGAGGGAGAGAGCCGCGCAGAGAGTGAAGAATCCTGCCACCACCATCATGATGATGGCCACGGCCAGGTTCCCGTGCAGCTCCGACAGCGCCGCGATCCACCCACTGCGGGACAGGAGAGCAGCGTGAGCACAGAGAGCACCACTCACAGCACCCACAGCTACACAAAAGCCTTTTGTTACAGCAAGGTGCAAACCCAAACACAACAGCTGTGGAAATGGACCCAGAGTTCATCCAGCATCATTTTATATGGAGGATGTGGAGCTGCTGGAGCGAGGCCAGAGGAGGACATGGAGATGCTGCGAGGGCTGGAGCAGCTCTGCTCTGGAGCCAGGCTGAGAGAGCTGGGCTGGGGCAGCCTGGACAAGAGAAGGCTCCTGAAGGGGAGACCTGAGAGCAGCTCCAGTGCCTGAAGGGGCTGCAGGAATCCTGGAGAGGGGCTTGGGACAAGGGATGTAGGGACAGGACAAGGGGAATGGCTTTAACCTGCCCGAGGGGAGACTGAGATGAGCTCTTAGGCAGAAGCTCTTCCCTGGGAGGGTGCTGAGGCGCTGGCACAGGGTGCCCAGAGAAGCTGTGGCTGCCCCATTCCTGGCAGTGTTCAAGGCCAGGTTGGACACAGGGGCTTGGAGCAAGCTGCTCTAGTGGAAGGCGTCCCTGCCTGTGGCAGGGGTTGGAACTGGATGAGCTTGAAGGTCCCTTCCAACCCAAACCAGTCTGGGATTCTAGGATTTTGGGGACAGTTTCCATTATCACTTCTTGGAAGCAATCCACCTCCACACAAGAGAACCATTCTCACTCCACCTGTGTTCCAGCCCTGGCCCCTGCTGCACCCCCTTAACCTGCAAAATCAGGACCCTTGGTGCTGCTGTAAATCAAATCACCTCCATAAGCACCTTGTCAAAATTCAGCCAAGGCTTGTGAAGATAAGGTGGGACACCTAAATTGGAAGATCTGGAGCCCAGACCTACATATCCCCATGACAGCTCTGCATGGCCAGGGACTTAAGTGTTAGGAGGGGGAGGCAGAGGAAGAGGAAGGAAGGGATGAAGTTAGAGCTACAGATAGGAGGAAACTGGCACTTGTGGAAGGGGCAGGGGGGATGCTTGGAGTTATCAGTGCCTGGCTGTGGGCAAAAATACCCTCCTGGGTGCTGGAGAAAGGAATCTTTCCAACTGCTAAACCAAGCAAGCCGTGTGCCACCAGGAGAGGGGGAAATCAAGTGAGCCAAAGCGTCCCATGAGCCGTGCTCACCACTCCAGCCTCGTCACAGGGAGAGGCACACCACGAACTGCAGCCAAAAATAAATGCGCTGCCTGGCTGCGGAAGAGGCAGCAGCAGGCTCGAGGCACGCTCTGCGAGTCACACTGAAAGGGGAGAGCTCCCTCCCCGTCCCCACCGCTACGGCAGCACCAGGAGCAGGGGAGGGAGCACGAGGACAGCTTTGCCCACGAGCTCTTCTGCAGGCAGCGGGCCAAAATAGGCAGAGATTCACTGTGATCACGTCCTGAAGGCTGCCCCTCGGGAGAGGGGCCCCTGCCTGCTGACCTTTGCTGTGTTCAGTGAGGCTGCAAGCTGAGCAGCAAGGCGAAAAGAGAGGCTGTGCTCTAACTGCAGGGGCACTGCACAAGCTCAGCTGCAGCCTTCTGTACAGTGCCATCAAGAAAGGGTGAGGGCAAAACGCTCTCTGGGTGTTGCTTGAAGCACAACCCATCATCAACACAAGAGAAATCCAGGACCATCATCAGTGATTTAGTGTCACCATTTAGTGCCATAGGTTAGTGGTGGCCTTGGCAGTGCTGGGGTAAAGGTTGGACTTGATGAGCTTAAAGGTCTTTTCCAACCTGGTTGATTCCATGATTCTATGATCAGGCTATATGGAGTGAAGCTGTCCCCAGATCCTGGACGAGGGATGCCTCACCCCCACACTACAGCCTATATTGATGAAGGCTCCACTTTAACACAAGGCAGACGTGGTCAGCACTAGAGGCTCAGCATCAAGAAGCCATAAGTATTAGATGTGTTAAGCGAGGGGGAAGGCAGCAGCAACCGACAAGCTTTGTGCCTTTGCTGGGACTAGGATGGGAAGAGCCCAGCTGGGATCTGCCGGGGCGAGAGTGGAAAACCATGGGAGAAGGAACAGGCAGCTGTCAGAAACGGACCGCACAGCTCTGCCAGTCACAGCCCTGGTGAGAAGCAGCACCCAGGCAGGGCTGTCAGGCAGTGAGTGTATAGCCTAGCTTACCTGTCTCCCCAGCCTGGAATGCCGACAGCCTGGATGACGTAGATTGCTATTTGGCAGAAGAAGACGAAAAAGAAGACGAAGAAGCTGAAGGAGCTGTCAGACCTGCGGGAGAGACGGAGCAGGAGTGAGACCCAGCGACACGAGGCCTGCACAGACCCCCTTTGCCATGAGGGGGGTAAACAGCTTCAGCAAACTCCTTTATAGACCCTTCTGGCATGTTTAGGAACAAGTGGGTTTGATCTATTTAATGATGCAAAGAGCTGGAAGAATCCTGCAGGCAACACATGATGGGAGCAGATAAACCCAAAGTTCCTCCCACTAAAAGCTATCTCCCTGTTCCAGAAGAAAAGAGAACTTGCCTGAAAGCCTTGTAAATCGGTCGGTACCAACAGAGAAAGGCACAAGGGGTGAATATAATAAACCACAGGATGGAGAGACCGAAGTCTACTCCTCTGTCCGTCTGTACTGTGAACCACGCCAGGCAAGCGAGCAGGTTGAGAAGCAGAGTTATCGAATGCACTGTTCAGGATGGGAAAGAGAGAGAAAAAACCTATCAGGAAGTTCCTGGAAAACTCTGAAGCATCCCAAATCCCTCATGGAACACATGGAGCTCTGCAAAACATGAGAAAGCTTCGGGCCCTCTCATTTATAGAATCATGGAATGGTTTGGGTTGGAAGGGGCCTTAAAGCTCATCCAGCTCCAACCCTTTGCCATGGGCAGGGACACCTTCCACTAGAGCAGCTTGCTCCAACCCCCTGTGTCCAGCCTGGCCTTGAACACTGCCAGGGATGGGGCAGCCACAGCTTCTCTGGGCACCCTGTGCCAGCGCCTCAGCACCCTCACAGGGAAGAGCTTCTGCCTTATATCTAACCTGAACTTCCCCTTTTTCAGTTTGAACCCATCACCCCTTGTCCTATCGCTACAGTCCCTGATGAAGAGTCCCCTGCCTCCCTTGAAAGGGAACAGCTTAAACTGAGCCTCATCTGATCCTGCTGCTTCCAACCACATCTTAAATCTTTATCAGGGCACCAGAAGTCACAAATAAGGTTAAGACCATTGTGGACTCAATCTCTGACCTGTGCTGTCCTTCCTAAACAAGGGAGACATTATCTTACCCTGCAGACAACACGTGCAGAACTGACTGGAGGGCAAAGCTCAGCATTAGACACAGAACCTCCTTAGGAAGAAGCTTTTTTGCAGCTCAAGCTAGTACTTACACATCCACAAGTAATAGAGCATCTTGCATATCCGCTGGTAGTCAGCAGGGATGTCTGCAGAAAAATCCTGGTAAAAGCACGGCTTGATGGGACACTTCTTGGGAAGAGGTGGCCAGTTGTTCTGCCTCGCTGCAGGAAGGAGAAAGGAGCAGTTCTTCACTTGCTTTCAGCCATTTAAAACCAAGATTAGGGGAGATACAGCTGTGCTGTGGTTCCGAGAGCCTCAAAAGTGTTGGAAGAGCTTAACGTGGCCAAATGCAGGTGCTGAGACCATGCTGGAAGGCAGAGACCCACCAGAGCTGGTCTCCAGCCCCTCATCTCTGAGCTCAGTTCCCATCTGGGATGCTATGGGACGACAGGTACAATGCCAGGAGGATTGTCCCAGCTGTGAAGGACTCAAGGAAAGCCACGCAGACAGGCTGAGCCATCATCAAACCCTGGCAAGCCAAGCAGCCCGGGCTCCCCCGGCATCCCGCTGGATGGGGTGTTGCAGGAAGCTGTACTCACGATCAATGCTGGCTGCGTGACTCTGCAATTCCCTTTCCTTCTTCTCCAGCTCAGCTGCCTTCCTCTCTAATTCTGCCTGCTGCTGGAGGAGCCCAGCCTGTGCTGCTGCCGCCACGGCCTACAGCAGGGGGAGAGGAAGGTTAAGCCATTCCCTAGCTGAGGCAGCAGGAACACCACCAGCAAACACACCAGATGCCAAGCTGGAACGGAACAAAGGCGATCCAATAGCAAGGACTGAGGACGAGTTGGAAGCTGAACACCCACTGCTGATCTGAAATGTCCTGAGGCTTTCTGCCTTAGCTGGAGGCTGAAATCAAGCTCAATGCAGAGCTCCATCCAGATGTTCCTCTTATCCCATGGGAAAAGAGGGCTGGAAGAGCCCTAAGGAAGCTATGCAGTCTGTCACCCATCCTCTAAGCCCTTCACTTTCAGCAAAGCTATTCACTTCCCACAGCTTCTCCTCCTTCCCAGCTCATTGCTCCTCGCAACAGAGCAGCGAGCAGGACTCTGGCGTTTACCACAACAATCTCTTCCCGGGTAGGAGAGGAGGTCTAAAGGAAAGGCAGGAGCTGTCTACAGCACCTTTCAGCATCCCTTCTCCCTGTCTGTTACTCTAAGAACTGACCCCTTCTCCCAGCAGCCTTCTCTGCATCTGGGATGAGGTGGTCCTGGCAGTCAGGTACTCGTCAGCCGGTCTAAGCAGTGGCTCCAAAGAGCTGGACTGCATTTACATGCCTGGAATTGAGCACGTCTGACCAAAACTAAGGAACCAGAGCTAAAAGCATCAGCAGGACACATTCCTGTGTCAGCAGAGGGAAGCCAGAGCAAACAGGCTACAAGGCAAAGCAAGCTCCGACATCAGAGGCACAGGGGAAAAGGCATAAAAAGAACCGTGCGTATTCCCTATAGAGATCCACTTCACCAGATGGGCACAAACGTGAGTTTAAGAGATCATAGACTCAGACTGGTTTGGGTTGGAAGGGACCTTAGAGGTCACCCAGCTCCAACCCCTGCCACGGGCAGGGACACCTTCCACTGGAGCAGCTTGCTCCAAGCCCCTGGGTCCAACCTGGCCTTGAACACTGCCAGGGATGGGGCAGCCACAGCTTCTCTGGGCACCCTGTGCCAGCGCCTCAGCACCCTCATAGGGAAGAGCTTCTGCCTAAGAGCTCATCTCAGTCTCCCCTCTGGCAGGTTCAAGCCATTCCCCTTGGCCTGTCACTGCAGTCCCTGATGAAGAGAATGATGAAGAGATGACCTGTAGCTTCCCAACCCCTGGGAATTCTGTTCTGCTCCTATTCCCATGTGCCCCAGAGCCCCAGGTCTGCTCCCTCCCCTGCCCAGCCCATGCTGCTGTACCTGCGGAGTGGGCTCCACGGACGTCTGCAGAACCGCAGGCTGCGAGTGGCCCGAGGGCTGCGTGGCCGGTGTTGTCCGGGCTGCATTGGTCTGGGGATAAATCACAGGCAACAAAGAGAACCCATTACAGAGTGCTTCATTTGGCAAAGTATACTTTAGCTGTGGCATTACCAAAGCACAGAGCAACTCTGCTCTTCCAAAGCTTGTTAGCTCCTTAATGCACTGGGCGAGCAGCATCTGAGGGTTACAGCTATTAGGCAAAGACAAAGCAAAAAGGGAATGTGCTCAACTGTTTCAACTTCAAATCTCACTTCACCCTGCTGTTCTGTTCTCCTCTCACCTCACACACAGCAGCAGCCAGGAGATAAGCATGAAGTTCTTGCAGAGACCCATCACTGGTATCACTGCAGCAGCTCAGCTCCCAACCCCAAGACCCAATAAATATTGATGCCTCCTGCCACACAGCATCTTCCCCTTCACACTTCATGTAGCTCCACTGTGAGCCAGCAGCCAGTAGGAGAAGCTGTTCCGTGCGAGTGGAGAGCTCCAGCTGGGAACCTGTTAGTGCTCCAGTGCAGGAGCAGCTGCTCACAGCTCGCCATGCACGCAACGAGCTGCACAGTCCATGGGGAAATCTGCTGGGAATACCTCACTGTTTTGAAGCTGTGCCTATCAAGGAACCTTACATACCACCATAACCACCACCAAGGCACCCAAGTGCAGAGACACATGGCACGTACCAGCTGGGAGCTCTCAGAAAAGGGGTTGAATTCATCCAAGCCACTTTGGCTGGTGTTTGTGAGCTGGGTCACTGAGGGGTCCTGCCAGGAGAGAAAGCAAAGAGAAATCAGCGCTGAGCAAAGCTCATCATTAGCTTAGACATTACCCATTATCCATGCTGCCAGGCTGGCATCCCCTTGTTAGCTGGGAACCAGAGGGGGCTGGCAAGGGACTGAACTAACCCAGGAGGTGACTGTCAGCAAGGATGTGCAGGCAGGAACCACCTCCTGTCCAGCCAAGGGGTACTAGTGAAGAGCTCCAACACGCTGGTGGCACAGAAGCCCTTGCTGCAGATGACCACCACTTACCCACAGTGAGTTATCCCTCATTTCCAAGGCCTTGGAGTGGGAACTGGATTCATTCACCCACAGTCACAACATTGCTGATACCTCCTAAACCTCCCTGGCACCACAGAGCGAGTGAGGAGCCACCAAGCAGAGCAGAGCCTCCCAAAACGAGTATCCAGGTACAGTGGGCCTGGCTGCCACCCAGAGCACTTGGAGCAGCGAAGGTGCCAATGGCTGCTCCAAAATGGTTAAAACACCCAGGGAAATGGACCCAGCGGTGGGACACCCATTACTTTGGGGGGGGGGGGGAGGAGGAGGGTGGTGTTTAATGGTGCTACATAAGAGCTGTGTTCATGGCATCTCCCGCTCACCTCTGTCAAACAACCTGATGGTTTAAAATAGGTTCTCTGCTCCTCTGCTGGAAGAGCACCATTCATCCCTCACCTGCACTGCACTGAGCTGATTTCACTTTCTCTTCTGTACACACTCCTTTCCATACAGAGATCCCTCCTTGATAGCCAGGGTTTGACCTCTGCGGTGCTTCTCTCCCCAGTTATTAGAGAAACGAGGTACAAGGGGAATGCTCCTGCAAGCACAGCCTGGCTACCCCATAGCTGGTATGGGGAAAACATCAACACGTGGCTTTTTCTCCCTCCCTCAGCACCCCATGTCTTGAGATCAGTGATTTTATACTTAATGGGGTGAGCAGCAGCTGAGGCTGTGACAAGGGAAGGGGGTGCTGCCCGAGCCCATGTGCTGCAGAGAAGCCTTTGGGCTTGTGTGAGCCCTGCCAGAGCCATCCCCTGAGGTCCCAGCAGAGCCTTCAGATGCCTGAGGAGCAGTTAATGAGTAACTTCCCCTCTCCTCCATAGCAAGCACTCCCTCTGCAACAGGTCGCACTAGTTTCTGAATCACCCTGTGCTGAGGGATGCCAGACCAGGAGCCTTCGGATGCTGCTCTGTGAGGTTCGAGTCCCCAGCCAGGCAGGGCTGTGAGAAGCACCACAGAGGATGTAAGGACTCAAGACACAGGGTTTAGTTCACTGCTCGCTCCTCTGGAGGCTTTCACCTCGGGCTGCAGACACAAGGGCTGGCAACACGAGGTTACAAGTCAGTTAATCCACAATAGCTACTGCATGGTGGCACAGACACCCTTTAATCCAGCCTGGATGAGGTCCCAGCCTGACTAGAGTCCAGCAGATGACTGCACTAGGATGAGAAACTCAATTAATGGAATGGGAGTGGGAAACCAACCATCCAAAGAGCTTGGAAATAAGGAGGAACACTTGGAATGGCAATGCAAGACGTGCTTTTCTTCCCTTTGCTCATGTCCATTCAAAAGAAAGCTCCTAAGGTAACTGGAGGCTCACCAGCACAGCACTGCTGTTGGAAAGGGCAGGGAGAGCAGCACCACTGTCCCACTGCTTCCAGCTGCACAGCAGCTTGACTGCAAAGGGAGAATATCTCTCGTCTTGGTGCATGGCTTAAAAATCACTTACTTCAGCAGTGTGGCCAAGGCAGCTCAGCTCAGCTTCCTATTGTGCAAGTGTGCCTATAATGGCTATACAAAGAGCAGGGAACGTGCAACAAAGCTGAAGTGTGCTTGCCCCCATGTCCCTGTGCTCTGGAGCGGGCAGGAAGGAAACCAGCAGCTGGGAGATGGGGTGGTATAAAGGCACCCGCTTCCGCACGCCAGGACCGCACAGCTGAGGGCTGGGTAACGCAGGGGAGATGAACGAGAAGTTGCCCCAAACTCCACATTCTGCAGTTCCTTTCTGCCAGCTGCAGGGCAAAAGGAAGCTGACCTGATCCTTTATGCTTGAAACATGGAAAGAGGGATCTAATTCAACCTCTGAATTAACTACCTGAAGCCACGCTACATGGGGCTGTCACTCCTTGGAGGAAGCATTGGAGCATAGGAGAGTGCTGTAGGTACCTTTCCTTTGGAAGGGTTTAGTTGTTAGCACCCCTAGTTCAACTCGAGCAGAAGAAAGATGCTCCTCTAGGTGAGATCAGGGCAAGAGAACTCAAACGACAATCACTAGGAACTCATCATGTTGTCTAAACCCACAGTGACAGCCCCAAACATCACTAGTCCTGCAGCCAGCCACCAGCATGGGGCCTCAGAGCGCTGCCACTGCCCGGAAGAAGCATTAAGAGACACCTCAAGGGGTTTATTATGGAGCTCTCTAAAGAGGATGGAAGCTTTCAGCCCTGTTGGAAGCTTGTAACAAAGTTCTGGAGGTAGCCGCCACTCGCAGCAGCACTGACACTGAATGAACAAAGGCAGTTATCATCTCTTAGAGGTTAAGAGTAACAGAGAGAAGATCCAGAGATACTTCTCACAGGACCAAACCAGCTTATTTGACACCAAGCTTATTGACCATCACCAACAAAGGCCCCTTAGAAGGCAAAGATTCCCAGTTGTGTCAGGCTCTGTAGGGGATTTGTTGGGATAATGTTGTATGAAACACTAGCTTGGGATCCACAAGGAGAAAAGAGAACTCTGCTGCTCTGCCTCACGGATGGTCCTCAGCGTGACAAGGCTGGGAGCATGAAGACACACCCAGGCCTTCAGCAAGCTCTGGAGCACGGGGAAGGGGATGGCAGCACCTGCCAGTTCATGAGCTGGAGGGAAGAGACATGATCCAGAGAGATCTGGACAGGCTGGAGAGGTGGGACCATGGAGTTCAACAAGGCCAAGGGGAAGGTCATGCCACTGGGGCAGAGCAATCCCAGCACAGAGCCTGGGGGAGACTGGAGGGAGCAGCCTGTAAAGGACTTGGGGGTGTTGCGTAAGGAGCAGCTCCCCATGACCTGACTTCAGTGTGCACTTGAGCCCAGAACCCCCCCCGTGTGCTGGGCTGCACCCCCAGAGTGTGAGCAGCAGCTCAGGGAGGGGATCCTGCCCCTCTGCTGCGCTCTGGGGAGACCCCCCCTGCAGCCCTGATCCAGCTCTGGGGCAGCAGCACAAGAGGGACGTGGAGCTGTTGGAGCGAGGCCAGAGGAGGCCATGGAGATGCTGCGAGGGCTGGAGCAGCTCTGCTCTGGAGCCAGGCTGAGAGAGCTGGGCTGGGGCAGCCTGGACAAGAGAAGGCTCCTGAAGGGGAGACCTGAGAGCAGCTCCAGTGCCTGAAGGGGCTGCAGGAAACCTGGAGAGGGGCTTGGGACAAGGGATGTAGGGACAGGCCAAGGGGAATGGCTTGAACCTGCCAGAGGGGAGACTGAGATGAGCTCTTAGGCAGAAGCTCTTCCCTGTGAGGGTGCTGAGGCACTGGCACAGGGTGCCCAGAGAAGCTGTGGCTGCCCCATCCCTGGCAGTGTTCAAGGCCAGGTTGGACACAGGGGCTTGGAGCAAGCTGCTCTAGTGGAAGGCGTCCCTGCCTGTGGCAGGGGTTGGAGCTGGATGAGCTTTAAGGGCCCTTCAGCCCAAACCAGGCTGGGATTCTGTGACCAGGGAACGTCTTTCATTAAGGGACAACGATGAACACAACCTCCCATTCCCGAAAGGAGGATGTGAAACCTGCTACAAAGCCCATCCACAGAGAGCCATCAGACAACCACAGGGACGTCCACGGCGCTGCTTTCACTTGTCCTCATTAGAAACCAGGAGTTACCTGTTGCAATCACGTTCCCTGCTGGAGATTACGTCCAACCTCTGTTTGAACAGTGAGTAAAGCTCGAGCCCGGCCCTGCCTGCTTAGACACCACAACAGCTTTCACATTCACTTCCTCAGTGCCAAAGCCATAAATCCCTACACAAAAGCCACCCCACAGAAGGAATATTACAGGAACAGGGCCATCCGAAGGCTGTGCTAAAGCGAAGGAGAGGGAAAGGACTTTGTTTTCCCTCCTGCTCCCACTTGGATCCCTCAAACCCCTCAGCCTCATCACCAAACACTTCCTTTGCTCAGGAAATCGTCCCTTTTCTCCATTCCCACCCAGCTCCCTGCCGGAGAGCCAGCAGGTTAAACCCATGGAGGGCAATCCCGGGAAAGCAGCCCGAGGATTCCCAGCAGAAATCCCACCCTTTGCCCCCCGCCCCTATTTTCGCGGCTGGAGGACACGTTTTGCATCACGGGCCCGGTTCTAAGGGTTAGGGCTGAACCCCCAAAGCCCGGGGAGGTCGGGGGCAGCCTCCTCCAGCGGGGAGAACGGGAGGAAAACGGGAGGAAAACGGGAGGAAAACGGGAGGAAAACGGGAGGAAACGTTGTCCCCGAGCCAGAGGCGGGCAGAGCCCGGTGACACCGCTCCCGGTGCGCCGGGGGGGGGGGCGCGGCGCAACACAGCGGCCCCAGAGGGTCCCGGTACCGGCCTCTGCACACCCACCCCCCTAGTCCCGCCCCCGAGCCCTGATTGGCTGTAGCGGGGAGAAGCGGCGCTGCTATTGGCCAGAGACGCCTCACTCAGTGCCACGTCCCGGTGGTGGTTGGTGGCGCCGGACAGGGGAGCGGCGCGCAGGGAGGGGAGGGAGGCCCGGGCCGGGGCCGGTGCCGGTGCCGCCGCACGCACCTGGAAGGGGTTGATGTCCACCGGGTCGGCGAACGGGTTCGTGTCGAAGCCCGACATGAGCGCGGTCCCGCTGCCCCGCTCCCGCCGCCGCCGCCTCTGCTGCTGCTACACAGCCACTTCCGGGTCAGCCGGGGCGCGTGCGCCGCGCCGTCACGTGACCCGCCCGCCCCGCCTACTCCGGCGGGCGAGCGGCTCCGTGGAGCGAGGCTTCGTGACGTCACAGCGGCGGCCACCACCTATAGCGCGGGAAAAAGGGGGGGGGGTTAACCCTATAGGTGCTGCCGCGCTCTATAGGGGCGCCTATAGGGGGTCGACCTCCGCAGGGAGGTCACTAGCGGGCCCATAGCCCCCTGTACGATAACCCCTATGGAACACCCCCATGTCCTCCAGTGAGCCCCGCACAAGGCAGTGCCAGCCGCGCTTCCTATGGCCGCTATAGGGTGCGCGTAAGGCGCTGCCCAGCCCCTCCCAGCACGGCCGGGGGGGGAGGCGGAGCCGGAGCCGGAGCCGTCCCCGGAGCCGCCGCCGGGACTCCCGGCCTGCCCCAGCCATGGCGGAGATCCGCGGTGAGCCGGGCCGGGGGCACACGTGGGGACGGGACCATGGGGCGGGCAGGGGACCCCCGATGTACCCTCCCCATCAATAGCCCCCGGTCCCCCTCGATCCCCGGGAGGGTGCTGGGGTCAAGAGGGTCGTTTCTGCCACCCCCCCAACGCCCGGTGTCCCCCCGCAGTGTTCCCGCTGTCCTGCACCGTGCAGAACTACTCCTGGGGGAAGCTGGGGCTGGCCAGCGAGGTGGCCAAGCTGCTGGCCAGCAGCGACCCCCTGGTCCAGATCCAGCCCGACCGGCCCTATGCCGAGGTGAGTGCCCGGCCCCATGGCCGGCCTGGGTAAGAAAGAGTCCCTTCAACCCGTGTGGGCATTGCAACCAGCTGCGGTCCTTACCATCCCGGGTCCGGCCGGTTCGGGGAGGGATGTGGATCCCCTATAGCCAGGGAGGGATGGGGATCCCTTATAGCCCAGGAGGGATGGGGATCCCCTATAGCCAGGGAGGGATGTGGACCTCCTATAGCCTGGGAGGGATGTGGATCCCCTATAGCCAGGGAGGGATGAGGATCTCATAGCCTGGGAGGGATGGGGATCCCTTATAGCCCAGGAGGGACAGGGATCCCCTATAGCCAGGGAGGGATGTGGACCCCCTATAGCCAGGGAGGGATGTAGATCTCCTATAGCCTGGAAGGGATATGGATCCCCTATAACCCAGGAGGGATGTGGATCTCCTATAGCCTGGAAAGGATATGGATCCCCTATAACCCAGGAGGGATGTGGATCTCCTATAGCCTGGAAGGGATGTGGATCCCCTATAACCCAGGAGGGATGTGGATCTCCTATAGCCTGGAAGGGATGTGGATCCCCTATAACCCAGGAGGGATGTGGATCCCCTATAGCCTGGGAAGGAGAAGAGGAGAAGCCCGGCGTGACTCAGCCCCCAGGGGAGTTTTTGGCTGCATCCATTGCCAAGCAGCCTCCAGAAAAGCCCAAGTCATCCCTGCTGGCTGCCCGGCTCTGGCCCATCATCCATGTGCCCATCCGTCTGTGTGTGTCCCGCAGCTCTGGATGGGTACACACCCCCGTGGTGATGCCATCATCAGGGATAACCGCATCCCGCAGCGGACGCTGGGGCAGTGGATCGCCGACAACCCTGCGTGCCTGGGGGCGAAGGTGAAGGACACCTTCCAGGGCCACCTCCCCTTCCTCTTCAAGGTGCTGTCCGTCAACACCGCCCTCTCCATCCAGGCGCACCCCAACAAGGTAGGGAGACCCTGGGTTGTGCTGGCAGCCCTTGTTGGTCCCTGTGGAGCTCACCCAGCCCCTTTGTCCCCTCTCCAGGAGCTGGCAGCGAAGCTGCATGCCCAATTCCCGGAGCACTACCCTGATGCCAACCACAAGCCAGAGATGGCCATCGCTCTCACCCCCTTTGAGGGCTTGTGCGGCTTCCGGCCAGTGGCTGAGATCGTCTCCTTCCTCCAGAGTAAGGATGGGGATGCTGGTGGGATGGGGATGCTGGTGGTGTGGGATGGGGATGCCGGTGGGGTGGATTGGGGATGCTGGTGGGGCTGGATGGGGATGCTGGTGGGGCTGGATGGGGATGCCCGTGGGATGGGGATGCCCATGGGATGGGATGGGGATGCCAGTGGGATGGGGATGCCGGTGGGGCGGGGATGCCTGTAGGGCGGGATGGAGATGTCGGTGGGATGGGGATGCCAGTGGGTAGGGATCCTGGTGGGATAGGGATGCTGGTGGGGCAGGATGGGGATACTGGTGGGATGGAAATGTCGGTGGGGTTGGATGGGGATGCCGGTGGGATGGGGATGCTGGTGGGGTGGGATAGGATTGCCAGGCTTCAGGAATGACGCATGCTGTCACCCTGTGAGGCGTCCCCGAGCTGCGGGCACTCATCGGGGAGGTGGCAGCGGAGCAGCTGGAGCGCAGCGGGAGCGATGACCCCCGTGGCGTGTCGGCTGCGCTCCGCATCTGCTTCACCCGCCTCATGAAGAGCGAGAAGAAGCTCTTCGTGGACCAGCTCAACATGCTGGTGAAGAGGATCTCGCAGGAAGGTGGGTCCCTTCCTATGGGGCTTGGGGGGCTCTGTTCAAGGAGAAGGGATGGGGCACTTCAAAGCTCCATCCCCACTGTGGTGCCTGGTGCATTGCAGTGGCGGAAGGGAAGGACACGTCGGGGAGCAACGGGGACCTGCTGCTGCGGCTGCACTCGCAGTACCCCGGGGACATCGGCTGCTTCACCATTTACTTCCTCAACCTGGTGAGGCTGGAGCCGGGAGAGGCCATGTTCCTGGGAGCCAACGAGCCCCATGCCTACCTGCACGGAGGTGAGCACCGCGGTGGCCTTCCCCAGTGCCCTCCCCAGGGTGCCCATGGGCTCCTGCACCTGTTGGGCCATGGAGGTGGGCTGAGGGTGCTGCTCCATCCCCGCAGACTGCGTGGAGTGCATGGCGTGCTCGGACAACACGGTGCGCGCCGGGCTCACCCCCAAGTTCATCGACGTCCTCACCCTGTGCGAGATGCTCAACTACACACCAGCACCCAGCAGCTCCAAGATCTTCCCAGCGGCACAGAGCCAGCTCGATCCCAACGTCTACCTCTATGACCCGCCTGTGCCAGACTTTGCCATCATGAGGATAGAGGTGAGCGGTGTTGGGGACACGGAGGTGGACACCCCAGCTTTATCCCATCTCGGCTGTGCTCTAGAAGCCGGTGCACCAGTGAGGAAGGAGGGATGCTTGGAAGTGCTTGGGTTCCCCCTGCCTAGAGCTCCATCACCTTCTGCAGCAGCTCTGGGCGGAGGGAGGACCGGGAGGAGGGTTTGGGTGTCCCCGTGTTCAATCCCTGGGCGGGAATGGGGAGGCTCAAGCCGCGGTGACCCTTTCCCTTGCAGATCCCATCCTCCATCAAGCTGTACCTCGTCTCTGCCGTGGACTCGGCCAGCATCCTGCTGGTGATCCAAGGGGCAGCTGTGGGCACCTCCACAGCCGCGGCCTCCAAGATCCCCCTGTGCCGGGGCTCCGTCCTCTTCATCTCTGCCAACGAGAGCGTCTCGCTCCAGCTCTCCTCTCCCGATGGGATGCTGCTCTTCCGAGCCTGCTGCCTGCTCTGAGCCGGCCTGGAGCGCTTCCCCCCGGCCGCATTGGAGTAGATAGAAACTGACCTGGGCAAAGGCATCTTGCTTGGAAGTTTAACCTGTTAAACCCCCAGACCAGCCCCCGCTGATGTAGAGAAAGAGCAGTTCCATGAATGAGCTCCTTGGACATGGTGTGGAGCAGAGAGGGCAGAGGAAGGGCATCTCCCCTCCTCACGAGCCATGTCCCCGTAGCATCGATCCCGCAGGGTGCTGCCAATGCCACAGTGACTCTGGTGGTTCTGTTTCCCCTCCTCATCCTTTGCTGAGCAGCAGCAGGGAGCCCGGAGCTCTGCACCCCAGCTCTTGAGCATCCCTGCCTGGCTTCTAGGAGCTGCTGCCACTGTGATGCTGAGGCCTCCTGCTGCTCCTGGTGGGCTCTTCCCAAGCCTGGTCGATGGCAGGGAGTCCTCTGAGCCGTGTCACCCCTTCCCCAGCTGTAAAAGGGGCGGCTTGGTGGGGTGACAGAGCTGGAGAGCCTCTGGTGCTGTGAATAAAGAGGTGACTTTGTCCTCGGTGCAGGGCAGCCTGGTGTGGGGAAGGAGGATGGGGAGAGCACTGCAGGGCTTGGGGACCAGGAGGCTGGGGTGGCCCTGGTACCCCCCTGGCATCAGCAGCTCCACAGGGAATGTGCCACCAGGGTGACAAGGGAAAAGCCATCAGTCTGGAACTGCACTGGGGTATGGGGAGGAGCCCCCCCCAGCAGGGCTGTGGGGCTCAGCCCCCACCACAGCACCAACACATCCTCAGAGTAACAAGATGCAGTTTATTGAGTGCTCCCTTGAATGAATAGAATACAAAAAAAAAACCAAAAGCAACAGTTCAGGACTCTAGATATGAACTATTAAATAAGGTTTCTAAGCAGCTGATTGTCCTCTATGGAGTAACAGGACCATGATTTAAGGCAGCTTTTAAGGTTCACAGCAAGTAGAGCCTGCAGCCCCCCCAAACCTGCACCCAAAAGGGGGGTCCAGGCTGCCCCTCGCCTCCATCAAAGCAGCTCTGGGGACAACTGGAACATGCCACCAGCTCCAAACCCAGAACTTAACAGGTCCTCGAGGGGCAGAAAGCAGACAGGGAGGTCCCAGCATGCACAATGGCTGCAGGTGGATGTAGCAATGCGGACACCTAAAGCTCAATCCACTCCATTGGGGTCCCCCCGTTGGAGCTGCCAGCTTTGGTTCAGCTCAGCCCAGGCATTAGGAGGGAACCCAGCAGCGATCATCGACCCCACCATCATTAGAGCAGCACAACCCATGTGTGGGGCCAGGTCCTGCACCTCAGCAAGGCCAATTAAAGGAGGAAAACAGGAGGTCAGGCAAAGCAGGGAGCATTTGCTGCTGCACCTCCCAGTCCCTTTCACGCCCCCTTGGAGATGCCTGAGCCCCAACCAGGTGACTGGTCCCATCCAAACCACCTGAACGTCACTGTGCCACCTCTCCCTGCTATTGCTGAGCATGAGGAAAAGTCCTTTGGGGTGGGTTGGTTGCTGCTGCTCACCATGAGAGGCATCGCAGCATCATTTGGTCTTTGTGTCACTGTCCCAGCGTCGACACGGACAGCAACAGCCATCCCATGAACAAGGAAAGTGCTGGTTTGTGCCCTGTTCTTGCAGGGCCCTGGATGAGCAGCGTCTACTGGATCACACAGGAGAGGCTGTCTCCGAAACAACAGGGACAAGAAGAGGAGGTGATGGGTTTTGGGGGGATGAGATCCAGATCCTCATCATCAGGGACCTCGTCGAGGTGGTACCCATCCTGCAGCAGCTGCCGGCTCAGGTCCTGGTTCACCTGCTGGGAGGGACACAGAGGAGATGCAGATTGGTCCTGCTTTAGTTCAAGTTTAGGGCTTGCAAAGGGAAGGGCTGTGAGCAAGAAGGGCATCGCCTCCTCCTCCAGTGCCTCTGCATGGGGTGCAGCACCCCAACACACATCCCTGCATGGAGCCTCGAGGTGGCTGGGAGTGAGGGAGCCCTATCAGTCAGAGCCCTGCACTTGCCTCAGCAGAGGAGTAGCCTGAGGAACATCTGGATCCTGGCTCCTCGTCGCTAAGGGAAGAAGGAAACAGTCAGAGCCAGAAGGGAAGCAGCATCTTTGTGCGGGATGCAGAGAAGGGAATCTCGGGGGTGCAGTTCTGAGCCAGATCCCCAAATCCCGGGATATTCCCCCACTCCCACCTGTCCGAATCGAGGGAGAGCAGGTTCTCATCAGCCGTCTGGCTCAGCGCCGTGTAGCCCTTGTTAAACCTGACCGACCTGTGGGGAAGCAAAGAACCAGCCCGTGACAGGCATTTTGGTATGGGAATCCAGCCCGCGGACTGAGGAGCCAGGGCAGGGATCCCGGTCCTGAACCTCCCTTCCCACCCTAAGCTAACCCCGGCTGAGCCCTAGGCCACCCTCATGGGGAGATCCTCACCCCCAAACCACCTCCAGAGCAAGGAGAAGAAGGAGCTAGAGCAATCCCTGTTATTACACCGGGTGCCTGCTGGCCACAACGGAGCCCGCAGGGCAGCTCCTCAAGCTCCTTGTGGAGCTTCCCGGTGTCCCAAAGGAACATGGCAAAGCAGAAACGGGCTCAAACCTCTTTGGTGCTGGTTTCGGGTTTGGCGCGGGTGCCCCCAGCAGCCCCTGCCTCCGCAGCGCCGCCTTCGCCAGCTCCCGCTGCCGCTCTGCAACACAGGGCAGGGCTGACACAGCCCTGGGGGGGCCGGCCTGAGCCCGCCATGGGGCAGACAGGGCTTTGGGAGGTGCAGGTCCCTGCCCGCATCCCGGCACAGCCCCCGGGGCAGCACTTACTGAGCTTGGCGTGGAGGGAGGGGGCCTTGCTCACGATGTACGGTCCCTTCTTCTCCACCGCGTCCGCCGCCTTGCTCAGCCTCTGGTTTTCAGCCCACATCAGCTACAACACAGGGACAGACACGGGTTTAGTAGCATCTCTCTACGGGGATGAAGTAACCTGGAGGCATCCCAAAGCATCTGGTCATCCCTGGGAACCTCCAGCTCCCCAGCCCTGCACCATGCCCGGAGGAGAGGGAGGAAAAGGAATAAGCCGATCTATTAGGGGAGGAAGGGATTCTTCGGGAGCAGCAATGCTAAATTAAAAGCACACGCAGGGGCCAGCAGTTCCGTTGTAAGCCTCACTCCAGTAATACCCCGGAGAAGCAGGGATGGAGGGGATTTAATGAGCAGGTTCATCAACTAAAACACAGGGATCATTGGGTTTAATTCCTCCGCAGGTTTTGAGCCTTCCAAGCTTCCCTTGTGCAGGAATTAGAGGGAGCAGTTAATGAAGCAACAAGGCAGAGGGCTTGGGGCACTGATGGGAGAGCACAGCCGGGATTAGCGGGGTCTGAAGCTGGAACTAGCAGGGCAGAGCCTTACCCGCAGGAATAACCCCGCACACAGGGAGCTGCGGGATTAACCGCGATGGCAGCAAACCCCTGCCTGCACCTTGTGCTCCCCTGTGCTGCCCCATATCACCCATGCACATACCCTATACTTCCTCACACACATATCCCAGCCCTATACCCTCTTGTATGTGCCTTGTACCCTCCTGTATATGCCCTATACTGCCCCACACACATATCCTAGCCCTATAGTATCTATGCACATACCCTATGCTGCCCCACACACATATACAAGCTCTATATTACCCATGCACATACCCTATGCTGCCCCACACACGTATCCTAACACTACAGTATCTATGCACACACATCCTAGCCCTATAGTATCTATGCACATACCCTATGTTGCCTCACACACATACACCAGCCCTGTAACATCTATGCACATGCTCTATGCTGCCCCACACACATACCCCAGCCCTACAGTATCAATGCACATATGCTATGCTGCCCCACACACATACCCCAGCCCTACAGTATCAATGCACATGCCCTATGCTGCCCCACACACACATCCCAGCCCTACAGTATCAATGCACATATGCTATGCTGCCCCACACACATACCCCAGCCCTACAGTATCTATGCACATATGCTATGCTGCCCCACACACATATAGCCCTATAGTATCTATGCACATACCCTATGCTGCCCCCCACACATATAGCCCTATAGTATCTATGCACATACCCTATGCTGCCCCCCCCACATGCCCCAGCCCTACAGTATCAATGCACATGCCCTACGCTGCCCCATACGTGTACCCTAGCCCTACACCCATGATGAACACACGCCATACTGTCCTATGCGTACACCCCAGCCCTGTACCACCTATGCCCATACCCGGTACTGCTCCCTGTACCCCAGCCCCACACCCCCATGCACACCCCCGACACCCCACAGCCCCCCGGCCCCCCACGTACCCCCGGGCCCCGCCGCCCGCCGGCTCTGCCCGCACCGGCACCGGCTCCTCCGCCGTCTGTCGCCATGGCCTCCCTTTCGCCCCGCCCCTTTCCCCCCGCCCGCCAATGGCAGAGGGCGGTGGCGGGGAGACCCAGCCAATGGGAGGAGAGGAGGTGGTGCGCCCCCTCGGCTTGCCGCGCATGCGCAGAGAGCCGTCATGGGGCTGCAGACCGCGATGCGCTTCCCTGCAGGAGCTCCCGTTTTCCTGGAAAAGTCCCTTTTTCTGGTGGAAAAAACCCACAAAATTCCCTTTTCCCCCCCGCCTGCACGGGAACCGCGGTGGGAAACGGGCTCTGCAAAGCAACATCCACCGTGGAGCGATCCCCAGCCCTGCAGAGGGCACAGGGCTGCGAACGGGAGTCTCCCACCGCGCCAAGAGCCTCCCGCAGGGACACGGCTTCCCCAGGGGCAGGGGGCTCTGTGAGCCCTTGTTCTGCTCCTCCTCCATAAAGCCGGGGGTGCAGCAGGGTCCCTGCGCCCTTCCCTTCCCCATGGAGGAAGGGCCGTGGGCACTGCAAGCAAACAAGGGTTTATTCACCCCTGGGAGGGTGTTTTGCCCTTTATTTCCTCCTTTTCCCCATGACCCCAGCCCCCAGAACAACCACAGGAGCCACTGCCACCGCGTCAGTCAAACCAGGTTTTCCTTTATTAGGTCCAACTCCGCCTCACGTACATTGTGACTCAATAAAGGAAGTTAGCTGAAGTTAAGAGGATTTTAACACTTGTGCCTGCAGGCGGCTGTGTACAATCAGGTGGCACCAGTGAAATGCTGGGGTAATGCACCTGCAATGGAAAAGAACACAAAAGGCATCAAAGCAGCAGCCCGGACCTCCACCATGTGTCACAGGGGGCTCATGTGAGCTCATCTAAGAGGCTGGGGAGCTAAATGTCTTCTATGGCTGTTCTCAAGTTTAGCAAGTACTCGGAAGCTCTAAAAAGACAGTAAAGTAAGTGGTTTCCCAGGACTCAAGGCTGTTCCATCAAGCACCACTCCTGAAATAAAGGGTATTCAGTGAAGCTCTGGCCATGCTCCAGCTGATCTGCTTATTCAGTAAGCAAGGAGTGCTCCAAAGTAGTGTTTAATTACAGAAAAGATGCTATTTTAAGTGTAATGTGAAGAAACTGATAGAATCATGAAATGATTTGGGTTGGAAGGGACCTTAGAAGCTCCTCCAGTTCAAACCCCTGCCATGGGCAGGGACACCTTCCACTAGAGCAGCTTGCTCCAAGCCCCTGTGTCCAACCTGACCTTGAACACTGCCAGGGATGGGGCAGCCACAGCTTCTCTGGGCACCCTGTGCCAGCACCTCAGCACCCTCATAGGGAAGAGCTTCTGCCTTAGATCTAACCTGAACTTCCCCTGTTTCAGTTTGAACCCATCACCCCTTGTCCTATTTCTACAGTCCCTGATGAAGAGTCCCTCCACAGCATGCTTGTAGCCCCCTTCACATACTGGGTGACCACCATCAGTGAGGCTCATTTTCCAGCATAAGCTATAAGGAGGGTCCCCCAGTTTTCTAAATGGGCAAGACTGCAACAACAATGTGCACGTTTGTGCATTCCCAATGGAAACAAGCCTGCCATTTACTAAAACACACTTCTGGGGCCAAGCTGCTGAGCAGTCAACATGTTGCAATACCCATTGTCTTAGCAACTACCTAGACACTGCTGGGGATGGTGGCAACCATCCCTTCCCAAGGATGGGGTAACACTTAGTTTTACAAGTGTTAGCATCTTTTCCAGGAGGCATGTAGGTACAGATATTTGGAGACTCACACTACACACAGCCCTGTAAAGGCAAGGAAGGGCACTCTGTCCTTGCCAGGAGAGTTTTGGGGTACCCGTTTCCCATGCCATGACTCGCAGAAGCACCAGCATCCCTTACCAATAACATTTATGCTTTGTCCAGGCCCAGTTCCTCTGGAGTGGAGATTCCCAATTCACTCAAAGTTGGTCTAAGCTCCTGGATAACGTAAGGGTAGATTTCCTTGTGAGGTCCTGCCTTGTCCTAAAGGAAAAGGAATGGTGTTATTTCCACAGCAAGGGGCTGTACAGCGGTCAGGTTTGCAATCCAGATGTGTGGACTCATGAGGGCAGATCACAGCCCCGCTCTGCCTAGGAAAAACAACACAACTTGCTTGGAAATCAGGGAAAAACCAGCACTCCTTGGGTAAGAGCATGTTACTGTCCCCAAGTTCTGATCAATTGAGTTATCCCTTAGATGGTGGGGACAAAGGGGGCAAACAAAAAAGAGATAAGGGAAACACAGGAAGTTTCTTCCATCAGCCTCTAAAAACACCAAGAGAGTTTCAGTTCTACAGAATGCACAGAGCAGCAATAGCAACCACAGAGGCAAATGACTGTGGAGCACAGTCTGCAGCAGGTGTATGTAAGTCCTTGGGACAAAAAGGCAGCTGGAAGAGCAGAGCTGCTGGCTTCCAGGACTGAAACAGGACTCCTGCCTCCATGCTCACCCACTTTAACTCCCTGCTAAGTGAAGGCTGGACTCAGGTTTCAAGGTGCTGGTTTCTGCTGGGTTTCAAGGCTGTGCAGCTCAGCGTTCAGCCCTTTAGGAAGCTGGTAAACTGCCTCTGCCTGAGGGATTCCTGCTAATGCTTGTTTTAAAACTAAAAGGAAGAAAAATCCTTCACCTTTCCCACCAGAGGCAGTGGCAGGAAAGGAAAATACCAACTTAAGAACATCCCCTGAAGCTGTGCTGCTGAGTGCTCTCAAAACTTATCCAAGGCACCAAGCACACACTCACATGGAAGCTATGGACTCTGCCAATGGGAAACAGTGCCTTTCCTTGGCACCACTGAGAGCAAGCCCAGGCAGACGCTGTGCTCTGGGCACGGAGGGCTCAGCAGTGAGCCCGGAGCTGCTGTTCCACTCACCTTTACCACTTCTAAGATGCGGACAGCGGTGGCAAAGTCATTTAACCGTCTGCATGCCCTCAGAGCTGCGTCGATGATCTTTGGTTCCGGAACCAGGTCATACCCCACAAGTGTGTTGATGCCTGTGAAACACCAAGAGGGCCTTGGTAGCAGCTCCTCGTGCTATCAGAAGGAACCCACTGAGCGTTACTGTGCTCCGCTTTATGAAGGGATTAAGTCTCACCACCATTAGGAGCTGATGAGACTTTTCACTGCTATTCAGGGGACACACAAACAGCCCAGGGTTTTCTTTTGCTTTTCTCCCTACTCTACTACTGTAGATTTTAAGTTGACTTCATGAAATCCCGGTGAGCCAGTTCCATCCATGCTCCCCACAGGAGTCAGTGTCTGCACCACAGCAGTTATGGAATTGTTAAGGAATACCAAATAACTTCATTCCTACAAGTGTAATGAAAACTAGAAGTCAAGCTGCTGGCTCTTCCCCTCCAGGGGACTACAGCCCATACCTCACGCAGGTGATGCTGGAATGATCCCTCTGGCTGTTACGCAAACACATTTTCAAGCCCTAACTGGGGCAGTTTAATAGGAGCTGGCAAACAACAATGGAGACACCAGTCTGCATGAGTTATGGCCAAGCCATTAGCTCAAAGGCCAAATTCAAACGTGTGTGGTTATGCTCTAGGCAACAACTGAGCTCAGATGCATTTTCCTCAGAGCAAACGTTTCTCTCCCTCCCACCCAGGTGCTGAAATGTGTGTTCTGGGGCACTAAAGCTTACAAAGCCTGACTCCCACCGTGTCATAGCCCTCATTCTGCATCCTTGCAACCTGCTTGTGTGAGCAGGTAAGGTGCCATTGCCCGATACAATAGGCTCAGAGCAAACAGCATAAGCACAGAGCAGCCCCAGCAGGGTACATACAGGACTGCTCTCCTGCATCTAACCCCAGTTTTCCCTCTTCCTGCTCCCCAACAGCAAAGTCAAATCCATCTGTTATTCCTGGCCACTGAACCGTTCTATTTACTCCGTGGTCACTCTCCCCTTTCCACTCAACTCACCTTTCCTGAGCTCCCAGGCATCAATATCTGGCTTGTTGAAATAGGTCACCCAGCGAGCATCAAACTCTTCATCTGACTCTTGTGACCCATGGGAGTAGCAGCGGGCGTGCAGCACAGCTGGAGGCAGAGAGGAAGAGATGTGGAGCAAACAGGAAGGAACTGCACTTTAGCCCTGACCAGCACATCAAAAGCCATAGAAAGAGGTGTTTCACTCACTACAGTCAGTCTGGATCAGTCCTCAGCTGGGATATGCACTGGATGGATACAGCTTATTTAATACTGGTGGTTTGACTGGTAGCAAAGTGTGTGTTTTCTGATCTACATCAGGCTCCCAAAGTGCTCCCAAACCCTTTGGTTAGAGCAGGATTGTTTAATGAGGGGAAACATCAGAGAAAACCCTTTCAGTATAACCAGTGCTTCAGAGAAGTTTCCTGGGAGCCCTGTTTCTGCAGGACACAGGAATCTTCCCTCTTTCCAGAACCAAGGAAGCCAAAGAAACATCCCACACAGCTACTCCATCAGCAAAATTGTTCCGCTCCCTGCTCTGACCCCTCTCAAAGCATCAGGACATGTCCACAGTCAGCTTGTCAGTGGCATTCCTCCAGAACTAAACCCTTACACTCCATTAGTTACACCACTGCTCACTTCAGACAAACACACTGCCTTATTCCTCCTGCTCCTGAGACTGCTCCACAACTGAGTCTGTGCAGTAATCCAAGAAAAGCAGATTTCCCAACCAACTGATGGGTTTCCCAACCAGGCTGGTTTTGAGGGATGACTCAATAGCAATGTACCTCTGCAGCTTTTGATTCCAGCTGATGAGCGCTTGTTTTAAAGAGGTTTTAGCACAAAATGACATGGGCCCAAATGTAACAGCTCTCAAGCAAAGGGACCAGAGCTATTCCTTCCAACAGGCTACTGAGGGGTTGAAGGAGGACAAAAGCCATTGCTGTCTGCGCCTATGCAAGATAAAACTCCCACGGCTGTAACTGCATTTGTATTTGATCATTCACAAAGCACAGAAGGGGATCATACTGCAATGGACAAATGCCATTGACACGATTCTGAACTCATTTCCTCCCTCAACACTGCTCTTTACCAAAATATCCCTTTTTGGGGGGAGTTTTGCCTTTTTTTAACCTACAGAGGTTGGAACTAAACACGGGGCACGGGCAGCTCCACCTGCAGCACAGCCATTCCCTGCAAGCTCCTGGCTGGAGACGCTTCCTTCCCTCCTGGTAATTCCACCCCACCAATGTTTGCAGAGAGGTCACACACTAGATATGACCTTGCCAGCGTGGAGCTCTGCTTCAGAGGAAGGCAGAGCTGAGCGGGCACTCCTCCTTTCTCATCCTTGCCCGAACCCCTCATGCTGCCTAGCTACAAAGCTGTATTCACAGCAAGAAGCCCCTAAACCGAGCTGCTGGTTTGCAGCCTTCCCAGATACACTGTTCTGCTTTGAGGAGTGCAGGGAACAGCCACACTGCGAACCAGCAGCCTGGTTCTGGGTAAAGTACAATGGAAGGAACCTCAAGGAGTATCTTTAGTCTCCTGAAGTGATGGCGCAGCCAGCACACAACCCAGATTTCCATGAGGTTCAATGTGTCAGCCGTGGTTCTGGTTTCTGCAGTGCTTCCTAAGCCAGGGAAATGGGAAGATAAACCACCCTGCATCTGGTTTCTCTCCATCACTAGGTAAGGCAAAGGCAAATTCAGGCCAAGCCAGAATTGTAACACACTTTTTGTGTTCCAGGAGGAGATTCCCCATCTCTGCCCAGCTCCAAAGCAGCTCCTTGACCCTGCTTTCTCCAATAAAGCACATGCCCAGCAGAGCTCAGAGCAAGAGAGAAGAGAAGGCTGCGTGGAGACCTCATAGCAGCCTTCCAGTATCTGAAGGGAGCCTATAGGGATACTGTGGAGGGACTCTTCATTAGGGACTGTAGTGACAGGACAAGGGGTAACGGGTTCAAACTTAAACAGGGGAAGTTTAGATTGGATATAAAGAGGAAGTTCTTTCCTGTTAGGGTGCTGAGGCACTGGAATGGGTTGCCCAGGGAGGTTGTGAATGCTCCATCCCTGGCAGTGTTCAAGGCCAGGTTCAATGAAGCCTTGGGTGAGATGGTTTAGTGTGAGGTGTCCCTGCCCATGGCAGGGGGTTGGAACTGGATGATCTTAAGGTCCTTTCCAACCCTAACTAGTCTATGATTCTATGTACATGCTCAAGTGCTGTTTGAGGGGAAACACTTTCTTTCCTAATCACAAAAGCAAAGCCTGCAGGGAAATAGCACATCTAGTTTGAGAAGAGCCCAGAGCCACATTCCCAAATGCCATCTTGAAGTCAAACCCCTAAAGTCTCCTTCCATGGAGCTCAACAAAACCATTCCCTTTAGTCTTAAACCAAGGAACAACTCGGTTAGGCTAAAAGGGCGCTGAAGGAAAACGCAACAGGCTACAAGAACATGGATTATGGATTGCCAGCATGTGTTTTCCAACCTTTCCCTGGTTTATCTCCCATGCTAACACTCACATCTACATCCGGGAGGCCGGACCCTGCGATCCACCCTGGCAAAGCTGAGGCAGGAGCCAGCTGGAGCCTGGCACTTCCTTGGGGTCCCTCAAGGTCACGGTCACACACAGGTGGAAGTCACACCGTGCCAACCCATCCACACGGAGATTCCCAGCTCGGGGAGGAAGCCAAGGGCAAGCTGTGTCTCCAGAGGTGTGCTTGCAAGAGAACTCCACTGGTTTTGAGAGCACTCTGGTGCTAAAATCGCCTGAAACCACACTTTAAAGCTTCCCCCAGCACCAGAATTCGGCCGCTTTCCCTGGCAATGAGCACGGAATTAAAGCACTCATCCAGAGGAGCATTCGTTTACATTAATTCCCTGGGAAAAGGCAGCCGTGTCAAGTGAGGCATTTGTAATACAAGACCTTGGGAAAGAAGAGCTCGGACCCTGCTCCGTGTTAGCAAAGGCGCAGAGAAGGTAGGGCACGAGCAGCCGGGGTCCTGCAGGAGCACAGAGGGGCGGCGGGCACGGGGATTTAATGGGGTTTGAATTAAAACAGGGGTTTAAAGACGTGTCAAAGAAACCCCAGCACACGAACACCACAACCGCCACTTAACCCTTTGCACCAGCAATACGGCCCCTGCGGCAAGTGCTTAGCTCCCACACACCCCGAGCGCTGAAACCGCGATCCGTGCCCGTTAATCAGCTGTTAATTGCGGGGCACGGGCACCGTCTCCCCGCAGCCCGGGTGTTCAGCTCCGCTTTCCCCATCAGCACCGAGGCCGCGCTGCTTCTCTTCCTCCCCTTCCGATTAATCGAGGTGTTGATGAGGGCAGCGGGAGGAAGTCGCGGCAGGCCCGGCCCAGCGCCGGTCCCGGGGGCCGTGAGGAGCTCGGTGCCGGCCCCGGATGCGGAGGTCACCGCCGACCTCCGTCAATGTCACCTTCAGGAGAGGCCCGGGAAAGCGCCGCCGCCCTCGCTACAGCTCCCGGGCCGGGGCCCGGCGCCCGCCCCTTGGCGGTGAGGCCGGTACCGACGGCGGGTGGTTACCGGGGCCGGCGGCAGCGGGGCAGCGCCGGGCCCGGCGGCGCGGCGAGCACTAGGCCGCAGGCGCGGCCTGCCCTCGGGTGACAGCGGCGGGTCACCGCAAGGACACGGCGCCACCCGGGGACCGGGAAGGGAACCGCGGCGGGGTGCGGGGCCGGGGCCGCCGGGCGGGCGGGGTGCTGAGGGGGGAAGGTGTGAAGCAAGCGGGCGGCCGCTCACCTGCGGGGCCGACGGGCCTGCGGACGGCAGCGCGGAGGCCGGAGACGGCGCAGCGGCGGAGGAGCGCGGCGGCAGCCTGCATGGCGGCGGGGAGGCAGCACCGGGCGCCGCTCGCTCCTGCACCGGGCACCGGACCGCGGGCGGGGAGGGAGGGACGGCGGGCGGGCAGGACGGAGGCGGCGGCTATGGTGGCTCGGCGGGGACACGCCGCGCCGCACGCGTGACGGCGGGAAGCCGCAGGGGCGGGGCTGAGGGCGGTGCCTGCCGCCATTTTGTGGCGTGTGGGGACGGGCCGGGAGGGGAGAGCAGCGGCTTTGTGGCCCCATCGGCAGCGGGCGGTGCTCGGGGCTGTTTGTGTGGTAACACCGGCCCCGTTCACCCGGCCCGTGACGGTGGTGGGCACAGGGCAGGGCGAGGTGCCGTGGTCGCCGTGCTGCCAGCCCTCACAGCGGGGGTCGGCTCGCTGTGAGGGGAAGATGGGGCGCAGCGCGGCTCTGGGTGGCCCCGTCCGCTCCCCAGGGGTTGTCCTGTCACCTCGTTGTCCCCAAACCTAGCCCCTGACCGCCTTTAGTCTCTATTGCCCCGTGTTCCCGTCACTGCTGCGCTCAGCATCGCCCCAGAGGCGGTTCATGAGGCTCGTGGGGCTGAGCCTGGCTCTGCGGCGCCGATCCTCGCCGTGCCCCCTCGGGAGCCGTGGCGCCAGCTGGCACCGCGCTGTTTGAATGCTGCTCCTTTCGGGTTACGAGCCCTGTTAACCGCTCATGCAGGAAACGCCTCGGTCCGGAGAGGACAGGATCCCCTCCGAGGCTGGAACTGCCTGCGTGTAAAATCCATCTGAGCCAAGTCCAAGCGTTAAGAAACAACGGAGAGGAGCGAGTGAGCGCTGCTGTTCCCTGCCCTGGCTGGGGCAGTGCGAGCCGCAGCGGGGCAGGGCTGGGGAGGTGAGGGGGTCCCGCAGGGTTTAGGCTCCCTTTCCCGGTGGTGTTATTCATCATCCGGGTTGTTCAGTACATTCGGGGTAGGAGCCTGTGCCCGGGTGCTGCAGCTCGCGTGCGGGGCAGAGCGCTGAACCTGAACGGTGTCTGCGCCAAGGAGAGGAGCTCGGAGCCCGAAGCATCCCCGACCCCACCGAAACCCATTATAACGAATTACAATAGAAATCAACATTCAGCAGCCCAGCGGCAGAGAGGTGAAGGGAATCGCTCTGCAGCAGGGGAGATAAGCGGGAGCCTGCGGAGGGAGATAACAAGGTCATTGCCAAACAAAACAGACCCCTGCTTCCTTCTCCTCCTCACTCCCCTCATCTCCTTTCATTCCCGTTCCCAGCCAAGCAAGCCCTGGACAAAAGGGGATGCTCAGCAGCATCGCTCCCGGCTGGCGTTTCGGAAGGATGTGCTCGTAATGCCAATGTAATTCACCCCATCCCATCCCTGCCCTCCCCGCAGCGCCAGGCTGCTCCCGGAGCACACAGGAGGCCCCTATCCCATTCCACCATGGCTCAGCTGGGATCCTCTTGTCCTGGATCGGCAGCAGCCCTCGCTTGTGCTGATCCGTGCCGTGGCCGGCAGACAAGGTGATCCCCTATGTTTTCCCATAGACATATTCCAGCTATTTCCAAAAAGCTTTTATTTTCCATAAGCCTCCCTTTACCCCTGGAAGCAGCAGGAACGTTGCTCCAAAAGGCTTTCCCACAGCCCCAACACCTCCCAGTCCTGGCCACTGCATCCAGCCACAAGCACCCACTGAACGCTCCCATTGCCTGCAGCTCCCGATGGGTGCTTCACGCCAGCTCCAGACCCTACGGACACCTCTGGGAAAGCAAAGACCTGAACATCCGATGTGGGAAGAAGAGGCAGGAGGAGGAGGGCTGGTTTGTTTTCCTGTGCTGTCCCGACTCTTCGTCTGTGTGCTTCATTCAGGATAAATCGCGGCACCGCAGGGTGCTGAGTCCAGCATCAATAACCCTGACAGCTCCTCAGCGGGTGTAATTGCAGCAGTTTTGATGATGAAGGTGTTACTCCAGCGAGCCTGGGACCAAAGCATCTTCCTGATGGCTGAGACGTAGCAACGGGGAGCGAAGATGTGCAGCCGCCTTCCCCAGCCAGGGCACCCATGGGAGTCACTGCAGGAACGTGGCTGGAGGTGGGTAGCATTATCCCTATGGGGTCACCAATACACCCTCAGTCCATAACAGAAAGCGAGTGCATTTAACCCTTTAACCCTCACCCCAGATGTGGGGACACCTTGCAGGGAGCCTGCAGCACACTAATGTCCCCAAAGCAAGGCTTCACACTGCCTTTGTCCACCACAAAGCAGCTAAAACTCCTCCAGCACAACCTCTGCCCAGCGTGCGGCTGGTCGGGGCAGGAGGTGGCGCTCAGTGGTGATGGTCTGCTGGGTGGTCGGTGCTCCCCGAGCCCCTCGGGCCATCGGGTACCTGTACCTGCAGCTTCTTGGTGAGCAGCTCCTCACAGGGAGGTGGCAGGGGCCGCTTCACCCCCTTGCTGGAGGAGCTGGACGTGTCTTCTCCCTCCTGGCCGAGCTGTGGCTCCAGCCCGTGCCGGGGCTCTGGAGGCTGGTAGCCGGTCTGGTTGGGATCCAGGGGGTCCCGGGAGAGCAGGATGCTGATGGAGGGGACGTTCTTGTGGACAGTCAGGTTCTGTGCCCCGCCGCTGGGCAGCGGGTCCTGGTTCTCCCAGACTTCCAGCAGGGTTTTGTAGCGCACCTTGGTGACCTGGTGCAGCCCTCCCAGCTTCCGCTTCATGATCTCCACGCAGGTGATGGTCTTGGTGACGGCCCTGCCGCAGCCGCTGAAGACAATCTGCCGCCTGCCCTTCAGCTCCATCTGGGCCATGGCGAAGTTCATCAGGTTCCTGATCTTGCTGCCCTCCTTCACTTTCATCTCCACCACGTCCGGTGGCAGGTCGGGGAAGGGCAATGGGCTCTCCTCCTCCGACGTCCTCACCTTTCGGAAGTTCTCCATCCTGGACTGGGTGCCGGGCTTGGCTCTCCCTCCTTCAGCAGCCATCCGTTACCCCTTCCCGGTGGATCCGCTCAGGTTCCTAGCGCCCCGGGACCATGGCAGGGCTCCGCTGCCCTCCAGCCTAGCCTGCAGCAGGGCTGAGTTTAACCCTGCACCCCCGGGACCACCAGCCCCTTCCCCTCTTCTGGCCCGGGGCTGGCTGCCGAGGAGCTGGTGGCTGTGCTGGAGGCTGTTCCCTGGGGATACGGGGCTGCAGGGTTCCCTGGGTGCCCCCGTTTGCTCCCAGCCAGCCCCGGCTCTTGGTGACGCTGCTCCGCTCCCACTGCAGCACTTGCTTCTGCTGCTCTTTGCTTCATTCTGGACTTCAGCAGAGCCCCCAGAGCTGTTCTGTGTAATTAGCAGATCCTCCCCCTAGCCCTCCCCTCCTCTGCCTCCTCCTCCCCTCGCTCAGCCTCCCATCCCAGCACCCAGCTCCTGCCTTCATCCCTGTCCTGCACCGAGAGCCCGGGAAGGCGAAGGGGAGCCCAGTTCCTCCCCGGGAGCATGCAGGCAGGGAAACAGCAGGCAGAGAAGGAGGAAGGGCAGAGGGAGAAGCTCAGTCTTTGCTTTCATGATGCTCCCGGAGTCCTGCCCCCTTAAAGAGAACCTGGTCCCTTCTCTCCACGCTTCCTCTCAAGGACGGGCTGGCTGCTAACTAACTGCAAGTGTCAGCACGCTGCGGGCAGCCGGCCTGTCTGCCTGCCCTCTCTCCGGCAGCATTCCGAGAGGTATGGGAAGTCCCGGCCACACTGTGCCCAGGGATGGCACGGAAATGCAGCAGGTACTTCGGGAAGTACTTTGGAGCCTGAGCTCAACCCTTATTAGCCATCATGGGAGAAATCCTGGTGGATGGCATTTCTCTCCCTCCTCCTTCCCCTGTCCTTTCTCACCTCCATGTCCCCAGCTAGGAGTCAGCATCACATTGACTGGTTATGTCCCAGAGGTATCCATCACAGGCCAGGAGATCTCCCCTTTCTGCTCCCAATCCCTTCCCCAGGCAGAGAGGCTGCCCCTGCCCCGGCTCCCCTCTGCCTGCCCCTGTCACCGGCCTGTCCCCTGCATGCCCCATGGCCCGGGGGATCATTGCACAGTGGAAAGACACGCTGAGTATTGCCTTGCAGTCAAATCTTACCAGCCTCTGGATTGTTTTCACTCTGAGCAGGGCTTGAAAAATACATAAATAAATCAATCTATCCATGGCAGTGCAGCGAGGGCTGTGGCAGGGCAGGATGCAGCCATCCCTGTAGTCCCCAAAGCATCTTTCTGGGGTACTGCTGCCCTACATGGGGGTCCAGTGGGCAATGGGGGACAGCACTGGTGTGTCATCCACCTGGGATGGGATGCTTGAGGAAAACCCAAGCATCTCTTCCTGACCCAGCTAACACAGAGGGGGAAACTGAGGCAGGACACCCCAGCACCAGATTCCAGCTTGGAGCATCCCCCAAGTCGTTGTCCCCCCTGATGCATGCTTAGTTGCTGTGCTTCCACCACGAATCCCTTTCTCCTAGCAGACAAAACAACATCACTTCTCCCCTTTTCCGCTTCATGGCTCTTTATGGCATCGCTGCAGCAGGCACTTGGCTCCTTCCTTGGGCAGGCAGGAATGGATTAAGCATACTGGGAAAATTGCTGCCTTCAAAAGATGCAGGGAAAACAACCAAGGAAGATTTCAGCAACATCCACAGAGCGTGTGTGAAGTCAGGGAGCTGAGAAATCCTGCAGGATTTGCACAGGAGGGGGTTGTGGCCACCAAGAGCACCAGGCGACCTGGATAGATCCCAGTGCTGGATGAAACCAGCCCTTCTTTCCTGGCCCAGGCCCAGCTCCTGCCTCCCGTGCCCCATTTTCCATGGTGTTGGGCACCTTCCCCCCTTGCATCTAATTGCTGCTTCACAAACTCTGCTCAGTGGAGCCTTGGAAATGGAGGCGGAGGAGGTGAAATCACAGCAAAGGCTTTCTGCAGCCCCCAAAGGGGCACTGATGGCAGGGTCTTGCTTTTCCTCTGCAGCGCCTAACATGTAAATGCAATTCATTATTAGCAACTCCATTGCTAATTACCATCTGAAGCCATTCATTAGCCTGTCAGCTTGTTTGGTGGAGGACAACAGAGTGGATGGGCTGTTCCAAGCAAAGGAATAGCTGAAATGAGCTCAGCAGCAGCAAACAGCGGGGTGGGAAAGGGGGGAGAGCAGGGACAGGGGGGATAAAGGCACAGACAGCTCCAGCCATGGGGAGAACCAGGAAAGAAACACTGGGAAACAGGGTGCAGAGTAATTTAAAATGGAGATGAGGCAAATGGTAAAGAGGAATGAAGGAAAGATGGGAATAAAGCAATTACACCCTGTCTGTCCTCCCTGAGCATCCACGCTGGTCACAGCGGGAGCCAGGGACTGGTTTCTTCCTCCCTTTTCCCATTGAGTGTCTCTCTGAGCATCCTATAGGGCTGAGAGTCCCCTTCCCTGCAGGACCCTCTTGCCACAAGAGATGTGAGCTTGGAAGGGCCATCTAGCAGAGGAGCCAGAGATGGAGGCTGACAGGGATGGGATAGAGAGGGCTGCATGGAGCCAGAGCTGACACCAGCCCAAACCAAGCCTGTGCAAGGGGGGAAAAGCACCCAGAAACATGTTCCTAATGGCGAGCAGGGCAGCTGGAGAGGAGCAGTAACCCAAGCCCTTGTCCTTCACCTGCCCTCTCTATATTTTCTTTCACCCGAGGCTGCCTGCATGGGAGCGGGTCGGAAAGTGGGAGCATCCGATACAAGGAAAGTCTGGGTGCCGCCGGCCATCTCTGCGTCACATCGGCCCGGCTCAGGTCTCTGCTGCTCATCACATTGCATCCAGCGGCAGGCTGGCGCCTGAGCTGGTGCAGCCCTGGGGTGCTCCATCTGAACCAGGGGCTGGGACCTACTGCTCCCCAGCACTAGAACCCTGAGGATGTGACCCCAGGGGGCAGGGGCTGCCTTGGGGTGCCAGGAGCACCTTCAGGTGGCTTTAGCTCCTTGCAAGTTAAGGCAGTGGGATATCCTCCCTTATTCCTAAAGGGAAAAGCAGTAGAGCTCAAGATAATCCTCATTCTGAGTAAGCAGACAGTTTAAAAAGGAGAAAACCAACCTTTCACAGGATAAATCCCTTTGCAAAGCTATAGCCCAATAGGCAGGATAACACTATAAGGGCCCTGAGGGTGTTAATAAACCCTAATGGTCCTGAACAGCCACACCTGGAACACCCTTCCCATCCTGCCCATGGCCCAGGAACACTATTTAAGCTCAGCCCAGGGCCTTTAGTTCTGGTCTGAGCTATGTTACAGGGTCTCTAAGTGAGATGCAGTAATCTTTGTGTCTGGGTTGGGCTCTGTAGACCTCACCTGCAGATTGATCTCATGGCTTGGCTTTGAACCTGCCTGGATTCTGGCTGACCTGGACTCTCAGTTGAACCTGAGCAGCTGCTCAGGTAGTGTGAGGTAGGCACTGGGATGTCCCCTTGGTTCTCCAGATATCCCCCAGGACCCAAGGGAGGACACAGCTCTTCCTGTAAAGCCTGCGGGCAGATGGAGATGTGGGCAAGAAGAGCTCTGTCACTGGCCATCCCCAAACGAATGAGTGGGGAAGGTGGACCTGAGGCTTGTAGGGAGCAAATCCAGTTGCTCGAGAGTCAAGGAATAAGGAGCATAAAGCAGTTCTGTTGTCCTGGCTGTGAAGGAGGCACCCCATAGCTGGCACTGAGCAAGGAGCAAGACTGGGGTTGGTGCCAGCACTGGGTGCCCAGGGTGCTGGGTGCCTGCAGGCAGGGCCAGCGCAGCTCTTCAAGTCCCAGAGCACCCCCGTGAGGTCTCACACATGGCTGAGCAGTGGCGCTTGGTGACAGTGGGGAGCCACAACCAACCTCCTCCTGCTGCTGCTCCTGTTCCTCCTGCTGCCGTGCACGGAGCTGGGTGCATGGGGCCGAGGACCCAGAAGGTATTTGGAGTGAGCAGCTGGGCCCTCAGGTATGGGGCCATTGTGGCATGCTGATTTCCCTGCTTCCCTCTATTCTGCCATCTGTGAAACAGGCGTTTTCCCTGTTTCTGCCAGGTTTCCTTCATTACATCCCTATGGAGCGACGCCACTCCTCTGCCAAAGGGGTTTGGTGACCAGGACTCGCTGGTATGAGGAGATGGAGCTGCTTTCCTGCGCTTCCCACCTTCACATGGTGGGATGCTATCCTCACTGACCTCTGTGCTGTTGCTCAAAACTGGATCGTGGGAAGGGAGGAGGATTTAGTTGTCAAATGAAACCAGTTTCATGACACCGCACCGACACGGTCCCAAGCATCAGCACAGGAGGTCTGAGGGGTCCCTGCAGGGTTTCTAGCAGTGACACTGAGGACAAGGGACATGGAATCCTCCTCGTGTTGCTTACAGTTCTCAGGCTGATTTGGGATTTATGGCCCCTTTAGGGGTGTTTTCTCCCTCCCCAACCCATGTATGGGTCAGTCAGTCCCTTCCTCTTCATCCCAACCTTAGCATCGATGGCAAAAGAAATCAGCATCTCCCCTGCCTGTCGTGCAAGCCATTAATTAGGGAGTTAGAACTAGATTTTAAGGTCCTTCCCAACCCAGACCACTTTATGATTCTAATTAATGACCATGTGGAGCAGCTCCTGGTGGGAGGCAGACCAGGAGGGAACACAGGGTGATGGGGATGGTGGCTTCTGACCTGCCTGGGACAGTGGAATCCTTTTCCCTGCTCTCGGGAAAAGTGCCTAGCTTTTCTTAGAGTGTTTTCCCATTAGGATACCTACTTCCCTGTGCACATACCTGAGCAACATGTGGGTGCTTCGCCTTGCTGCTGCAGTTCCCTTGTGCTTGGTTATAGGATTGGGCAACCTGTGCCAGTGCATCACCACTCTCACAGCAAAGAATGTCTCCCTTCTATCCAGCCTGAATCTCCCCTGTTTAAGCCCATCACCCCTTGGCCTGTCCCTACATCCCTTGTCCCAAGCCCCTCTCCAGGTTTCCTGCAGCCCCTTCAGGCACTGGAGCTGCTCTCAGGTCTCCCTTTCAGGAGCCTTCTCTTGTCCAGGCTGACCCAGCCCAGCTCTCTCAGCCTGGCTCCAGAGCAGAGCTGCTCCAGCCCTCGCAGCATCTCCATGGCCTCCTCTGGCCTCACTCCAACAGCTCCACGTCCCTCTTGTGCTGCTGCCCCAGAGCTGGATCAGGGCTGCAGGGGGGGTCTCCCCAGAGCGCAGCAGAGGGGCAGGATCCCCTCCCTGAGCTGCTGCTCACACTCTGGAGGTGCAGCCCAGCACACACCCAAGCAGGACCGCTGCCCTTGTGGAGGTCACCGAACCCGTGCTCCATAGTGGCTCTGCTGTGCCCCAGGTAGGGATTGCTACACCCCAGCCCCATAGGCACCCCATAGACCCCGACCCCATATGGCCCCGCCCCTTTGTCAGCCCCGCCCCTCCCGACGGCGGCAGCAGGACCCTGGACAGCGGCAGCTGCGGCTGCTCTCGCGAGATCTCTGCGCTGCCCCCATAGCCCGGCCAGCGGCGGCGCTGTACTCTCGCGATACCGCTGCCGCTGCGGCAGGAGCAGCGCCAGGCGGGCGGGCGGCCGCCACCCGCCGCGGCACCGGACCGGAGGGGACGGGCACGGTCAGAGCACACCGGGTGAGTGCCGGGGCCGTGGGCAGCGGCCTCTGGGGCAGCGCTCGGCTGTGACCCCCTGCGGGACCGACCGCCCCCTGCTCCCATCCCCCGCCTGCAGCCCACCGCTGGGGGGGGGGAATGTGCGTGGCGTGGGGGCACCCGCGGGCCGGGAACCGAGCGGGAGCGCGGCCGCCGTTCTCCCATAGCCAGGCCGCTGAGGGGGGGCCACGTCCGGTTTTGGGGTGGGGGGGTCCGTGCGACCCCCGTGGGTAGCCCACAGGCACCGAGCCCAAACCCGTAGCGCCCCGGGCCGCCCTTGCAGTGCTGGCACCCGGAGCAGGTGTCGGGGCTTCTCCTGCTTGCTCCATTGCAGAATCCATCCCTTTTAGCTTTGCAAGCCCCATATTGCAACAGCCGCTCCCCCAAATCGCACTTTTCCCCCTAAATTGTGCGGATGCCCCTTGTCCTTGCCAGGCTGTGGAGCAGCGGAGCCGGGTCGGGGGCATCCCAGCCGCGTGTCCCTGCTCCCGGCACACGTGCCCGGGAGACGTCACTCGTATTCCCGGAGCCATCCGTGGGCTGCCGTCGGGTGTCGGGCGATGGCACGTGGCGGGAGTGCTTTGCCTTGTGATGGTTGGAGGGCTCGGAGTTAGATGTGGACCCCCCCCCCAAATCCGATCCTCAAGCACCGTGCATTGAGAAATGTGTTCCCTGCTGCTGTCTGTCCGGCTGGGAGAGGGCAAGGTGGGATGGGCAGAGCGGCTCGGATTGAAAACCTCTTCATTCTTGCTTTAATTTGGCTCCATTTTCTGAGCTCCACCTGCAAGACACAGCACCAGGTTCCGAATGCCGTGAGTAATCCTTAAACCAGCGCTCAAGTGACTCATTAGTGACAATCACCACTCATTTGTGGGGTTTTTCCAGCTGGTATTTTCAGCTGCTTTCCCTGCTCCCTTCTGGCCTGGTTTCTGGAATTGGGCTTGCAGAGATGGGTGCTGCCATGGAGCCAGGTAGTTCCTTGTGCTGGAATGCTTTGTAAACATGGGAATTTATAAATAAATCAGTTGGTTTGGGGGCTAGGTCATGAAATTGAGGGTTTCAGGCTGCCTCGTGGGGCTCTTCGTTTTGCTGCCATCCAGCCTGGCTCCTCTCCCAGGGGCTGGATGTAGGTCAGTCGGGAGTGGGAGGCGAAGCCTGCGCCCTGCCCCACGTCACTGGATCTTCTCTTAATCTCCTGCCTTAACCGGTGTGAAGCCTCAGGCCAGAGCCAGGATTTATTCTGCTGCCAGCCAGGTGCCAGCAGACAGCCTGGATGCAGGAATAGCACGTCTCTGTTGCCAAAGCGAAGCGCCTTCCTGAGCTGTTCTGGAGCAGGGGGAAGGTGGAAGCTCTTCACATCATTCGTTTTCTCTCGTTTTCCTGCAGCTCTGGGAAAGCTCCTGGGTTTTCTTCCCCCCTGCTTTTCCTGTGGAAAGGAGAGGCTGAGCGTGTGCCAGCATGGCAGGTACGGGGGGGCTCTGGTGTGGCTGCCCCTCACCTCTGAAGAGAGGTGTTGCTGGACATCGCATCCCCTCACTAGTCCCTGGTAGCGTTGTAGGTGTCCATGCTTGCAGGATCCACGTGGCCAGTGAAGGTTAAATCTGTTCGATGCTTGGGGGTGGTGATTATGAGGGGAAATCCTTAATTCCTGCATGAAACACGTCAATTCCTGGGGCTGAATGAGACTTGGTGGGAAACCTTGATTTAGTTCAGCTCTGTGCAGTGCCCAATGGCGGTGAAACTCTATTGCAGAGAAAGTGAACAACTTCCCTCCCCTGCCAAAGTTCATCCCCTTGAAGCCATGTTTCTACCAGGACTTCGATGCGGAGATCCCGCCGCAGCACCGCACCATGGCCAAGCGGCTTTACTACCTCTGGATGCGTGAGTGGCCGAGAAGGGCTCGGGAGGGTCTGTGGTTTCCATTCCTCTCCAAAGGCAGCTCCTGGCTGGAAGAGCAGAGCAAGGTTGGGGGAAGCCCTTCTGCCCCTCCAGGCCTTGGGGTCTCCCATTAAAACCCGTTGGGGGGTGGGAAGTTGCTCATGGGAAAGGAGTAGGGGGTGCTGATTGATGGAGCTGAACATGAGAAGCTTGTGCCCAGGCAGCCAAGAAGCCCCCAGCATCCTGGCTTATATCACCACCAGTGGCAGTGATTGTGCCCCTGCCCTGGGCACTGGTGAGGCTGCACCTCAAATCCTGTGTTCAGTTCTGGGCCCCTCACTACAAGAGACATTGAGGGGCTGGAGCGAGGCCAGAGAAGGGCACCAGAGCTGGTGCAGGGCCTAGAGCACAAACATGATGGGGAACGGCTGAGGGACCTGGGGGGTTCAGTCTGGAGAACAGAAGGCTCAGGGGGGACCTGATCGCTCCCTGCAACTGCCTGACAGGAGGATGGAGCCAGGAGGGGCTGGGCTCTGCTCCCAAGGAACAAGGGATGGGACAAGAGGAAACGGCCTCAAGCTGCACCAGGGCAGGTTTAGGTGGAGCTGAGGAACAATTCCTTCCCCAGAGGGTGCTCAGGCATTGGAACAGGCTGCCCAGGGCAGGGCTGCAGTCACCGTCCCCGCAAGTGTTCACACAGCGTGGAGACGAGGCCTCAGTGCCATGGGTTAGTGGTGGCCTTGGCAGTGCTGGGGAACGGTTGGACTGGAGGAGCTTAAAGGGCTTTTCCAGCCTGGTTGATTCTGTGTGGGCTGCAGCATCCCCTGTGCTCAGCCCTTCCAGCCTCCAGGGTGGAGGTGTGGAGCTGGCTCAGTGCCCAAGGGCCGTTGGGGTGACCTTGACATCCAAACCATGGGAGCCTGCGGCTTCCCCCACGCCAGTTCTTGCCTGCTCCTCTTGCATGCCTCTGTGTGCCGTGCTGTGCTAACAGAGCTCTCACTGTCTTCCAACTCCTGAAACTACCCTGGGCCTCTCATCCTTATCAATCCTGAGTGGGGAGAAGAGCCATGGAGGGACAGATCACACCCCACCATGTGTGGAAATGTGTGTGTGCTGCTCAGGGCAAGCTGGCACCATCGCTCTATTCCTTTTTAGAAGAACTTGGTTCCTTAAGCAGGCGTTTCCCCTGAACTTTGGAAGCTGGGATGCCCAGGGAGTGCCACGTGCTTTGGAGGCAGGTTATGGGGAGCTGAGCTAGCACTGGAGAGGTTGGGCTTTTCTGCTTCTGGTACAGCACCCCCAGGGCCATACCTTGCTCCAGCTTTTGGGGGCCCCATCCCATCAGCAACATGTCCCTGGGATAACGCCCCTATCACTTTGTGCAGCCTTTCCATGCAAAGGGAGGCAAAAGAAGTTGTGCCTCCCTGGGGAAGCTGTCTTGGGGGTGTCCAGCTCCCTCCCCAGCCTGATCTGCCTGTTCTTGCTCTGTAACGCGCCCACAAGCACCCAGCAGAGGCTGAAAGGTCCCTGGGGGTGCTCAGGGAGCAGCGAGTGCCCCGCTGCCTCTCCTGCAGCTGCAGCTCTCTTGTGGGCAGCAGTGGGAGGGGTTTCGTGCTCCTCCAAATAATGAATCATTCTCAAGAGCCCGAGGCGTCAGGATGCAGCTGAGGCTCCTCTGCTTTGTGCTGTGTCCGCCCCGGCTGGGCTGCACAGTGCCTGCCCTTGTGCCGCCTTCACCCCGGGCAAGGCTGCCCCCCTGACCTGCCGAGGCGGGCACAGGCAGCTCCTCCACAAGCAAAGCTGTAGCTGGAGGCAGGGAAGGAGCTGCGCTTGGGTTCCTCCTGCTTCCTCTTGGTGGGGGAAATGTGCCCCAGATTGCAGGCAGCAGGAGGCTGTGGCTGTTCCCAAAGAGCCCCATGAGCCCTGGGCCTGCTTAACACGTTGCAGTTCTAAGCAATATATGTTTTCCCCTGCTCCTCAGCTGAAGCTGAGCCAGCCTGGGGACCCCTCCTGCACTCAGGCATCTTAATTTAAGGGTAATCCATCCAGGATTGGAGGTCAGCCCTACAGGGACATCCCTGGGGTCTTTCGTATCTCACTGACATCCTTGTGTCCGTGCTCCTCTGCTCCCTCTGTGTGTGTGTGTGTGTGTTTGCAGTGAACAGCATCACCTTGGCAGTGAATCTCGTTGGCTGCCTCGCATGGCTCATTGGAGGCGGTGGAGCTGTTAATTTTGGACTGGCAATTCTCTGGCTCATTCTCTTTACGCCCTGCTCCTATGTCTGCTGGTTTAGACCTATTTACAAAGCTTTCAAGTAAGTGGTCACTCCTCAGCCTGGCTTCTCATGGGCTTTTGGGTTTGTTTCCCTTCCCAACTGGTTAGTGCTTCGCTTGGGGCACTGCCTGAAGATCTGGGGATATTTCTGCTCTTTCTGTCCAGCCCTTTAGCTTTACTTTCTAACCTTCAAAGGGAGGGTGTTTGGGATGCCCTGAGGCCATACAGTATAAAGACATCCTTTGTGTGCCTCCACCAAGTGCTAGGGGAGTGGTGAGGAGGCAGTTGGATGCCAGCTTGCCCTCCCCTCCCATCCTTGAGGCTTCTTTTATAGCTTTCCACAAGTCCTCAAGGTGCTTGTAATCATTATCCCACTACTGAGATTGATCCTCAGTGCAGTATTCCCAGATCTAGGAGCTGGGGGTGTATTTATTCCCCATATGGGATGAGTGAAGCTGATGTGAGTAGAGAGCTGTGTCCAAACACGGATGCCCAGCGGCCTGATGTGCAGAGCTGGCTGAGCCATGGGGAGGGTTGGATGCCCTCTGGCTTTCCCAAGTGTTCCTTCAGCCTCTCTCAGTTTCTCCCTTGTCTTTAGTTGTGCTCTGGTGCTCTGCTTCTCACCACCCTCTCACTAAACCACAGCACCTTCTGCCCCTAAAGGGTCTGAGACGTGGGAGCATCTCCCTCCCCTTGTGGTGCAGCAGGGATGGATGTGTAGGGAGTGACTGAGCCTTCTCTTGCAGGACAGACAGCTCCTTCAGCTTCATGGCCTTCTTCTTCACTTTCATGGCCCAGCTGGTGATCAGCATTATCCAGGCGGTGGGAATTCCTGGCTGGGGTGTCTGGTAAGGAAGGTGCTGCTCTTGCATTGGATGCAAGGAGGGGAGACCTTATAACACTCTTTCAGTACCTAAAGGGGGCTACAAGAAACCTGGAGAGGGGCTTTGGACAAGGGCCTGTAGGGACAGGCCAAGGGGAATGGCTTTAACCTGCCAGAGAGGACTGAGATGAGCTCTTAGGCAGAAGCTCTTCCCTGTGAGGGTGCTGAGGCGCTGGCACAGGGTGCCCAGAGAAGCTGTGGCTGCCCCATCGCTGGCAGTGTTCAAGGCCAGGTTGGACACAGGGGCTTGGAGCAAGCTGCTCTAGTGGAAGGTGTCCCTGCCGTGGCAGGGGTTGGAGCTGGATGAGCTTTAAGGTCCCTTCTAACCCAAACCAATCTGGGACTCTATAAATCACCATTGCACAGGTGCTGTGTCCTCCTGGTGTGTTTTTAGCACCCTTGGTGCCCAAGTGGCTTCTCGGGTGGGTGCTGTGAGGAGCAGCAGGGGGATGCTGGCAGCCGGGGAGGCCCACACTGCTGAGCATTCCAGTTGTTTTGCTCTCCTTGCAGTGGCTGGATTGCAGCGATTTCCTTCTTTGGGACCAACGTGGGCTCAGCTGTGGTGATGCTCATTCCCACTGTGCTGTTCACGGGGATGGCTGTCTTCTCCTTCATCGCCCTCACTATGGTACGGAGGCGCTGCAGCACATCAGGGCTCCCTTGCTGCTCCCCTGGCAGGCTGGGGGGAGCTGCAGTCCCTCAATCCCTGTGGATTCTCTCTTCCCAGGTGCATAAGTTCTACCGGGGGAGCGGCGGGAGCTTCAGCAAAGCCCAGGAGGAGTGGACCACTGGGGCATGGAAGAACCCCCACGTGCAGCAGGCAGCGCAGAACGCGGCCATGGGCGCAGCGCAGGGGGCCATGATGCAGCACGAGACGCAGTACTCGGCCACCCCCAACTACACCTACTCCAACGAGATGTGAGCAGCAGGACTCTGTCCTCAGGCACCAGATCTTGGGGAGAAAGGGAGGAGGAGGAGGAGGAAGGCTGAGCTGGATTTCTGCAGCTATTCCAGAAAGCTGGAGTGTACCATAACGGTTCTTTTCCTATTCTTTGTAACGAGATCATTTGGGATTTGTTTTCTTCTTCTTTTTCCTCCCCGTTACTGTCTGGAGCTTTTGTTTCTCCTCTCCTTTCCCTTTCATTTTGAAGAGGCTGTGAGCTGACCCGCAGGGCTCTTGGGGGGTGTGTGTGTGTGTGTGTGTGGTAGTTACATGTACGTTCACGTGTCTTCCTTTTCCCTGTGAACTAGTGTATGGTGGTGGTTTTTAATTCCTGTGGTGATAGGTGTACATTAGAACTCCATCAGCCAAAAGCCCCCACTCCTGAAAGGGAAAGATACAAATAGCAACCAGCACCCATTTTCCCTCTTGGAATAAGCCCTGAGCCACAGGTTTCTGATGTGTGTGAGTTTTCTCTTTGAGTTGGTAGCACCCAGCCACTCACCACTGTCTCAGCAAGGACAAGCCATCCCGGGAATTCACCTTTTTCCCTTGATTTTTAACCAGGAGGTGGCTGGCTGGGTTAGTATTAACCAAGAAAAAGAGGGGATAAGGCAGAAAAGAACCCCTCCATCCTGCTGTTGATATGCTGGAAGTCGAGAGATTCCTACCCTACACCCTGGCTCAGGATCTACAACTTCTCTCCGTGTGTGGTGATGTAAATGAGTAGCTTCCATCCAGTATTTGTGTGTGTCCGTGGGCAGGAGCCCCGGTGTGCTGCGTGTGTGTGCATGTACTGGGGAGTGAGGACAGGTTTTTCCTTGTGGGATACAACCTTTCCATTCCAGATTCTGCCTCCTGAGGCTGGTTTGTAAAGGCTTCTTGAAAAGCAGCTATAGAACAGGCAGTGTTTCTCAGAGGAGCTGTTCTTGGGGACTGCTCTGGGTCACATCAAGCACATACCACCTGTGTACTGTGTAAATAGCGAGGCCAGGATTTGTCCCTCTTAGCTGTTGAGGTGTGCAGGAGCGTACGGAAACCTCCAAGCTGCTGGAGAAGGATTCCTGCTCACTTGAGCTTCTGGTGTGGAAATCCCTGCTCCTCTCAGCCCCCAATCCATGCCCAGGTAGGGGTTAGTTTGCGCTTTAAATAATGATGTGGCACCTCAGCAGAGGCAGCTGAGCTCAGACCAACACCTCCTGGGCTGTCAAGGGGAGCTAACGGATGCTGCTGGACCAGGAGCAGGGAAAGCTCCTTCTCAGAGATGCTTTTCAGACTCTAAATGCACTTTAAATATGCCAAATTTCTCTCCAAGTCCTAGGAAAGCAGCCCAAACTGAATCACAAGCCGAGCTCCCCTCTTAAGGATGTCACTTCAGTCACTCTGCAGTGGACAGTGGTCTCCTGATAAGACTAAACTGCAGCTAACAATAAATTGCCTGTCCGTGTGTGTGCGTGTGTATATACGTGTAAAACTTAAGGAGAAAAGTAATCCTTTGCTGAGCCTATTATGTACTTAATCAGGTTTAAATATTGTGCAATTCATTTCTAGCTAGCCGAAAACTGACTATGCCAAACCATGTGCTCTGTCATCCATGTCTGAGAAGTGATGCAATGAAAGTGACTTCACCTTTTGCATTGATGATAACTGTACCGAGCTGTAACTAACAGACATTGCTTCAGCACCTAACCCTCCTCTCCGCTCTGTCTCCTCAACCTGCGGCCACCGGCGCTCCAGCCCCCTGCCCTGCCATGGGCCTGGGCTGGACACCAGACCCCCGCACCCTTATTCTTCACCTGGGTTGGGATCCCAGCACCGCGGGTGGGAGAGCTGATGTGCGGGTGCTTCGGCAGATGCAGGGTTTCACTGAGGTCTCCCCATTGCTTTTTGCAGATCTCTCTCTGCCTCTTTGCCTTCTTCCTGGTGCTTATTTGCACCTGACAAATGCGGCTTTTAAGCTGTGTGCGGAAGGGTTGGGGACCACCGCAGATGTGCCTGCCCCTGCTTGACAAGGAATGGGCAGCCCTTTAACGTGCTTCCCCCCCCGTGTGTGTGCCTCCCGCAGGGAAGGGCTCCCATCGCCGGGTGCTGCCCGCTGCTGCTTGCGGGGACCGGGAGCCGCTCATGGCGCGGTGCCCCTCGCTCCGTCCTCTCACACGCAGTGACCTTCCTGCTGTCCTCCGCCACCTCTAACCCCCTCCGCGGGCTACGCTCCTCCTCACACAGCCTTTGAGGGGCTGCCAACCGCCGGCCCTTGCAGCCTGTCCCTGCGCTGCGGAGCGGGCGGTACCGGGCTGCTATGGGGCACCAGCACCGCGGTGCAAGGCCCAAAGGCCCCTACCGCGACGGGACGGTACCGGGCGCCGCCGCCGCCATGACACCGCCTCAGGCCCGCCCCCTTCCCTCCACAACCAATCAGGGTTTCCCAGCGTGCCCTTCGGCTTCCGGGGCCGGCCCGCGTTGCCGGGCAACGGCGGGCGGTGCGGCGGAGGCGCGGGGTAGGCCGCGGCGGGCTCCAGGGCCTGAGCACCGTTGCCGGTATATAACCGGTGTTTGGAACCCACCGGGGTCCCTCGGGTCTGCCCTGTGCCTCAGCCGCCGTTTGCAGCATCACCGCGGCGTTAAACGGCACATAGCGTACCTCTGATGGCTCCTTACCGATAGCCCGGCGCTGTGCTCAGGCGGGAGGCAGGCCCGGCCCGGCCCGGCCCGCTCTGGTTTTACCACTAATAGCCCTTATTGAAAGCTGCCTATTAATAAATTACATCTTATTCCCCAGGCTTTAAAGTGTGGGTGCATAATTGTCCGTCAGTAATCCCACGGGAAGCGGGTGTTTTCCTTACTGGGACTGTGTTAACTTGGTTTTAATCAGCCGTAGATGACCACACGGAGCAGCTCTGGAGTCGCCCTGCCGATGCACTCGCTGCGGTTCCTCGCCTCTAATTGCTGTTGCTAATCAGTGCCTGGGAGCTCCAGCTGAAGGCCTGCTCTTACCCTGGTAATTCCTTCTATAACCACGCTGAGGAACGTTTAAACTCATTAATTCCAAGCGGAGCATGGAAAAGGAGCACGTGTCAGTGCTGCCGCGCTGGGCGGGTGGGTGCCGGAAGGGTGTTTGTGCTTGCCTTGATGTCAGGGGCAGAGGTTTGGGTCCTGAATTGAACCCGGGAGGGGATGGGAGGGTTGGTTTGTGTCGCTCAGTTCGGTGATGAAAACAAGGGCAGCACCAATGTCTCTTTATTCCAACCCAAAATGCTTTGAAGAGCACTCAAATGGACCAAGGGTTACTGAATCCCAGTCTTTGCCAGGAAAGCGCTTTCAGCTGCTTCAAGGACTGAATTTCCTCTCTGCTAATGGCTAGTGAGGCAGAACCTTTTGCATCAGTTCTGCTCAGGAGCACTCCTCCTCACCTGAGCACTCACTGGGGATTTGTCAGTGTGGCAGCCCCAGATTCTGCATTATTAAAAAGCTTCCCTGCAGTTGTTGCTCACCAGAGATTGTGAAGGGAGGCTGCCTCTAATAGGAGCTGTCTTCATCCCAGCAAAGCTGCATGTATTGGGAATTCTGAACCACGTTCAACACATGAAAGTGTATCTTTTGTTCTGGGAGTTTTCAGAATGCTTTTGAGGTCTGTCTTGTGTGGGGTTTAGCCTTGTGTTTACCAGTATCTGAGAGACTTAAACAGGAGGAGGAGGCTTCAGCTATGCTTAAAGCTCTGCTGGTGCTTGGAAGCTTTGTGGATGAGGGTCTGAGTGTTCATCTTCAGGCTGAGTTACTCCAGGTCCTGCTTAGTCCACACAAGTGCTTGCCAACGGAGCCCTGTTGTGCTTCGTTAGTCAGTGTCTTGGTTCTCCTGTGCTTGCAGAGTTTGATGGGAACATGGAGCCTTCTTCCCCACCAGACCCAGGGATTCCTGCAGGGAGGAGCTCCTCTGTGCCACAGAGAAACTACCGCGTCCTGGTGGGTGTGACTGGGAGTGTGGCTGCCCTCAAGCTGCCCCTTCTCATTGCTGAGTTGCTGAAGATCACTGAGGTGAGTAAAGCTGTTGGCAGAGCATTTTAAAGTTGGTGTTGTCCTGTTGCTGTTCTTGAGGGAGGGATTGTGTGGCTTCTGATGGAATGGAAGGCTCCTTCTGGCTTTGAGCCCTCTGAAATTGTGTTGTGGGAGGATTCCTCCTGGGTTTAAAAATCAATCAATTTCCTCTCATTTCATACTTCTACACTTAGCTTCACATTAGGCTTAAAGCGCCTATTCCAGGGTATTTCCGTAGGCAAACATTTGGATTCTGGACTGTGAAAGTGTTATTGTTCAGCTCAGCCTAACTCTCTGAAGTGATTGAATAGGTCCTTGCTTTGGTGGGGTTTTTTGGTGGAATATGTCTTTGTCAGCCAAATTATCAGCTCTGGCCACAGCCACAGGTGATAGTTTCTGGAATGGGAAATCTCTGGTTAGGATACTGCAATTCTCTGTAGGTGAGGTGTGGACTTTGCAAAGGTGCTGAGCAGCAAAGGGCAACTGCATCTTGTAAAGGCAGAAGTAACAATGTGCTGTATGTGCCCATGCACTTGGTTTTTACTAAAGGTTTATTGTCTGGAGTAACAGAGGTGTCCAGCAGAGGCCAGTAGTGACTGCAATCAGGGAGGGAAACGTGTGAACTTTTCGCTGTAGATTAAAGTCAGAGAAAAACTTGGAAAACCTTTGGCTTTTAAGAAGAGGAGCAAATGATTTTGGAGCAGTAGAAGAGTGGCAGAAACACAACGGTGCACTTAAATATGCAGATATTGGTTAGATTGCTCAGTGAATCTCCTTTAGAATGATATGGGCAGCTTTGTCTTGTAGATACACTATCAGAGTCAGAAGAGTTGTGATCCTTGAGTAACTGATGCATCTGGTTGGTGTTGGCTTGGAGAGCTGTTGGTGTCCAAGCTTTAAGGGTACTGAGGATGCAGGGAGCTTTTGGGCTCGCATGGTGGGTTGGAGAGAGGGGCCTCAGTTAATTTATTACTTGACCTGAAGTGATTAGTGAGGCCAAAGGTTATAGCCTAAAGGAAGAGTGCCACAGACAGCTGCTCCCAGGGAACTCCTGGCAGTTCATTTATTAATTTAAATGATATATTTACTCACTTGTGCTGTGATTTCCAGGCCTGACCCAAGGCCTGCTGAACCACTGTGACTTTTCCATGCAGTTTGGTCTGTCTTGTACAAGTCAATTTCTTTACTGATGGAACAGAACTCTGAAAGGAAGCAGGGGAAGGCTTTGATACTGAAGGAGATGTGGCCGAAGGCTTGAAACTGGAGGGGTTACTTTAAGTTGCTGTTTTGGCTGGAGTGATCCTTGGTGAACAACTTGGCAGCATGGTTCTGCACTCATTAAACTTTCACAGCTCCTTGAGGGTGATAGTGGAGGTGACTCCATCTGACTGCCTTCTGTTTAACCTCTCTGAAGATGGAGGAAATTCAGACAGCAGCAGCTTCCACCTTTCAGGTTATTCCCCTTACACCTGGTGTTGTGGGGACACAGCCCAAAGGGTCTCCTCAGGATGCTGTGGGTAACTCTCATGGTTGTCCTACACTCACATGCTGATGATCTCAGGCTGGTGCCTGGAATTTCTGAGCAGCCTAGCAGGAATACAGTTGCAAAAATGATGTTGGTTAGTCGTAAAGAAAGGCAACGGTGGGGGAAATGTGTTGCTATTGGAGCTACAGGCTCTCATGTGGACCTTGAGGTTTAAACCATTTTGTGGTGCTCCTGCCAGGTAACCTCTACACCAGCTTGTAAGTGCCATTTACCAGAGGAGCTCCTCATTCTCTTCAGCAGTTGTTCCTGAAGCTCAGCCTGTAAAGATTTTGTTGTCAAAACTGAGAAGTCTATGGAGGAAAAACCGTGCACAGCCCTTTACCCCACACAGAAACATCTGTGACAGGAGGATCCTCTACCAGCCACCAGCAAAACTGGGTGAGCACAGGAGAATGCTTTTGCCATCGGGTTTGTTCTGGAGAACCAGCTTAAGTGCTCCAAGCAAATGAACTCTGACCAGTCTGAACTCTCTCCAGTAAAGGAGTTGGAGCATGGCTAGACTGGCTTTACTGTTTAAGCAGAGATATATCCACGGGCAAACAGAGGGTGTGCCAGGTAAATAGAAGGAAAAAGCTGTGGAGGCTTAAGTGAGCTTGAGAACACTGATCTCTTCCCAGCGTAGCTGGAGGGACTTGAAGTTCTTTCTCAGAACAAGGGAACCAGGAGCCCACCCCAGCAGAAAACCTTCATTCGGGAGAATATTTAACTTGGAGAGCAACTTTCTTGGGAGAGTGGTGGAATTGCCACCACGTGAGGTCCTTGAGCATCACTCTGGTATGCTCTGGCTTGTGGGTTGGATGCTGAACTCCATAGCCCAATTCCCTGTTCCTGAACTTATGCTTTGAAGACTGGAGATGGTTCTGAAATGATGTTTTTAAGAAAAGCAAAGTGTCTTTGGGGTATTTTTCTGTCCTTTACCCTGAGAGGGGCATTTCTGGTCTAGATTTTGTCTAATGACACAACTGAAGTGATAAAATATGTGGTAGGTGGAGTTGTATCACCTGAAACTCCTTCTGTCTCACTGCAAAACAAGACTACCACTACCAAACATTCCTCCTGACAACTTCTATTGTTCTGTTGCCCAAACCCGGCCTCCTGCTGCCATTTCAGAGAGCTGACATGCCCCTTAAAGCTGCACATTGCCCTTTAAAATCACTAGAGAACTAGCATCTCGCAGGCTGTGAGGTTAACACCTAGCTAGGCCTGCAGCGCAGCAGAGAGCAGCGTTAGCACCTCTGTGGGTGTCAGTGCTTGGCTCCAAAGAGTGAGCTTCCTGTGAGCTGAGGTTAACATGGAAACCATACACTTGCTTGCTGTGAATGTGATCTTCACGCTCAGAAGCACTAGAAGTGCAGCTGTGGTTCCAAGTTAGGCTCACTTGAAGAAGAGCAGACATTTAAAAGAGGCAAAGAACCACATATAGCACTGTGTGCAGCTGTGTTTTCCCATCCTTTTCTCTTCAGGAAGTGGGGAAAATTACTGAAGCCCGTGATATGCTAAGGCTGGGATTTTCCAGCTGCTTCCAGCTGCTGTTCTAGTCACATAGGGTGCAGATAACCAACCCTGCTTCATTCCTAGTCAAATAGATGGTGTCGGGGAGATAGGTTAACATGTGTCATTACTTCAACCATTGCTGCTGAAGATAGCTGGTTGGAGGGGTCTGGCACTGGGTTTTAGGACAAGTGAGCAGGCAGTGCTTTATCAGTTGTTTTCCTCAGGCCACAGGGTTTTAGTGGGAAGGAGTTCTGGTGAGGCTGGTTTCTCCCCATCTCTCTGCTGGGCCAGTAGAACCACGTTGCACTGTGAACGGCTTGAAGGAGCAGGCAGTGGTTAAAACTGGCTAATAATAAGGAAAAGTGTTCTTTCTCACTGTTATCTGTGGCATCTCCCACATTACCAGTCTTTTCAGAGCTCTCCCTCCATGTGTTGGCCTGTCTCTTTTTGAAGGGGTACCCTGGAGAAATTGCAGGTGGGTGTACAGTTGCATGTCCTGCACCATGGATGACCAGCACAAGCAGAACCACCCTAACACTGACCTGCTGTGTGCAGGGCAGCTCCAGTGGGCTGCATGGGGCAGGCAGCTGGCTGTGGCATTTGACTGTGACATTTGCCAGGGTGACAGCTTTGAGCAGGTCATGGGACACATAGAAATTGGGGAAACCCTCCTTTTTCCTCTTGTTGAGATTTCTACAGGAGGAAATGAAAGGATCTCATGTCATAGGGCAACTTGGCACCTCCTAAGTGTATGTCAAATAAACTCCAAGGGATGTGATAGGGTTTCCCAGAATGGTTTGGGTTGAAGGAAGCTTAAAGCTCACCCAGTCCCAACCCCTGCCACGGGCAGGGACACCTTCCACTGGAGCAGCTTGCTCCAAGCCCCTGTGTCCAACCTGGCCTTGAACACTGCCAGGGATGGGGCAGCCACAGCTTCTCTGGGCACCCTGTGCCAGCGCCTTGGCACCCTCCCAGGGAAGAGCTTCTGCCTAAGAGCTCATCTCAGTCTCCCCTCTGGCAGGTTCAAGCCATTCCCCTTGGCCTGTCCCTACAGGCCCTTGTCCCAAGCCCCCCTCCAGGTTTCCTGCAGCCCCTTTAGGCACTGGAGCTGCTCTCAGGTCTCCCCTTCAGGAGCCTTCTCTTGTCCAGGCTGCCCCAGCCCAGCTCTCTCAGCCTGGCTCCAGAGCAGAGCTGCTCCAGCCCTCGCAGCATCTCTCTGGTCTAATCTGGACTCGTTCCAGCAGCTTCATGTTGGGCTTCTCATTGACCAACATCCCCAGGATATACCGTATAACTGAAGGTTCCACTGGCTTTCAGCAGAGGCAGGCAGGTTTATCCAGGGTTTCAGAGAAAACCTTCATACATTTTCACCCTTTTCTTGGTGGAAACCACTGCTTTACTGGTTTGGCTGCACAGAAACCATGTGCTGTGAACATACCTAGAGTTTCTCCTCTTTCCAGCATCTTACCTTGATAAGGGGGGATAGGAAGGCTGGAAGACACCGCTCTGACTTATTTGTGGTATTTTTATCCCTGGCTGGAGCAAGTCTAACTAACTTGGTTTTAAAAGGCAGGATCCAGTGGTCTGTAGTTATCTCCATGTCTGGCACCAGGAGATCATCATGAGAGGGACAGAAAGAGGTTCGCAGTGTGGTCCATGCGACCAAGAAGTGCTCCTCTGTCTCCCAAAGCCCCTCTTCCTTGCGAAGCCTTGCATGGCACCAGTGGGTTTGTTTTTGGTGCTGGTGCTGAGCCCCACTCACCTTCTTGTCCCTCAGCAGTTCTTTTGATCACTCAGCACTGTGCTTGCTCTTGGCTCCAAGTGTGGAAAGATGCAAGTGCCCTGTAGGCAATGCCACCCCTTGGCAGTCCTGTACGCTGTGGTTATGGATCCCACTGAGGTGAGATGCTCTCCTACTCCCTTTGGCAGGCATGTTGGAGAGATTAAAGGGCATTTTTTCCCTGAGCTTTGGTTTGCTCCTTCTTGCTGCCTCTTTGAAGTTCTGTGCAGAGTGCACCTCATTCAGACCTGCTCTGGCCTCTCTGCTGTCCCTGCTGGGAACTGGCCATGTGAACACATAAACTGGCTCAACATGAGCTGGCCTGAGCATTTTAGGGGGCTTTAAAATGAGTCTTTGGCTCCCATAAATACCTGTAGTGGCCTTTCAGCTGTGAACAGGGGAAGCTCCCCTGAGAAACTGCTTTGTGGCTCGAGCCCAGCTTGACAGGGTTGTCCTGAAGTCTAACCACTGGTCTGTCTCTCTTTTCTGATCAGCTCGAAGTGAAGGTGGTCACCACTGAGAGAGCAAAGCATTTCTACAACGTCCAGGAGATTCCTGTCACCCTCTACAGCGATGAAGATGAATGGAAGGTGAGTTGTGCTTCCATGGGAGACTGCAAAGGCTTCCGTCCCATCCCCAGCAGCCACAGGTTTTGTAATTCAGGTAGCTTTGTCATGCCTTCTGCTTCCAGAGGGCCAGTGGGGTCATGCTTCAGGAAAAAAGCAGGCTCCTGGGAGATTCACTTGTTCAAGTGCTGAACAGCAAATAGAAGTGCTTCATTGCAAGAGACCACATCTGTTTGTGCTTTAGTCCTGGGCCAAGACTTGTTTCTTTGGAGCATTGTGTGCAGTTCTGGTGTCCTCCGCATAAGAAGGACATGGAGCCATTGGAGCAAGTCCAGAGGAGGCCACGAGGATGCTCAGGGGCTGGAGCACCTCCTGTATGGAGCCAGGCTGAGAATACTGGGGCTGTTCAGCCTGGAGAAGGGAAGCTGTGTGGAGACCTCAGAGCAGCTTCCAGTGCTTGAAGGGGGCTACAAGTATTCTGGAGAGGGACTCTTCATCAGGGACTGTAGCGATAGGACAAGGGGTGATGGGTTCAAACTGAAACAGGGGAAGTTCAGATTGGAGATAAGGCAGAAGTTCTTCCCTGTGAGGGTGCTGAGGTGCTGGCACAGGGCGCCCAGAAAAGCTGTGGCTGCCCCATCCCTGGCAGTGTTCAAGGCCAGGTTGGACACAGGGGCTTGGAGCAAGCTGCTCTAGTGGAAGATGTCCCTGCCCGTGGCAGGGGTTGGAACTGGATGAACATTAAGGTCCCTTCCAACCCAAACCATTCTATGGTTCTAGTCATGTATGCTTTGGAATCTGGCTTTCCAAGAACATGGTTCCAACCACACTGTAAATGAGGAAGGGCTGCAGCAGGTGGTGAGGGTGGCAGTGGTCGCTCACCACCCTGGGCTCAGCCACAGGTCTAAGAGGAGTCTCAGGAAGTGTCAAGAAAGCCACTGCAGAGTCGTGGTGAGGGTGTTTGGGGCTTGTCATGAGTCACACTTGTCCCAAAAGCAAGAGCTTAATTCTTTTTAGCACATCAGTGGCGTTCCCCAGCTGCCCACACTGCTTTGAAACATCTGGTGTGGGGCTGGGAAGCTGCCTGCTGGCAGGGAGGAGCAGACCAGCTCCTGGAGGTGCCATGCTCTGATGGGATAAGTGGCTGGAGGTTAGAGAGGTTCTCCTTCCTGCTGGAAGCACTGTTTGCCTTGGAAGTCTATGCTCTGTGCTCATGTGCATACATAGAAGAGCCATTCCAGCAAAGGATGGCTCAGTTGCCAGGGCTGTGGACATCTCTAGACCCTGTAAAATGGCTTTTTCTCTTCACTACAGCTTTGCTGACATGCTTTGAGAGTTCCTGTGTGTGTGGAGGCTCATTGTATAAACATCAGCATTTGTTTATATATGTATTATATATATATATGTGGCAGTCCTGATCCAAGTACAAGGAGGAGCTGGAAACGGTGTCAGGAAGCACCAGCTTTCTGGAGGCTGGCTTTTTGTTATGGTTTCCAGTGACTTAGAGAAGGAACAGCTTGTGGCCCTGATGCACCTCTTCTGGCCTGTGGTTGTGTGTGTCCTCTGGGGATTAAGCACCTGTTGCTGCTTCTGTTGGTGCTTTCCCACATAAGTTCCCAGTTAACTGTGCTCTTACAAAGAGACCAGGACTCTTTTGAGCAGCTCAGCTTTAGAGTTTAGAGCCAGTTGAGGAGGGAAGTGCCCTGTTGGCCAAACCTCATCCGTCCTGAAGAAAGCCAACAGGACTGTTTGCTGCTGTACTTATGAGGATGCTGCTGTGAGTATGCATCCTAACTGGAAGGGACTTGTGGAATTAGGGATCTAGACCTCGTAAAAGCCAGTGGACAGCTTCTCTTGAAAGAATCATGGAGCTTATAAACCACAAGGCTTCCTCAAGGAATGCGCCCCCAGTTTGGGCTTGCCTGGCTTCAGTTGCTGACAGGATGGAGCTCTTCCTTCCACTCAGATATGCTGCAAGTTGAGGGGGCTTTTGCAAACAAGGGATGATGTGGGTGGGAAGTGAATGGGGAAAGCTCTTTCCTGTGAGTTGAAATCTGGGGTTGTCTGACGTGTGAATTGTCCCTGTAGGGGAAGGACATCTGTTTGTAGAGCTCCAAGCACAGCAGTGCTGTCCCTTAGCTGTGATCCCTGAATGGGCAACATGGCCTTCAAACAAGTGGGCACTGGGTCCCTGGTTCTGCACACTCTCAGGTCTCAGTGTGAAAGTAGGTTTCCATGGTGGTTACTATGGGATTGCTCAAGTGAGGGCTCAGTAACCTGCACCTTGTCTGCTCCCCAGCTGTGGAAGGGGCGCTCGGACCCAGTGCTGCACATTGAGCTCAGGCGCTGGGCTGACCTGATGCTCGTGGCACCTCTGGATGCAAACACGCTGGCAAAGCTTGCCAATGGCATCTGTGACAACCTGCTGGTGAGTAACAGCGAGTTCTCTCACCTCCCAGTGTTAGACTGCCTGACCTTTCTTTTCATGGAAACTTGTGCTTCTGCAGCAGCGAGATCAGCCACATTTGCATGTTCTGCTCCCACTTCATCTGCTTGTCTCGCTCTTCCTGCACTGTGGCTCCTTCTCAAACAGTCATTCCTCCCTTCCCTTCTCTGCATCCCTTTCCAATCCTCACCTCAATCTCTCTTCCGTCAGTTCCCAGTCCCTGCTTTGTGCCTTTCCTGCTTTCGCTTTCATTTATTGCTCTTCCTACCCCCACCCTCTCTCTGCCATGCCTGTGCACGCACACTCGTGCACACATGCACTCGCGCTTACTTTTGAGTTCCTCTCTGCATTTCTTAGATGTGATCTGAAAAGACACCTGTGAGATCTGATAAAACTATTGACTTCCTCCTCCCTCGCCTCCTCCCTCACCTAACTGCAGAGCACACCAAGTCAAACACACACACACTCACTCACCTTCCACTCGCAGCTAGAGGGCATTTTGCTTGTTCAGGCTTGTTTTTTTGGTATCAAAAGTGCTTAAAGGCTGATCAGAAAGTGCATTAAAAGAGACTGTGGGCCTCTCATGGCTGATAGGGACCTTCACCAGGGCTGAATGCTCTGTGTCCAGGCATTAGGTCTTCGTTAGGAGAGGTCATAAGCATTAACCACCATTAAGATGTGCCAAGAAGCTGCAGATGTTGCTGTGGTACATCACCCAGCGGTAATGCATGGAGGAAGATGCATTAGAACTAGGAATGGAGGGCAGTGCATCACATCCAGAGAGCCCTGTGTGACCAACTTAGCTCTTCGGGTAAGAGGAAGCGCATGTAAATGCAGAGCAGCAGCCCTGATTTGTATGAGTAGAGGGTCTGAGAGAAGCCAGGAGGAGCTGTGGGAGGGACAAGCAATATCTTGTCCTTCTGGGTCCCCTTGGTACTATAGATGCCATGGTGGTAGCAGAGGGAAGAGCTCAGGAAGGGTATTAGGGATGCATGGCTTCCCAAACTCCTGCCAGTGTTTTCAGAGAGCCTTGTGGAGGGAAGAGGAAGCTCCTGCAGGTGCTGGTTGGCAAGTTAGAACAGATGCTGGCAGGATTCCCTGTGCTGGGAAAGGTTCATATCACAGGACACAAGAAAGGATGGGCAGAGTTCTCCAAGTACTCTGTGATCTGAACAGAGACCCTGCACCGGGGCTGTTGCTACCTGGGAAGCTCCTTTTGCAGGATTTAAATGCCTCTGGGCCTAGAGAAGCTGATGGACATTGCAGTATGGCAACCAGCATTCATCTTTTCAAGGTGATGCTTGGTTATCTGGGAGCTCTGTATTACAGAGGAGTCAGCTATGACTCCCTGTAGCACCCAGGAGCTGCCAGCAGCTGCTGCCGCAGCCCATGTGTATTCTGGTATCCTCTGTACCCTGGAAGCAGCAGTGCTTCCCTTGGGAGGAGTTACACATCCAGCTGGCATAGCTTTGCCAACATGCTGTGTTTGGCTCCACAGCTCAAGTGTTGCCTGGGGATCTTCCTGTAGCTGGTATGGCCTGTGGCCACCCTTCAGCTCCCCTCAGTCCTCCAAATGGGCTGGCACATTGTGTGCCAGCTTGCTTTGCTCCAGCCATTGGGCTGTTTGCAGGATGGGATCTATCCTCTTTGAAGTCTCCCTTATCTTTCCTGCCTGTCAGAGCTGAGCTCTGCTGGAATGTGGTACAAATGAGCATCAGCTCCCTGCATCTGCTTGTGGGTTACTACCTCTGCACTGACAGGTTGAGGCTTTTGGCCCTGTCATGACACCCAGGCTGGGAAAGCACTTCTGTGCTGCCGAGTGATGGGGGGGGAATGGGGAAAGCCAACCCATCCAGAGCTGACCCTCTCGGCTTCTCTTGCAGACCTGTGTGATCCGTGCCTGGGATCTGAGCAAACCTCTGCTCTTCTGCCCAGCAATGAACACAGCCATGTGGGAGCATCCCATCACAGCACGGCACGTGGAGCAGCTGAAAGGCTTTGGCTACACGGAGATCCCCTGTGTGGTGAAGAAACTAGTGTGTGGAGATGAAGGTCAGTCCCTTTGCCAGCCTTCTGGCTCTTTCTTCCCTGCACAAGTGCATTCTTTTGTCATGTGGTGCTCCCCATGTTGAGCTGCAAGGAGCAGATGCTCACTGCTGGGGTTGACACAAACAAACTGAAGCTTTCCCCTGTGCTGGCTGGTATCTGTTATCCTCATCCATTAATTTTTAAGTAGTCTTAAGAGGTCATCCAAGCCAGGCTTTCAAATGAGCTGTGAGATAGGCCTGAGATTCCAAAGAAACACTCATTCAAGTAGAGAGGAGATGGAAGTAGAAGGAATGCTTTGTGGTGAGTGTTGTCAGCCTGGGATTTGGGTATCCTGACCTCTAATGTGACTACAACAAGCACTTTGCAGTCCTGGCCGAGGGTGTAGCTGGATGTGCATGTCACATCTGTTGGTGTTTGTTGCCTGGGTTACTCTTCAGCTTCCCAAATGAGTTTTGATTTGGGGTTTTGACATCAGATTTGTCTGTGAAGTGAAAGAGGGTGGGGAGGGAGTGTTGTCACACCCGCTTTCAAAAGGCTTCACTTGCAGTGCTAAGAAATACCACTGAAATGATCTCATCTGTGTTTTAGAAGCTGCTTTAACTGGAGGTATTTTGACTTTGGGGGGGGTTGAGGAGGGTTTTTCATGCAAGCAATTTGGCCAGATTGGCAAATATCACCCAGTTCTAGCCCATAACAGCAAATATGCACTTACCTGTGTAGTAATGGACTCATACTTTTGGTTAGCAACCCCAACTCATGCAGGATTTTAACAGCTCTGTTCAATAAACAGGCTGTAGCAGAGACAGGGTGTTAAAATGCTCTTCACAGTTCAACCCTAGGGCTGGCTTTAGTTCCTGAACTCTTAAGTGGTTGCAATGCTTCTAGGGGGTGGTTTTGGAGCAAGACACTAAGAAATAGTTACACTGGGGTGAGTATAGTCAAGTAACTCAGGAACCATTGAAATACCCTGGACATTTATGCTTCTGTTGGGGTTTTAGCCCTGATGACATCAAATTCCTGACACACTTGTAATGATGTTAAGGGAAGCTGCCCAAAAGAGGTTATCCTGTGCAGATGTTTTGGCAGAAGCAGGAAGAGCATCTGGCATCACTTCTTTGTCCTTTCTTTCTTCCCTTCATCCTTTTCAGTACACATGTAGGATCTCCATCCCCGTAGCAAGCAGCTGAGTGCCTCCTCATTGGTACTGTGCTGCTGCTTGCAGGTTCATGCACCTGAGGCAGAGCTGTGGTGTTACATCCCTACTCCACAGATGAAATGGGTGCAGTTTTGCATCCCTGAGCCTCCACTTGTGTTTGTGAGTCAATTCCCAACAAGATTTTCCTGTAGGCAGGATTTTCCTGTAGGAAAATGCTGGTGAAGCAGTTGTTGTCCTGCTTTAAGCCCAGCCAGCAGCTCAGCCCCATGCAGCCACTCACTTCCTTCCCCTCAGTGGGATGGAGAGAGAGATTCAGAAGGGTAAAAGGGAGAAAACTTGAGAGAAAACCAGTTTAATAATGGAAATAAAAGAATAAACTGTGATGAAAAGGAAAGTAAGAGAGAAATAAACCCCAGAAAGCCAAGTGATGCAAATGAAATCACTTACAAGTGATGTCATATGGCATATAGAATAGCCCTTGGGTCAGCTGTCCGGCCCTGTCCCCTCCCAAGTCCTTGTGCCCCCTCCCTGGTGGGGTGGGGTGAGGACCAGCAAAGGCGACTGTGTAAGTGCTGCTCAGCAAGAAGGAAAACATCCCAGTGTTCCTAACGCTATTTCCAGCCCAAATCCAACCAACAGCCCCATTGGAGCTAATCCGAAGTAAATGAACTCCATCCAGCACAGCAGTGATGGACTCCAGGTCTCTTTAAGACCCAAGACACTCTCCACCACTGCCTTTTTCCTCTCATCCCCTCTGTTTCAGGCCGTTCACCCCAAAGCCTCTTCCTCTCCAGTAATTGAATGTGGGTTTCATCCACAAAGCTTCACCCGAGCAGCAGGTAACAAAGTTCACACAGCTGCTGCAGAAGGAAAGAGATTCAGTTTGCCCCAGTTCTGTCTGTTGACGCTGTGGTTTGGCTTGCTGCAGAAGAGGATTAGGTCCTCACTCATGTGGCTGGTCTCACCTGAAGTGGGCCAGATCCTAAAAGAGTTCAAATCATCAGTTAAATTGAGTTGACAACTAAACTGTTTCCTTGGCTGGGTAGTTAAATGCTATCTTTATATCACAATAGAAAGGGAGCTCTGGGAGGTGCCATCCCACCCATGGGCCTGCAGGGATTCCCCTTGGCAAAAGCATTGCCAGACTGCCGGGATCTTCCTCACTCTTGGCTGCATTTCTAGAGCCAGACACACTGGAAGGTTTTGACCTGTAGGCATGAGCTGTGCTGCAAGACAGGCTCTGCTCAACCTAAGAATCCAGCTGGGAATTGCCCAATTGTTGAGCAAGTGGGTGGTAGAGGACAAAGGCAGGTCTTGGGGATGTTCTCAGCTCTGCAGAGGCAGGCAGGGAATGTCTGGTGTTTAGCAGGACCTGGCAACTGCAGCTCCTCTCCTTGAGGTGAGGAGATCAGGAGGACCCACATCTGCCTGCAGCTTGTCCACAGGATGCTCCAGACCTCCTGGGATGGGCAGGTCTGAAAGGCATTCACAGGCTTACACTGCAGGGAAACCCAATTTTCTTCTCCTTCCAAAATACCATTCTTCACCACAAATCCTCAGGACAAGGGGTGATGGGTTCAAACTGAAATAGGGGAAGTTCAGGTTAGATCTAAGGCAGAAGCTCTTCCCTGTGAGGGTGCTGAGGCGCTGGCACAGGGTGCCCAGAGAAGCTGTGGCTGCCCCATCCCTGGCAGTGCTCAAGGCCAGGATGGACCCAGGGGCTTGGAGCAAGCTGCTCTAGTGGAAGGTGTCCCTGCCCATGGCAGGGGTTGGAGCTGGATGAGCTTTAAGGCCCCTTCCAACCCAAACCAGTCTGGGTTCTGTGTCCAGCTACACCTTTGGTCCCAGACAAGTCTCGGGTGAGAAACTGATTGCTGCTGCCCAGTAAAGCACATATTTCCAGTGTTTAGAGCCAGCAGGACAGAAGATCAATAGAGATCCATCTCTTCAATCTTCCAATGGAGACAGATGCTAGTGGGAGAAGTATCCTTCCTCAGCCCCAGGGGAACTGCAGGAGTGAATGGCCTGAGCATGGAGTTCAGTACAGAGGCTTGGACACCATGATTTAATGCTCTCTGGCCTTAAACTTCTAAACCTAAGTTTAAAAAGACTTTCAGATGTTCATCTGGCACCAAGCCAGTCCATTTCCCCCCACATTAGAGAAAGCTGTCCTGGATCTGCACCAGCTTGAATCCTGGGAGTAATGCTTGGAGATGACCGAGTGCTGCACAGAACAAAATGTAAAAGCTTTTTTCCTTCTGGACTGGGTTGGTGCCAGATGAGCATCTGAAAGTCTGCTCTTCCTAGGCAAAGGCCGTTTCAGAAAGCTCCTGAGCATGCACACGCAGTTTGTTGTGGAGAAAGGAGGTGGAACAGAGGATTTGCTATTTTTGGGGTGCTTTTGCACGTTTGCCCCCGGGGTGGTGTGAGCTGAGATTGTAACTCCGTGTGCAGTCAAGGGTTAGATGCAGGCTCCTCTGGGGATGATTGGGAACATGAGGTGCTTCAGAAGGTCATCTGAGTTGCCTGTTGAGGTTTCCTGCCTCTCTCCATTGACTGCAGAGCTTGTGCTTCTGCCTGGACTTCTGAGTTACGAACCAAACTTGTAAGACTCTTCTCACTCTCCTCCGTTGCTGATGTCCCCCTGTGCCATAGAACCCCTGCAGAACCGGGGGTTCCTTCTCTTGGGTCATAAGGAAACAACGTGGGGATGCCTGGTGATCTCTGCTGACCTGTGCCACTGCTGTGCAGCTCATCTTCTGCAGTCATGCAGTGTGTGGAACAGAGAGGGGGTGGGACAGGGGAAGCACATGCCTCATGTCTCTGTGGGATCTGGATTTCACAGTATCCCAGAATGGTTTGGGTTGAAGGAAGCTTAAAGCTCATCCAGTTCCAGCCCCCTGCCACAGGCAGGGACACCTTCCCCTAGAGCAGCTTGCTCCAAGCCCCTGTGTCCAACCTGGCCTTGAACACTGCCAGGGATGGGGCAGCCACAGCTTCTCTGGGCACCCTGTGCCAGCGCCTCAGCACCCTCACAGGGAACAGCTTCTGCCTAAGAGCTCATCTCAGTCTCCCCTCTGGCAGGTTAAAGCCATTCCCCTTGGCCTGTCCCTACATCCCTTGTCCCAAGCCCCTCTCCAGCTTTCCTGCAGCCCCTTCAGGCACTGGAGCTGCTCTCAGGTCTCCCCTTCAGGAGCCTTCTCTTGTCCAGGCTGCCCCAGCCCAGCTCTCTCAGCCTGGCTCCAGAGCAGAGCTGCTCCAGCCCTCGCAGCATCGCCGTGGCCTCTTCTGGTCTCACCCCAGCAGCTCCACATCCCTCTTGTGTTGGGATTTCACTGTGTGTGGTTTGCTGTTCCCCTGCAGGTCGCGGTGCCATGGCAGAGGTGTGGACCATTGTGGAGAGCGTGAAGAGGATCCTGGAGGAGCGGGGCTTGCCAGCACAGAGCTGATGTTTGGCACATTCATTGTGTTTGGTGCCTCCCTAATGATTTGAAGATAAAACCAAATGCTCTGCAACCAAAGAACTGAAACAGTTGCTTCCAGCTGGTGCCAGCCTCAAATGTGGTTCAGTGCTGCAGACTCTCAGAAACCAAAGCCAAGGACATGCTGCTTTAGTGTGGGAAAGCCCTGTGGTATCTCACAGAGATGGAGCAACGTTCTGCCCGGCCACTCACCTCGTGTCTCACGTTTTTCCTTCCTGAGGAGGCTGCAGAAGGAATTGCTGATGTATTTCAGTGGTTTCCCCCAAGAGCTGCTGGAGAGAAAGTGCAGTGCAAGCCCTGGCCATGGGGATAGTGCTGGCCCCTGCATGGGGATATCACTGCTCTCCAAAGCTTGGGTTGTAGTTGTGTTGGCTTCACCTTTCCAGCAGGAGTCACTGTCCAAAAGGCATTTCATAGGCTCGTAGAATCACAGAATGGTTTGGTTTGGAAAGGACCTTAAAATCATCCCGCTCCAACCCCTTTTTGGGACTTAATAAATGAGAGCTTTTCATTCTGCCCCTGGAGAATTGCCTCTTGTAGCTGCCCTGGGGGATGTTTGCACCTCACGTCATTGCTAAGCTGTTGTGTCTGCATGTGGTTCCTGTCAGACTTGGGAAAAACGGGCAGAAAGCAGCTTTTTAGTCCTCAAATCAGCTTTTACTCTATTGTATCTGTTGTCTGGATGGGGCTGCAGACATCAACTGTGTACCAAAATGCCCATCTGAGTGCTCTAGTCAGGAAATGAACAGCCTGAGCCCTTGTGGAAAGCCAGGCTGGGTGTATCCCAAGGGAATGAAGTCAAACGTTGCCTATGATGGTCTGTTTCAGCTTGAAAATTAACTGACTGGCATAAAAGCGATTGGGGCCAGAGCAGCCAGGGCTGCCCCATCCAGCTTTCCCTTGGCAATGGGAAGGAACGGGAGCAGACTGGGGCTGTGGAGCACGTTGCTGTAGCAGAGCACTGCCCCAGAGAGTTTATTTTTAACCAGTCCCAGGCAAATTTAAGGCCTTTGGTACAGAACGTGCATCCTGCCTGTGGGGGCAACCTTCAGCCTGCTGCGCACCAGGGAGGAGGTTCTCGGGGTATGTTTGCTTTTCTTATCTATCCCACACCACACAAATAGCACTCTGGCTCCTCTACTGATAGATCCAGGGATCCAGAGCTTCTGGGGATTGAGACAGAGGGATCTTTGTTGGTTCTTCCAGCCTCCAAAGAGCAGAGGTTGTGGCTCTCACAAAGGGCCATGGTGGTAGCACGGCTGTGAACGTTGCCTTTGTGGTGTGACCTGCATCGTGTGCTGATGTCCTTAGCACTGTGAGAGCTCTCCTCCCTGTCAGAGCAGCTTACTTTCGGCTTATTGAAGGTAGTGGGAGACATGCTGCTTGGTTTCCATGGGGTTTGTAGTGAACTTTGTTTCTCCTACTCGGAGATATGCATGTTCTGGCAGTTGCAGCCCTAACTTGGCCTTGGGGCTAGGCTCTGCTGGGGCTGCCTCGTGGTTGGAGTTGCTTATCCTTCCTCCTAGTCTGTGCCCAGGATCCAGCAGTCCTGTTCCTCAGACCGACCCAAAACACCCTGTCCTTGGTAAGAGTCTTTATCTCCTGCAAGTCTGGGTCGCTGGCTGGAGCCAGCAGACGTTGGCAGGTGTCAGCTGGAGGGTGGCCAAGAAGGTGCCCGACGTGCCCTGCACTGTTTGAGCTCTGATAACTCAGCAGGAAAGGGGAACATTGTGGGTTTAGATCCAGGGCTGGGTTGCCTGGTCCCCCACAGAGCTGACACCAGGCTGATCTGTCAGGCAGAAAGCCACTGCTAAGGCTATAAAGTTGCCTCTCAAGCTTGTTGAGAGGCTGAAATTAAGACTTGCAAAGCACTCTCAGGTCTGTGAATAGAGGAAGCTGATTCTTTGTCCTGCAGAAGCAGATGCTAATTGTGCTGCTGAGTGATCCTTTGCATAACTGCTGTGATATGCATTGGAGGAAGGTCGGGATAACACTGGGATAAACCCATCCCTGAAGCACCTTTCCTTCAGGGCAAATAGAAGCAGCTGTTAGATCCTTTTTGGAAGGGCTAAAGCAAGGGCAGCTTCAACCAGAGCACATCCCTGCACCCAGGACACTGCTGCCTGCAGGAAAGCAGCAGAAAGAGAAGCCAGGAAAGCCCTGTCCCACTTGTTTGGCTTTGGGATGAGGCCTTTCAGGATGAAGGCTGGGGCAATGGGGGAAAGACCCGATTCAAAACCAGGGCTTGGGAAATGCCTCAGTGCCACCAAACCAGGGCAGCCAGGTCACCAAGAGGTGCTGGGTGACGAGTTCCTTGAGGCAGACCTGCTGACACCTCCATCCCTCTCACCTTTGTGTGTTTCAGGTTCATGAGGGGGGGGCAGAAGATGCTGCCTTGGTGCTTTTGCTTTTCCTTCAGCTCTTTCTAAGCCACGCACGCACTGATCCTTCGTTTTGCTTTCCCATGAAGCTCTCTAAAGAGCAAGGCAGCATCCCCATGAGGCTGCCTTGCAATTGCATTCATGCTGCTCAAAACTTACTTTCAGCACTAGCTAAGGAGTGATAAAGGGCTGGGAGCAAAGCTGAGCTCAGGCAGCAGCCTTCCTCCTCCCTGCGCTTAGATCCGGGCTCCGGCGTGACTTGGAGCATCCGTTTCTCATACCAAACTTGATGGGATGCTGTGGGGCTGGTTTGCATCTGGATGGCTCTGAATGTGGTGCTTTGCTTAAGAGTTGGCTCCCCAGGTGTCAAATCCCTCCGCTGTCAGTTGTGACAGGAGGTGCATCAGCCTGTGCCTTTGTCCTGCAGCAAGAGCAAAGGTCCATGAACAGACCATAGAATCCCAGACTGGTTTGGGTTGGAAGGGACGTTAAAGCTCATCCAGTTCCAATCCCTGCCACAGGCAGGGACCCCTTCCACTAGAGCAGCTTGCTCCAAGCCCCTGTGTCCAACCTGGCCTTGAACACTGCCAGGGATGGGGCAGCCACAGCTTCTCTGGGCACCCTGTGCCAGCGCCTCAGCACCCTCACAGGAAAGAGCTTCTGCCTAAGAGCTCATCTCAGTCTCCCCTCTGGCAGGTTCAAGCCATTGCCCTTGGCCTGTCCCTACATCCCTTGTCCCAAGCCCCTCTCCAGGTTTCCTGCAGCCCCTTCAGGCACTGGAGCTGCTCTCAGGTCTCCCCTTCAGGAGCCTTCTCTTGTCCAGGCTGCCCCAGCCCAGCTCTCTCAGCCTGGCTCCAGAGCAGAGCTGCTCCAGCCCTTGAGCATCTCCATGGCCTCCTCTGGCCTCTCTCCAACAGCTCCACGTCCCTCTTGTGCTGCTGCCCCAGAGATGGGTCAGCGCTGCAGGGGGGTCTCCCCAGAGCGCAGCAGAGGGGCAGGATCCCCTCCCTGAGCTGCTGCTCACTCTGGGGGTGCAGCCCAGCACACGGGGGGGTTCTGGGCTCAAGCCCACACTGAGGCATGGTCACGCTGGGCTTCACCATCCCCAGTGCCCAGCCCTGCTTGGTGCTGCAGCTCTGCAGGGGCTCTGGATCTGACACCCAGCAGCAGCAGCAGCTGGGTTCACACCTCCCGCTGGGCTGCGCTGCCAAGGTGCCGGGTGGCAGGAAGCGGGTTTGTGCTTAGCAGTGCCAGGGCCCGGGGGTGACGAGGCGGTGGTGGCACATGAGAGCACCGGGTGCTCCTGAGCCCCCATGGAGCGATGGGCAGGTCGGGAAAGGGCTCTGGAGCAGGTGTAGGAAGCATCAATCCATTGGTGAAATTCCATGGTAAATGGGACAGTGATCTAACACAATCCCATGGCAAGGTTCACTTGGTTGATTGCTGTGTAGGGGATGGGGTTGGACAGACCCATTCAGTCACAGGGTTCAGGGAGGACCCCTTGCTTCCGAAATTCCTCAAAGGGGTGTTTAGATGCAGCTGGATCCACTCCTAATCCCGGACTTGCTCAATGGTTCGTGTCTGAAGGAGCAGATACACATGCCAACCAATCCTTTGGCATACATTGGGCAGGATTTCAGGGCTGAGCGTACTAGTCACTGTCACAGAGGCCACAGAATCGCCTTTGGTAGATGACAAGCCCCCGAAGGAGTTTATTCTCATCAAAAGTCATTGAATGGCAACAAGAATCTACTGCAGGTTGTAGGGGCCAGGAGGAATCCAACACTACGGGACTGACTCCGGGTTTGAAAGGGAATTGAATGGGTTTCACTCACCAGGCGAGCTCTCAACCTCAAGGAGGCCCAACCCAAGGGGAGAGCCCTTGTCATTTGTACCCCAGCCAAATCTGATCTGGAGGCACAAATACAGCCTGAGGGCTCTTTGCTCTCAACCAAGGTGTGGGTCCAGCAATGGGCAGTTATTGCTGTGACCAAAACCAGCCGGTTTGTGTAGAATCCCGGCCTGCTTTGGGTTGAAGGGACCTGAAATCCCATGCAGCTCCACCCCCTGCCACAGGCAGGGACACCTTTCACTAGAGCAGCTTGCTCCAAGCCCCTGTGTCCAACCTGGCCTTGAACACTGCCAGGGATGCGGTTACCAGAGCCAGTCCCAAGTCAGTGGATACCTGTGAGCCCTGCCCCATGTGTTTCTGTACTTCAGGTACCAGAGCCAGCAGATGGGTTTATTGGCAAGTGCTGCGGCTCAGCGGTGCTTCCGTGGGTGCAGGAAGTGGTCCCTCGATCTCAGGCTCCATCCAAAGCCACCCCATCACCCTGTGGCCAGGCCAGGGGGCTAAGGTTGAGCATGGGACAGAGGAGAAGTCACTGTAAAACCAATGGATGTGCTTTGCTGCCATTTGCATCCATTTCATCCCTTGGGAGAGGTTACCACGATAAGGCCAGTGCCAAAGGACCCGGCACAGACTCCTTGGCACCCACTACAGCGATAGCTTGGCTTCAGTGCTGACAGCCTTGCCGTTAGAGCTTGCAGGTGCACTGCTCTGGCCCTGGCCAGCAGCCTCGCTGCAGTTTGTTTCCAGGAGTAATTGAGCTTCATTAGGAGCTTGAATTCCAGCAGGAAGCCTGCTGAGAGTTCCTGTGCTTGTTGGGATGCAGAGGAATGAAGATGCTCAGAGATGCAGAGAAAGAATGGGATGGGGGCAGCTCCCTGCGGGGGCTCACCCTGTTTGGGGTTTCCTGGTGGGATGTCGTGTTGTTCTTCACATGGAGACTGGGATTTGTGTCTCTGGCAGTCCTGGTTTTGTTGCACCTCACTTTTCCAGCTCTCTGGGCAGAGAGCAGAGGATGAAGGGGACAGCACAAGCAGAAAGCCTCGGTGCTGGCCAGGGAGATGAGGAATAAAGGTGGATTTAAAAGAACCTAAGGCTGTAATCGGGGCACTTAAGATAAAATCAACCTGTTTCTGACCTCAGGCTCCTGGGCAATACGCGGGGGTGGGCTGTGCCCTGGGGGCTGATGTAATCAGGCTCCATCGATGCTGATGGCAGACACCTCAGCCTGAAAGTGCTCATAGCCCCTGGACCGATGCCCTGAAGCATCTGTTAAGTTATCCACG